CGCGGCCCACCAGGGCCTGCCGGAGACAGGCTCTCGCATGCTGTCCTGTCTGCAGGCAATAAATACCCAAACAACCGTGACTGCATGTCCAAAGTATGGTAGCAGTCGGACTGGCAAGAGTGGGGATACGATTAGTGCATCACAGCTTGCCCATCGTCATGCCGCCTACTGGGCATCTTGGGTCGATTCCCTACCTGGCTCCACTAGTGTCGTCGCGGCAACGCATGCTGCTGACTACCTCCGCGCACAGGGGTGCGACGTGCCGGCCTGTGATGTCTTGGAGCCCGCCCCAGTTGAGCTTGATGGCCCCCCCCGACAAGCCTGGCGACTGCCTGCACGGTTGGCAGCGTCATGCTGCCCATGCCTGCGATCAGCGCGCCTTCCGGATGCATTTCGCCACCCTGCCTCCAGCATCCAGAGCGCTTGCTACTGTCGCAGGCCGGCCCGCACGCTGCCCGTGCCTTCATGGTCCGACCTACGCCCTTTCCCAGGAGTTTCGTGTCCTGTCGATGCGGCGCTTGCGACTCCGGCTGCCCTGGCCCCGCACGCCTGCTCCTGCCATGGGCAGCTCGACGCCCTTGGGGACCACCTCCACGCGCACCACGTCGAGAGCGTCTGCAACGGCTGACATTCCAGTTAGCTGTCGACACCACGCTCGTGCGACGCAGCAGAAACGGCGCGACACCCACCCTGAACTGCAACGTCCCCGCCGTTGCCGCTTGGTCAAGGGGGAGCGAAGCCGTCACTTTCCTGCGGCTCCTTGCCCGGGCGCGCGCTCAAAGCCGTTTTCTGAAACAGCAGTCGACACGACCTTCGTGTCCCCCCTTACAACACACAGCATTTCCCGCCGCTGACAGAACGCCAGGGCCGGCGGCGGGGGAGCACCGGGCTGCCTGCCCTGTGGCGGGTGTTCTGGGCCCGCGGGGCGCGCCTCTGGAACGAGCCGCGGCCCGTATTTGTCGGGAAGGCAGGGCCCGAGTGGCTTCAAATGTCCTCGTGCGTGACATGAACGTTGACGTGCCGCTGGCGGACTCGCGCCGCATAGAGGTCCTCGTGGGGCCGATCGCGTCCCCGGCAAAGCTGCAGCCGATGCGGGGCGACGCAAGCGCCAAACCACCCGCCCTGAGCTACTGGCGTCCCGACGTTGCCGGCTGGTCGTCCTGGCAGTCGAGGGAGGCGGCCGTTTCGGCGCCGAGCTGGCGGACTTCCTCCGCCGTTTGGCGGCTTCGAAGGCCCGCGCAGCTCCTGCGCAGCTCTGGCAGACGGCGCGCGTCAGGCGGCATGCCACCGCTGGGCGGGAATGGTGGCTGTCGCCGCCCAACGAGCCCTGGCTTGGTCGTTGTTGGAGCTCCCCCTTGAGATGGCGGACGTGTGCGATGGCACTGAGCCGCCTCTGGCCTCTGGCGCAAGTGTTGGCGGATGCCCGCCACGTCTTCCCGGTGACCGCCAGCCGTCTTCCAGCCCGCCCATGAGGCAGCGGCGGCGCAGCGGGGTACTCGACGAGGACTGGCCTTGTACATAGCGGCATAGCGACTCGCCGCGGAAAAACAAAAAGAGCAGCGAGGAAAAATTCGGAAGTATCGAGCGAAATAGCGTTCGATGGCGCAATGCATGACGCATGTCGAGAAATCCTTGGAACAGGAGCACCCGGCCTTTTGCGCAGTTGCTTCGGCGATGACCGTTGCGCGTGCTCGTGGTGCAGCGCGCTTGGGATTGCTTGGGTGTTTGTGAGACATTGGGAAAATGCAAGTGCATGGATGAAGGCACCGGCCGCTTCCTGCAGCAAACCACTTGCTCGGCTAAGTCTGCTTTTGTTTCGCCAAGGTTGGGCCGGTGGACCAACGATGCTTCATGGATGTTTTCCGGGAGGCCACAACTTTGTTGCTGCACGGTGTACGGTGTGATGTCTGGTAGATGCTTGTGCTGGCTGCCAGGTCGCTATGCAGCCTCCGGTGATGGCAACGTATGGTTTGGAAATGCTGGACAACTTGCCCAGCTCCATCAAGTGACGCTGCGCACTTTGAGGGCAGCACATGGGTTTTGTGAGCAAATGCAGGAAAAACATCACGATAAATGCTTGGCAGCCCCAACTGGTCGCGACGCAACGGGGAATTTTTTCCGGACACCTTATGATGTTGCCCTCCACCTCCAGGTCTTGCTTGTGTTCATTCAGCTATTTCAGCTTCATTATCAGTTGTTTGTTTGTCTGTGAGGCCATGTGGCAGGCAGAGTATCCTTCTCTCCACCATTTTCGGCTCCTTTTTCGCGACTGCGGGGAACGGGTTCGGTCGGTGTTCGGGCGGCACCGTGCCTAACTGGGTGAGCTAGTGAGCGAATTTACTTGTATGAACGAAGCGAGCAGCCAATGTACTACGTTCATCTCATTCACTTCCAATTGGTTCAGATTACTCGAGGATATGATACTGAATGACGAGTACACATGATGTTTAGTTATGAATGAAGTGAAGGAGACGATGGTAATGTGTGAACGATTTCTTTGTTTTTCCCCGGGCTTATTGTGTTCTTATTTGCCCGGTAATATAGTATGTTTATGAAAGACGACGCGGAGTTCGGCGAGGGTGTTGCCTAGCACTGCCGGACATGCGCCAGCACCTTGCTTCCAGCCACTGGCCTACAAGAGCATCTAAAGGAGAATTAAGTTCCATCCCCTTGCCTGTGGCCCACCTGCGCTTCCGGCGGCGAGGTCGCGCGCACATTCCCCCAGCTTGGCCCCGTGCAGCGCGCTCATGCACGTGCTGTGCATTGCTCTGTGCCTCTGCGCTTCGCCTCTTCTACTGAGCGCACCTCCGGGCCGTAGCTGTTCTTCTGCCCATGACTGACTCTAATTTGCATGATTGTGTCTCCACCAATGACTCTAGTTCGCATCTTGTCCTTATCCTAGAGTATTTCAGTTTTGCGCCGCCCTCAGAAGTAAGGTCTTTTGCAAAGAATGCGAAACACAGGAGCCCCATGACCCGGTGTCAAGCAGTTTTGCTGCCAGGTACATTTTGCTGCGCCACTTGCAGTGCCCTGCCGTCCGGTTGAATGTAGTCAAGAATAGCGAAGCTCCAATCAACTAGCTGCTAGCTTGTTTTCAGTGCAACAGATAAACGACGCAGCTGTTGTTTGTTTGCGCCGTGTTTCATACTTTAAGTGTCACACCCGGAGGTATGATGGAGCCCCCTTGGCCTTGCTTGCGGAGTGGCTTCGAGTTTTGGGATTCGAAGTGGATCTTGTCAGTGTGAGCCTTGAGCCCACTTAGCGTACCGTGGCGGGCAACCATGTGCAACCAAGGTGCCGCAGATATTGACGAAAAAACGCTGCGAGCTGACGTCTGTTTCTGAGCCGACAATATTGCAATCATGTGTGGTGCCAAGAAATTGCATTTTGCAGCGTTAGGTTGTTGCCTCTTTTCCCGGAAAGCCGGCCCCCGCAGCAGCCAGGATCGTGAACATAAGCTGTCATGTGAAGCCTGTTGCATGTGGAACCCACGCAGGCAGTACATTCTTGTGAACTATTCCCGCGCCGCACCAATTTGCAGACTTCGTACTCGAGGGGTGAAACACAAACGACCATGTCGGAATCAGGCTCAGCGGTTGGCCAACGAATGTTCAGCGGAGGCACGGGGCTCAGCAAAAGCAAATGGCTAGAATATGACCTCCCGTGGGTGTGGCTTGGATTCGGTTTTCACCTCGGGCTAGTTTGGCGATGGGAGATGTCAGCCAAGCCGGCCCTTGTAGGAAGTTTGTGCTCACGGGACTACCATGGCATCCCCGGCTCTATGCCCTGAGTGCGACGCCGACAGCAGTCAGCATCAGCAGCGCACCTGCTAAGGCCACTATGCGCCGCAGCCCCAGAGTTCTACTTCTTGGAACTTTCTGGTTTTTTTTCGCGTGGCAAGAGTCGCTGTGTACTCGGTAAGTGGCTTCGCTCCTAACTGGCTGTCTGACGCATGCACGTGGTGGGCGCCACTTTGCAACATGTTGACGGGCATCATAGGACGACACGCTAACACTGACCCAAAAAAGTTCCCAATTGAAGTGCTATGTTATCGTGCAGCAGCTGTGGTGTGCACATGCGACAAGCACGTACCATCCGACTTGTTGCGAACTGGACTCGCAAAGTACTTGAACGAAGCCAAACTGAACGGCCGATAGCGAAACAAAGAGACAGTTTCTCTCGGAAGCTGCAAGTCCATCCCCTGCAATGAAAAGAGCGTCATAATTACACGTCGCTTCAACTTGGCTTGGGATGGTGGGCCCCAGATGTTGTGAGGCCGATTGGAGGCTTCAATGCAGCTGAGGACAAGGTGCATTGTAGGGCAGGGGATCACAGTGGTTGAACATGTTGGCGCACTGGGTTGATGCAAAGGTTTTGCTGCTTGAAGTGAACTCGTGGCGTTATCCTTCTGTTGGAGCCTTAGGCATCTTCCGGGAAAGGTTTCACCGCCTCTTCTTGCTCTCGTGTGCCTTGCAGTGCTCATAATGTTTCATATTTTCGCTAGGTGTGGGTCGATGTGCCACGCCTCTGGCAAGCAACACACACCCAAGCCTTGTGCCCAGCCATGGACCATCATGGATGTTTCACAGGCTTTGCGGGATGAAGCACAAGGAAATAAATGGAACAGTTTTGCATCACCAGCGTCCGGATAGCCTGATCGAGCCAAGGTTGCAAACGGCAACTGGAGGGGCTACCTTCGCATCCGAAGCCCTGCTTCATAGGAAAAAGTATGCTGTGCTGCTTTGTTTTACCGATTTGTCAACGATGCCTCAGGTTGCTTGCCCCACTATCTGCATGCAATCTGAAGCAGACATCCCCGTCTTAAAAAATGATGTAGAGAGATAGGCAATTGACACACGTGTTGATTATGAAGTTGCCGTCAGCAAACTCATTCTTGTGACTGCGGCGCTGGGATCATACAGCAATATAGTCATGAAGACCGAGTCGGCCGCTGAAGAACCCATGGTCCATAGTCCACGTAGTCACTGCAATGCTTCGTGATGTGGCCGCTACTGATTTCTGCAGTGCTGGGAGGCTTGACCTTGTGCACATTCTGTGCATACGGCCTGAGCTGCTTCGATGAAGCTTTCTACTTTCTTAAATAATCTGCCATGGTGGTCTGGTTTTGGTGTGCAAGCAGCGTACCAACCACAGCATGCTTACATCATCCCATGGCACACATGACAATCACACGTTGCTGAGGCAAAATAGTGACAACCTTGCCAAACTGACTAAGCCTTTATCTTGACCACCCACCACAGCCCCACGAATTTACACACGGTGAAGCCTGCTGAGGCTTTGTGCGACACTGGCAGAGTTACCGACACGGTGAGTTGGGAGATTTCTCGGGGCCGTTGACGTTATGGGTGGACTCGCTTACTCGGTGCCCTGCGTTGTTTTTGTTGCTGGGCTTGGCGATTCCTGGCACTTTGGGTTTTCTTGGGTTAGAGGCCGCAGGATTTGCACCGCACGTGGATCTTGATTTCGCCGGATACTTGGCCGTGGATCTACCAGCACAGTTCATCCAGAATGCTGTGGAGGAACTTCGGGGTCCTGGTGCTTCGGCATTTGTGTGCTGAAATTACCTTTCGATGCCCGGTAGTCACGGGTAGTCATGGTGTCGTGAAGCAACGAGGAGGCAATTGCTCAAGAGGCCTCTGGAGATCGCCGACAAAGAGCCGAAGATTGGGAAGGGCGGCTTCCTGAACGGGCGACGTGTGTGATTTTTTTGTTATCTCTTGTTATCTCTGGATATCTCTTTGATGTTTTGGTAGATCACATGTCGCTGGCTCCGCGAGCAAGTTAAGTTGTTCACTTTGATCTGAGGTGGCATTTTCCACTTGCAAGCACCACGGTGTCTTCCAAGCCCGAGAACACTTCAGGTGCGCGGGGGGAAGTCCATGGCGATGGCTTCGCCGCGATGTGCCGTCAGGTGCGGAAGGGCGCAGACTTGCCCCGACGCAAACTCAGAGGTGGTGGCAGCTGGACATTTTCTATGAGGCGCCATACAGCAAGTTGTTGCCAGTGAGTGAACATAGGGGTGGAACTATGATGCATGGTCATGGTGGAGAACTGGTTCTTTCCTACCGTGAATCGGCAGACGCAGGCAGTGGACTCCAGCACCGGAATCTTCACTGAGCAGGCGCTTCAGGCACTGCACCTGCTCACACAATATGCGTGCTGCAGATGCAAAGATCAGTGTCGCTATCCCACTGTGCAGACTTCAGGTTGTACAGGTTTTTTGTCTTGCAGGAAATACTTGCTTTCGAAAACCTCATCCAGTCCATGGAGAATTACGACGAATTCTGCTGGAAGTCCAATGGTCAGTGCAAGGCCTGGGTTGCGGTGAGCAGGTCACGCGGCCTTTTGGCAAGTTGTGATCTCTGTCAGGCACCGCAGTCGCTCACAAACCTGTTCTTCCATCCTGTGTGGCCTGGATGCCGTGGGTCAGACTGGCCTTGGCTTCACATGCTCTTCTCTGTTGCTCTGTTGCTGTTTTTTTTTTTTTTTATTTTTTTGAGAATGCCTTTTGGGACGAGGCCTGGCCAGACCGACATGAACGACCTTGAGCTGCAAGATATCAATGCAACCTTGAGGATGATGGCCAGGAGAGCATTGGCGAACATGAGCTAGCAGCACCAAAGAAGAAAGACAAGGAAGTTCTTTGCCGTCGTATGGTCGTGCTCAGGCCTCAAGATATGAGATGTGGACCGACAGCCTGATATGTGGCAAAATGTCATCTCCTTTTGCCGCGAGCAGGACGCAAATCTTGCAGTTCACGGACAAAGACTTCAGCGTCTTCAATTTGCAAAGCCAATACACGCGCAGCAGCTTCTTTGGTGGAATTCCACTGGCCGGGTATGACAGATGGCAGACGAGGCTGGCAAGATTTCTTCTGCCAGAGTGATCCAAGTGCATACCCAACAAAATTGGGATCGTCTTGCCTTTCCTGCCACACGCTGCAGTTGGGACGTGCAGCGCCAGAAGCATGAAGCTTTCCTGCTGGAGCTGTATGATGAGGCACAGAGGGTACTCACGCATGCGTGCATGCATGCGTGGGTGGTGGGTAGGTTGGGGGTGTGTGAGTGGGGGAGTGAGTGACAGCCTTGAAAGACGGCTCACGAATGTTGCCATATTTTGTCAGGGCAACGAAGCCGCCCAGAATGGACGCCTTGACATGTAGTTGCATTCGTCGTGCTGTGTAGACTGCACGGTCATTGTTTCCAATGCAAATTAAGACAATGGTGTGAGGTTTCATATGCTGCAGATTGAAGCCTGATACTCCTGTAAAGCTGATACTGCAGCTTGGATCCCCACGCCTAAACAATGTATAGCGGGGGCCGGGGGGGGGGGGGATTCAGCGAGCCCCTAGAAAAAAACAATGTATGTATAGCCGGGGAAGAGGGGGGGTCGGTTTAAAGTGCCAAGATTCGATTTAGTTCGTGGCATGTTTGATTGATGTCGCCGGACGTTCATGCTTGGGAGATGCAGGCAGGATTTAAGGCCGTCAGAAGATTCAAATATTACCTTGGGCCTGACAAAGCGGCGCTTCTGGATTCGCGACCCTCCGCCCATCATCTTTCAAGTGATCTCTTTCTGTATGGTAAACCTTTCCCTCGCACCTCCTCCTACAGATGCTTGGGCACGCTTCACAGCTGCAGGCTCTGTGAGAGCACCCCTGAAAGATATGGATGAGAAAACCATTCACCAGTCATCTTGAAGTCTTGGTAGGATGGGGACGTGTGAGGTTCCCTTGGCCCATTTGGTTCGTCTCTGGCTCCTCTGGAGCCTGTGCTGTGGTGGTTGGTTGCGGCATGTTGCGGCTGTGCCGCTCCCCTCTACCCAGGCACGATGGTCGGACTCGCTTCAGCGCGAAGCTGGCCGTTTGCTACTCGGTCATTGCAAGCGCTCGCCTCGTCTCTCATCGCTTGCTTGTTTGGGTTGGGTACCTTGGTCATACCGGGCAAGCCGGCTGGGGCTCTGGGGACGCATGATGTATGACAACGGCAACCTTATGCAGCAAATCTTTATGTTGGCACGCGCGACAGAGGGCACTTGGGCCCATCAGGTCAGCTTTGACATCCAGAGTTTTTTTGTTCTGAGTCAACCGCCAGACCCAACCACATTTTTGGGCTGATCTCAAGCGATGCCACAGTCGCCTTAGTCACTTTCAGCTTATCGAGCGATCGGACTCCGTGAAAGGCATTTCTGATCTGTTCACATGTGTGAATTTTCTGGACTATTGTGTCGTGGTGCTTCGGTCTGTGGTGGACAGGGGCTTCGGGCAGGTAACCGGTCCGATATTTTGCCAATGTCGCGACGTAACTGCTGCTTGTTCTGTTAAGGTAACTGCTGCTTGTTCTGTTTAAGGCATGGTAGTTTGGCTGCTGATACTTTGCAACATTTCCTTTGTGACTGCCCCCTGTCCACTCGCTGACCTGCATGAAGACGGCAGTGATGAGACTGATAAGCCGCAAGTGGCATCCTGGCTGCGTGAGAGGAAGCTGTTACGACCCAAGAAGATTAATTTTTTTCGAGTCCCTATGGTAGCACTTTTTTGTGACACTTATGCTGCTGACCTTGCAACAGACCCAAAGTAATGATGTGTGTGAACAATGCGGGGCACCAGATCACTGTTGTTTGTGGAGCAACGAGCCTGGGAGAGGTCAGTTTGCATGAGTTGGAATGTTGGAGGTGCATTATCATGGAGCAGCTGCACAACATGTTTTTTTTGCACAATTCAAGCAGGCGAGAGTGGTGATTTTTACCCGCCCTTCTGCATTTTGCAAAAATCGTACACAGAACGCATTCCCGCCACATTCATTCATCTCTGATCTGCAAGAGTTCCTCTTCTATCGCTTGGCTGCTACATGCTGCGGGTCAGCATTTGCCAGTCCATTGGCGTAGTATTGGCGTATTTGGCGTGCCAAATTGCCGATAAGTAAGTGTGTGTGTGTGTGTGTATGAGGGGAACCTGGTACACGCATGCGCTTATGCTTCTCAAATGTCGGTGGTGCAAGTGGCATGATCCAATTGCGTCTGGGTTGCAGCAGGCAGAATAAAAACCTGGGGTGCTTAGCGTGTGCTTAGCTATCTTGCAGGTGCTAAGCCGCGCAGATGATGGACCCGAGCCACTGGCGTTTAAGCACGTGAAGGTCACCTGGTTTCATGCTCTGCTGAAGGACTTCGAGGCGTGGCCCTGCCTTGCGTGCGGTGAGACCCTTGTTACGATGCACGGAGCGTTGGTTGCCATGTGTTTCCAAGGTCGGCAAGTGGCTGTTTCACGATGCAGTTTGGTGCGCTGGGACCTTTGCTGTGGCACCTAGGCTCTACTGTATTGAGTTTGTTGATAAGATTGTGATGAAGTGAGTTTTCGGCCGTTGCCCGTGCACAGCACTTCGGTCCCGACTCGTGCTACCAGCCGTCGAGGTGACTTTGCTGATCATGTTAAACCTTCGCAGTGTGTACCTGACGATTTTTGGAATGCTGGGCGTCTTGCTGGCTTTCGCGGCAACTTTCTTCTTCCACTTCGTAGTCTTGGAGTACAAGTCGCTTACCGTTTTGGACTTCCTCTCCCTTTTTCTTATTGTCGGCATTGCGGCCGATGATATGCTGCCTGGACAACATGGAGGTCGTGGGTATCTTTTGCATTCGCTTTACTCTTGCGCCGGCAAGTGGCATGTGCAGCTTAGGTTCATCCTCTGCCACACTTTCCACTTGGCTCCTGCAGTTCTGGGCCCGCGGGGGCCCAGAGAATGCATGAAATGGGCCTACAAGCAGGCAGGCCAAGCCATGCTCGCCTGCTCCTCAGGCAACTTTGCCTTCCACAGAAGTGGAGCAGATTGTTTGGTGCCCAGGTCACCACGGCAACCACGGCAGGTTCTTTCTATGCCAACTGTGTTTCCGTTCTGCGCATTGTGAAGCAATTCGGGTTCTTTATGGGTGGCCTGATCCGGTGAGAAGTTTCTGCATGGCCTTCCTTGCTGCATTTCTTCTGGCGACTGCCATGCTCTTCCCAGTGGCCACTGAGGTACACTCGTCGTTTGGAACTATATCAATGTTATGATCATTCTTCCTTCAGCTATTCTTGTTGCAGAGCCGCATGCCTGCAAGTTGGCAGAAGTGACGGCAATCGGATGGGTTCAGCTAGGTTCATCTTGACTCAAACATATCAGGATCTACATCTCTCCGTGCGTTGACTGGCTCTTCCCTTGTTGCTTGAGACGCCCAGCAGATGCAGAAGGACCCCGCTGCTAATGTGTTTTCGAACGTCTGGGCATGTGTGCGTGCCCCCATGGGTTTCTGGTAAAGGGACCTTTGTCATAATGGAAACAGGGGGTGTGCAGCCAGCATCGTGGGGACGTGCACCAACGAAAGCGCCTTTCTTTGCTGCCTAAATTTCATGGCGCACTGTCGGACATATCTACACGGGTGGTCTTCGTTGACCACGATTTCCTCCCCACCCTCTCAGCCACCTGCAAAGTAGCATGTGGCCCGCGGTCCCAATGGACTTGGGCAGCACGCGCACGCGCACGCGCACGCGCACGCGCACGCGCACGCGCACGCGCACGCGCACGTGCACGTGCACGCGCACGCGCACGCGCACGCGCACGCGCACGCGTCCTCACTCTCGCTGTCGCACCATTCCCGGTGCCTTGTGCAAAGGGGGCCGCGCCCTTGCTCAATTGTTGCATCATCCCATTCTGTTTTCACATTTGCACTTGCTGGTTTCTGGCACATGTTGGCAAAGAATCGCCATTTCACCTTCCTGCATACTGTGCCGTGGCAGCCAGCCACAGCTTTTCTAGTCCTACAAGGTGTCGTCGCCGTTCAGAAATATGCGAGTGCGTACTCAAAGGGCTCAGGCACTATTAGGACTTCATGTTCACTTACCTTCACTTACCTTCACTGACCTGTTGCAAATTTAAAAAAGTTGCGCCATTGGCCCCTGGATGGACGATTTTCGTTCTCCCAGCTCCAGACGCCCACAACTCCGGTTTCAACCGTAACATAATTTGTGGAAGCTTTTGGTACGGGAGCTGACCACTGCCACGTACCTGCGGTGTGGATGAACGGAATCTGAATCACGCATGCGCGCCATTCAGGTCCAATCTGTAGGAGCCCATTGTCCGACGTGTGGGAGCCCATTTCCAGACGAGCTTTAAGCCTAGATCGAGCAGCCTGGTTTGACCTCTTTGTCTTTGACTCTGGCTCTGACTCTGTCTCTGTCTCCGTCTCTGTCAGCATCGGCCAGGCGATGAGGATGCTTTCAATAGCCAGGACGTGTCCAGAATGGAATCCGTCCTTTCAGTACCTTCTCATTGGCCAGCATCCGCCCGGACATCAGTGGCAACTCACGCATCCATTGCATCCACTCTCCAGAGCGAGGAGACTTGAAGCCCAGCCGACAAGCATCAGTTTCACGGTTTCATTTTGTTTCGTTGTCAATCAGCAGTGACTGCGAGGGCCCGGGCAAGGGCCAATGCACTTCAGGCACAGTCGCACGGTCTTCCAAAGCGTCAATGTGGACAAGGATGACAAGGCTGGTTCCTGCACCAAACCAGATTGGATGGCTTTCTCGGTGCGAATCAGGGTACCAATGCTGGCAAGACGCTCTACGTTGGCATACCAGACGCTGCGCTCCACCGTCAACTCAGTGGCACTGAACATCAGGCTCGCTTCCTAGCTTCCTAGATTGCATCTTCAAGAGTGGGCCCGGATCTTGATGGAAAGCAAGAGTGGCTTTACGATGAAGTTGCGCACCGGCCACACCACACAGTCAGTGGTGGTGGTCCCATGTGGTTCCCGACTGTAAGTTCCAGTAGCCTGTGTTTGATAGCTCTCGTCGTCACACAGGCGCTCGCAGTTAGGTGGAGAGATCTTCGGCACGTGCCTAGATATGTCTAGGTCTGCGTAGGAGATAGCCCTCATACGCTTAGCAGTTCTGGAGCCTCCAGAACGGTAGCTATCGAGGCACCAGCCCTAGTTTCAAAGCATGGGGCTTTGGCAGTCCAGCTTAGCCGACAGGACCTTGACATCACGAGCAACTGCGAAGGCAGCCTTGATTCGGAGAGGTCACGATGTCATGGCCTGGGGGTTGATGCCGGTCATCGAGCCAGGTTCTTATCCAACGCGACTTGGACGTGGACCAGCTCAGCAGCTTTGAGACCTTTCTTTATGGACGATGTTATCGCAGCCTCTATCATGCCCGGTGCTGTTGGGTGCTGCTGCCCCTTGGCACAACAGTAGATGTGGAAGCTGCGGAGGGAAAGAGTTTTTGCTTCGGGAGCTCATGTTGCTGGCTCTGAGGTCTGCAGTGGCTAGTGTAATGGGCGCATGGACTGCAACGGCAGGCTTCGAGCTGGCGACAGGAGCTGTGCTTGCCACAGAAGCCTGCTTCACTCGTGCCCGGTTTCCTTAAACCCTTGCAATCACTGTCGTGCCTTTGAAGCCGTACACTGGTTTTCACATTAGTTAACTGCAGCGTTGTTTTTTGAATCCATGGGTGGATGCATTCATTGGGCAAGGGCAAAGGGACTTAGGTATAGCTTCCGTTATCCTACAGCACAGCTGTCTGACGAAAAACAGCCGTGTTCAGCTTTGGAGGGTTTTGATGTCGACTGCACAATCGTACAGGATCGTACAGGCTGTGTGAGCTCTGTGAAGGGGTTTCTTTGAAAGCTTGAATTGCCCCTTTCAGGAGGCTTGCAGATTTTCCCTGAGTCTGTCAACGCGGGTCGCCTGCAGAAGCTGCTTGAAGAGGCGCCGTGAAACAAGAACCCTAAACCCCTCAAGTAAGACATAGCACTAACCCGAAGTGGCCCTGTTCTCCGTGGACCGAGCAGTATGTGGCCAGTGCCAGTTGCAAGTTGCAGAGATCGTAGCAGCCGTTCTTTCCGAAGGTTTTCACATCAGATTCGATTGCTTCGGCAGAGTGGGAAGCCGAAACTGCCGAGACTGCCGAGACCGCACAAACAGCGTCCACGACCACAGCGGATCTCGCCTCAAATGACTCAAATGGCAGTACCGGCACGGCGTGCCCAGGCAATTGAGATGCATTGCTTCGGTGTGTAATGTATTTCTTCAGGGCGCCACCTCATTTTTTGAGCTTGTCACGAATGTGAGTTGCTTGGAGCGCTCGCTGTCGTTCTTGTTTACAAGATTGCTTCTAGTATTCTTAAGATTTCGGATGTGGAGGCATTAAGGCCCATGGTACCCGCCCCCCCCCCCCCCGCCCCTTCGAGATACATGTCGATATGGGGCTCGCCCTCCCTCCCTCCATTTACCTTGCTTTACCGGAACCAGTTTGGAGACCCAAAGCCACACCGGCATCCTCACTTTGCTTCGGTCTGGGACCGTTGCCTGTGTTCAAAGACAGTTGTCTTTAAGAATCATACGGGCAGTCTGGCTGTGAGAGCTTCTGGCCCAACTGATTCTGACATTGGTGGCTGATAAAGCCTTCTTTGGCATTTCGTCTCCAAGTTCTCTGTCATCTGTGTGGTTTTGCTTGTTGCATTGTTCTTTCATGTGAGTTTTTGGTTTACATGCAGCTTCGACCAAGTAGAACATAGGAGCCCAGCATGAGCTTGGCCCAAACAGGTTAGTAGGGTTTCGGGCGTGTAGGGTTTCTGGGGATTTTGGTGCAAGGTTCAGACTTGCCTGCGAGGGGAGATGCAGTCATTCTTCCCAGACAGGATGTGGGCATGGTGTGTGCGACGGAGATGGCGCATGTCGCTGTGAGAGCGGTTGGAGCGGCCCTACCTGCGAAGACTATGAAGACTGCCCCGGCCTCCCTGCCTGTGGCGGGCCACAGCGGGGTCAATGTGTGTTGACTGTCGCCCAGAACACAAGCATGAGGACCCTAGTGTCCCAGCGGCGTCATCGGCAGATCCCTTCAGTGAGAAAGTAACTCTGGCAGGAGGTGTGCTTGCCATGATGGATTTAGTGGAGACGACTGTGGCCTTCATTCCTGTCCCGAATGCTTCAATGGCGGCACCTGTCGACTTTCGCAGGACGAGAAGGGTTGCAGCACATATAGCACACTAAATGTGGGGTAAAGGGCCATATGCACATAATCGAATGGTCCATAGGCCCATGTCCAGCAGAGTTCAGGTTGTGACCTGTGCAGGATGGGGATAGCTTGCCCGAGTGCCATTGTCCTCCCATGTTTGGCCTGATCCTTACTTTCTTGTGGTGGACTTTGAAGAGTCACAGGAACACGTGGAGCGTCACAAAGCCTTTGGCAGGTGGCGATGCATGCCAGGAAGAGCTTTGCCCAGGAAATTGCAGTCAGGCGGGCGACTGCATTGATGGCCGTTGCTCATGCTGGCTGGGTGCAAGTGTGACTTGGCCACACCAGCACCTACATGCACCGTTCATCGCCATCAGACCGTGCGTATGTCTCAGTCGGGCTTGCAGTTGGCACCTTCCGGGGCCATGAGTTCTTGGGTTTGCTAGACTTGCTCTGTAGATTGTTGATTGGCTTGTGCCTCCTGGGCACAGCTTGGCTTTTCTGGTCTGTCCTGCTAAGCCCGTATCTGATGAGTTTCAGCATTTTTGGACGTGGATCGCCTAGATTCCTCGATGCTTCCGGCTAGGATTGCCAGTTGCGGCCATAGACTATAATATGCAATATGGAAGTTCCGAGTGGCGGTGGAAGGTTTGACACATGTTGCCAGTGAGTGTGCTGGGTGAGAGTGGAAGGTGACTGGCGTAGGACTAAACATGTAGCGCGGGTTCAAAAACATGCAAATTTGCCAAAGTTCGCGTGTACCATCGCGTAATCAGACACACCTTAACGCAAGCAAGCTGGGTGTTAGAATTGAAGCAACTTCTCGCCAGCGGGAAAAGCTGCTATGACCGAGATGATCGAAACGCAGGGTCAGCCAAGAGCCGTGGCGACAGCCGAAACCGCTTCTCTGAGTCCAGCATGGCTAGCTGCACTTAGCAAGCAAACCTTAACAAGATCTTTGTGGCGCCCAACAAGAGTGTAGCGCTTCGTAAAGCAAGCAGAAGACCTCACAACCAGCCCTCTTTGTGAAACCGCTCTTGCTGTGATCTGTTCCTGGGTGTCTGGCCACCAGCCCGCACAAAGGCATTGCTGGAGCCATTGACCAACTGTGTCCAGATTTCCTTGGTCTGGGGCATCCGGGCAAACATCAGCATGGTGATGGTTGTTGGAACTTGTGTGGGCCATCTTGTTCACCTCATAGCCAGGCATCGTGGGGTTCCGAGCAGACAATGTGTCTGCTCCCGAGTATGATCCGTCATTCGACTTGCTGGATCCACAGGCGCGGGATCTCGGAGAGCCTGGGCCAGAGAGGTAGTGTCTCTTCGCGCCCCGCCAGGTGCAGACGTGGCTCCTGCAAGCTTGCGAGACTGCACGAAACGACAACTCGCTTCTGGTCCGGCCAGAGGCGCCATAGACCTATCATGTTGTGCAAGAGCAGGTTTCGAAATGTCCCATGGCCCATGGCTGTTCGAACCTCTCGTGGTTTCATGTAGCTGCGAGGTGCCCTGTTGGGTTGAAGTCTGGCGCAACTTCGTGGTCGGACTTGGCGGCAGCTTTCCCATAATGCAGAGGCTTGAAGAGTAGCAGAGTTGCATGTCCAAGCAAGAGGTAGGCCTGCTCGTGCAAGGCCTGTGTTGCCGAGTCTGCCTCTGCAGAGGAGCTTGGCATCAGAAGCGCTTCAAGCCTTCTTCCACCAAGAGATCTCGGATGCCTTCTTAAAGGATTTGGCCACTGACGCCGAAAACTTTGCAGGCTGGTGCCCTCAAAGATCAGTCTTTGCAGAAGTTCAGTTGCCTTGGACGGCGCTTTTCGCTGCAAGGGCATCCAAAGTTTGCAATTATGCGGATGTTGGTTAACATGCCGCGGAACAGTGGTCTGCCCATGCGGCTCAGCTCCAGTGCTAGCTGAGTTGCAGTGCCGATTCGGATGTCATGCAATCGTGGCTGAGGCTGCTGCCCTTAAAGTCAAGATGGATGAATTATGTGGCCGACCTCAACAGATTCTGGGTTGGAATTGTCAAATCTCACATGCAGTGCCAGTTCGAGGGGATGCTTCCCAGAGCTCACAGCCAGGACATGCGCCGCTTTCTGCTGGATCTGCTCTTATGGTGTCGCAGACATGGACGGCGGTTGACATGGATTCTTGAGCATGTCAGTTCTGCATCTTGCTGGTTCCTGTGAGGGTTCCGGAAAGTAGCACGTCCAATGGCTCATGAGATCGAAGCATGTTGAAGTTGCGCTGTTCCGCTAAAGCTCCGACAAGATTCGGTCAATGTCGTGATATCTAAGGAGCACTCTATCATGTCGAAGACGTTGACGTCGTTACTCCTGTCCATTGGCATCGCTGTAGCGTGCGTCATCGTTTTCAGCCAGAATGTCTTCATTGGTCTGTTCGTCCTGGTGACTATTCTGCTGGTTACCAGATTGCAGGCAGACACGGGAGTGACGAATGCATTCACTTTGGTTTGATAGATGGGTTTGCTTGCTGGAATTGACGAGAAGCAGGATTGACGACCGACCCTCTCAAAAAAAACTTGTTATCTGAATAACATGGAAAGTCACTGCGCCTCCTGAGATCCTAGCCTACTTTTCGTGCCCTTGCGAAGCAAGACCTTAGGGGATGGCGCGGCAGAGAAAGAGAGAATAACATGGAAGCTTGACTTGTTGCGGCTGCAGGGAGTAGCAAGAGGGGCAGCACCACAACCGAGGAAGTCTGTCCACTTTTCGGCTTCCTTTTCGGAGTCATGCAGTACAAGTTCGGGGCCATAGAAGCTGTCGGGGTTGTGACCTTTGTTGGTATGAGCGTGGACTACTGCCTGCACTTGGCACATGGCCGCTTGCCTGATCATTCGCATTTGGTAGTGTGCGCCGGCCTTGCTGCACTGCTGATAGGGGCTACGCAGAAAGTGTCCCTGCGCCCTGCGTCAATCAATATGAGAGGCTATCATGTGACAGAGAAGCTGACCCGCGGTGCTTCTTCTTCGGCACTTGATGTTTTGCACTGTAGCCGAGATGAGGATAGAGTTAGAGCACTCAAGCTTGCGCATGTGGACATGCGTCGCTAATTCTTCTGCAGAAGTGAGTTTCGGGCTCAGACTAGGAAAAGATGCAGCTGACGCTCGTCAATCTTGGACCCTCCATCTTGGGTGGTGCACTGACCACAGCAGCTGGCACGGCATTTCTTTTGCCATGCCGGATCGTGCTCTTTGTCAAACTTGGTACCATGCTGGCTTCTTGGCAAGGTCAATAGACAATGTTGGAGCATAGGAGCCGAGAAACACTCCGATGCACGTCACCAAACGGTTGCGGTGATCACACCCGAAGTTTAATCGACCCAAGCACCCCGGTTAGAGATATGAGCTTGCGGTCGAGGAAAGCGCAGATGTGCGCACAGGCACACACACACACACACACACACACACACACGCCCACGCCCACGCCCACGCCCACGCCCACGCCCACGCCCACGCCCACGCCCACGCCCACGCCCACGCCCACGCCCACGCCCACGCCCACGCCCACGCCCACGCCCACGCCCACGCCCACGCCCACGCCCACGCCCACGCCCACGCACGCACGCACGCCCACGCACACGCCCACGCGCCCACGCGCACGCGCCCACGCGCACGCGCACGCGCACGCGCACGCGCACGCGCACGCGCACGCGCACGCGCACGCGCACGCGCACACGCACCAACACCCGCCTGGCCGGTAAATTGTTGTGTGTGTGTGGAAACTCTGTATCTAAGAGTCTATTCCGTTCCAATGCAGGGGGCCTGAGGCTCGTTGGCAAGGCTCAGGCCAACGAAGACACTTGCCATTGAGTGTGATGTAGGGAGAGGACGCTCTTGCTACGTACCTGCATTATGAGACCCAACCAAAGAAGAGCTGACACATCGATGTCTCACACGAGAGATCGAGTGGGAGAGCGAGTATGTGTGTGTGTGCGCTGTTTTTGGAGCTTGTTCAGTGGAAAGTTTGGCAGGTGTTGCATTAGTGCCTTGTGTTTGCATGGTAAAGTCTACCGGGCATGTTGCTGCCACATGTTTTTCGGCGTTGATGAAGCCAAACATGATTTTCATTTGGCCCTGATTTTTGCTATTTTGTCGTCGTTCTGAGTAGGTCATTGCTATGCACATGCACGGCTGACGATCACACTTGCATGTTTAAGTTAAGTACATGATAACTTGTAATGGATATCAGTGATATGTTATGATATCAACCCTCTTCAAATGCAGTATCAAATAAAGGTTTTATATAGATGATATTCTATGAACAATTTCGCACAAACATGCACGCCATGTCGAAAAGCAGTTGAGCTCATTCTGCTAGGTTGCGAATACGATCCTGCCGCAACCTCGGTCGAACAGTCTTTAGACGGACATGGTAGCCGCCATGGCTTCGGCAGACGATGATGCACCAGTGGAGAGATTATGTGCTCGGACATGAAGTCCATCACAGGTCATTGCTGTACACATTCTGCTTTCTGGGGCCTTTGCTCATGATACTTGGCCCGCTGGATGACGCTGGCTCCTTCTCTTGGCCTCTTCGTCTCCCAATAGAGACTCGCATCATGTCTTGCCACTCACTCAAGATCGACTGCAGACCCCCTGCCTGGCACCCCTCAAGGCTTTTTCGCTTTACTTGCGGATGCTGCCGATCATGTCGACGGGCGAACCGCTACTGGAGGTCTGATTGCAGCAAGCTTTGCCACAGCAACTTGTTGAGCTCTTGTGGCGGCGCGCGTATGACGGGTGTGGACCGAGTTGTAGGCAAGAGCCTGCTGTTGGAGGCGTGCCTCGCCAGAAACAGGACGTCACACCTTGCCTGTCCATGACGGTACTGGTGATACATCTGTCGATTTGAGCGAGGAGGAGGCACGATCGCGCACCACGAGCTTGTGCCCGGCGAGGCTCGTCCCGACTGCATGACGCACAATGTGATGCATGCTCTTCTCTGTGTTGCATTGTACAACCCCCCAAGAAAGCAAATCGGACCGCTCAAGCCGTGCACTTTCTGCTTGATTGACAGGCGTGCGCAAGCCAGCATGCTGCCACAGACCGGGGAAGTTTACGCGCCTCGCCTCACGAAGGTGGGCTGTCTGCTGGAGTACCGGGGACCCCGGAGACCCTCCAGAGAGGGATGCAAATATGGTGTGAGGTCCGCTTTGACCAAGTGGAAGAAGTGACATGGACCAAGAGTTCAGATGGGGCAGTTTCACCGCCACATCCTCGGTAGTAGCTGTTTTTGTCCTAGTTCTGTTTATTCTGCACGCCTTGGCATTGCCCATCGCCCATGCCATGCTGAACTCTGCTCCGTTCATCAGCATTTGCTACTGCCAGCTGTTGTTTTTCATGAGGCCAAGCTTGCGCAAATCGCACCACCCGAGACCGAGCTCGACCAGGCGGATCGACAGGACGCAGAGCCCCGCATGATCCGTTCCCGTTGGGGAACGCGTTGGCGCCGATTGGCGCCGATGGGCGCGTGGCAGGAAGCGCTCATTGTCCGCTCCGCGCACCTCAGGTCCCGACAGTGCCTCGGCAAGCACTGAAAGACATGGAGATCAGACACGAGCCTCCGCTGCAGGTTCCTGTGCACGGTGTCCACAAGGAGCACTGCAACCCGAGGATGCCACCTGTGCACCTCCTCTCTGAATTTGAGTCTAAAGGCATGGCTGCACAGCACACTGGTAGGTTATGCGTCGCTTCACCTGTTCAGTGCAAGCCTTCCGGCAAAGACTGAATTCGACAAAAGCACAGCTGCATAATTAACGGCCTTGTTTGGCGTTATGTGCACCCTTCGTGCCCATGCACAGTTTTTTTCCTCTCTCTCTCACAATGATCTCGTTCTGATGCCAGACGTTTCTTGTCTCAGCCCTGCGCACGCTTGATGTCCCCTGGAAAGTTCCAGACTTAATTGCTGGCTCTTGACCAGTTTGGCGCTATTTTTGCACAGGATGGGGGCGGAATGTGTATCTGCATGCACAAAACTGCAAAAAGAAGCGTGTCTTTCGTGCCCTTGCAGATCGCAGTTAAGGCAGTGTGCCCTTGCAATGAGTGGTCTGGCAAGCTTTTGTTTTCCGGCTGCTGTAGCGAAGAAGCCGTTTACCGTTTACCTGCAAAGATTCATCTGAGTTTCTCTGCACCGGCAAGTCCCTGGTCTAAACACATTCCCAATCTTGGCCTATTTTTACCTTCGCTGTGAACCTGCACTCAGCTTTGCACTCAGCCTCCAAGGTGTTATGTCATCACAGAGTAAGTAACTTGAAGGATAGGGGAAGTTGCGAGCCATGACCCTCAGCGACCTGCCGCAGGTGCACGCTTTCGTGTTTCCCACAAAATGCCCACGGGAGACCTGAAAGAACAGATGCCCTGTGAGGCCTTGGTAATATCGGATGCTGGGGCTCAGGACCAATGACTCAGCAAGCATCGCTGTCTTTTCCGCCTTCATGCCTCCAGTCGGTGTTGGCTATTCCCGACCCTGTGTGGCGTTGTTCGATTTTAGTGAACCATGGAAACGCCCACAGAAAGCCCCGAGTATCCCTGGAGCAACGCCCACCCCCAGAGTCCAAGCCCGCAAAGGGCCAACCAAAGCGCCAACCCCACCCAGCATCCTGGAAGGGCCCCCTGAGACACCCGCAAAGCGTCTCGCCGAGTATCTCGGGCTGCCAACCTCCAGAGAACCCCCCAGAGAGTCCCACCGAGTATCCCTGCAGTGCCCGCAGAGAGTCTGGCCGTGTATCCCTGGGGTGCCTATTTCGTTGCTCGATATTGCGCTTAGCTGTTTTATTTGGTTTTGATATTGTCATTGTTGACGACGTAGTTATTGCCTAGTTATTGATAGTTGCGAGTTCGGCCTTGTTTTATTGCCACCTCGTTTCGCAACTCTGTCTTTACTCTGTCTGCCCTTCTCTGTGTGTGTGTGTGTGTGATTGCTCCCACATCAGCTCGCTTTTTATGGGGCATGATCGAAGCAAATATGTTTGTTCTTCCTTACCTGTTTCGGCCGTCTGGGGGTGTAGCTCCCAGCGCGATGTGGTCGAATGCACCAGGAGATGCACCAGTGCACAGCGTAGTGGCGGTTTGGTGGAACCGTCTTAAGGCATCTCGCGAAACCATCTCGTATCCGCTGCCATGTGGCTGCCGGTCAGTAGTGGTCGTGATGTATATAAGCATGCAGGCTGCCTGTTGTGCAGGCAGTCTGACCTCCAGAGATGGCCGCCACCTCCCAAGATGGAGAAGCAGCTCGCGTACTGATCTCGAACACCTTCCTGGAGATTGTGCAGGGCATGCCCGCCGTGAAGCGGTCATATTCATGGCCGCAGACGGCAGAGAAAGGTGAGGAGGTCTACCTGGAGGGGTGGTCCTTCACACACCCAAAGCTTGTGTCAACGTACCAAGTCCACGAGTTGCAGTCGAAGCAGTCCACGAAGCAGTCGGATCTCAACGTCCACTGGCACGAAGAATACGGACTGCATGCTGACCATCCATCGTGGCAACTTGCTCCAAAACTCATGATCCGCAACCTCCCCGCAAGGTGCACACATGCTGAGCTTGAGGCATTCGTGAGGAGCTCTACAGCCTGCAAGTTCCAGCTCTCATTGCCATTGAACCAGAGCGGTAGGAACCGTGGTTATGCATTCATCACCGTTCCAGACATTGCTTCTTTGCGCTCTCTGGTTCGTGCCATGTGGGGCCAACGTGTGCCAACCAGACAAAGCGAGCGGCCGGTCATGCTGCAGCCGGGGAACTGAGAGGAGTTGCGCAAGACATGTTCACAATTGTCGATTGCAGGGCTGTCATCGGCATCCTCCTGCCAGCGGATAGAGGAGTGATGAGGAGTGCGAACTGAAGCCAAATAATACCTTGTTCCTGGTAGCTTGCCAGTAAGTTGTCCCGATTTGTGCCGCTTGGTGAATATGAGAAGGTACAGCCAGGGAAGTGCATCGGTCAGCTGCAATGCACTGATGATTCTCCTTTTGCAAAAGCTCGCCCGTGCCTTTCAGAGCTGTGCTGTAAACACAGCTTCTTCGGGCATCCATGCACAGTCACTGATCTGCAGCCTTGAGAAAAGAGACTGAAGCACCATTCTCCCGCTCAATTGGCTGTTCGTTGGATTTGCAAGATGCAGACGGCCGCAGACCAAGCATGAGTTGCCGAGAGGACGCCAATGGCGTTTACAAAGCAACTGGCCGCGAATACTGCGATGCACCGGTGTGGACAGCTTTGCTGAATCGGCACATGTTACAAGACCATGTGATCCAAGCTTGCTGCCAGGTTTACGAGCATGTTGAGCGCGGGCAAGAGTTGAGGATTACCCGCGAGCCGCACAAAAACCCGATGCCAGGTTGCAATGTCTCAGTTGCACGTCGGAATGCAGGGGACATTTTTGTGAGAGCCCGCGCCAAGGAAGACAGGCGCTATCAAGGCTGGGCAGCACAAGCTCTTGTATTGCATCGGCACGAACCGCTCAGCTGTCTGTGGAGCCTGAGTCTCGAGTTTCATCCCGTGCCCTGTTGCAGCATGGCTGGCTTCTGGGTCAAGGTGGCCGCCCTTTGTACGGAGCCAGAGACCCAGAAACTGTCTATGCCCTTCTGGTATCCGTGCACCTGGCTTTGCATAAATCGAAGAGACTCAAACGCCACCCAAAGCAATCCGTAACCCCAAATTTCAAGCCCATCCCCGCGACCACTCCACGGGGTGAGGTGGGGGGGGGGTGGGGTGGGGTGGCGTGGAGACGCCAGACGCATGACGTTACATACGCATAGTTTAGTTTTATGCAGCGCAGATTTGGCCGCGCTAAATCTGTTATTTCCTTGTGTTTCGTCTCGGTATACGACAGTTCCCCGCTTGCTCTTCTGCAATTTATGAGTTCCTGGTGTGTCTACTCTATGTGTGCGTTTCCTCGCATTTTGCGCATTTCGCAGCTTCATTTTTCGCTCTTTTGCCTGTTTCGAGCTTTTGATTTCTCCCCCAGTTCTGCTTCTCACTTTCATCGTTTCTTGTAGGGTTATTGGTCTTTAATGTCTTTGGGTTCATCGGCTTGGGCTTTTCAACGAGGCCTTGAAGTGCCCCATCTCGATGTTCATGCTGGTTGCTTCCGCCAGCAGTGCAAGCTCAACATCCCCACTCACCTGGCCCCAACCCCTGCAAGCCCTGCTCCCTGCCCCCTGACTCCTTCAAGCAGTCCTGCTCCCCCAAACCCCCAACAGTAGTGACTAGTAGTGCAAGCACAAAACCCTGCTCGCGCCCCCATAACCCCATCGCACTCCCATCCAAACCCCGAGAGTGCAGGGCCAAAACCTCAACCCTGCTCCCACTCCCATGACTCCCATGGCCCTGAGCCCCAACAGTGCTAGGCCAAACGCCTGTGATCCGTCGAGCCTAAGCCGATGACCTTTCTAAACCAGCAGTGAAAGACCAAAACCTTTAGCCTTCTTGCGGGAGGGAAAAAACTCCAAAACCCCCAAAACAGCAGTGCAAAAAGCTCGAAAACATGTGTTCCAAGAAAGTAGTATCTGCAAGCCACAAGAGCAGCACTGCAAGCCCAAGACCTCAAGCCTCAACTCCAAAACATGTATTCTAAACATGTAGTTTCTGCAAGCCCAAAAAACAGCCGTGCAAGCTCGAAGCTTCAAGCCCAAATCCGCGCCGCATACCTTGTAGCTGGCCTTGTAGCTTGCTGATGTCGACTCTTTGCTCTATTTTATACTCGCAGTGTAGGCTCCAACGGAGTCTTTGGCTGTTCCGGCCTCGGGCTGGAAGAAGCCGGGGCCTTGCCAGCCTTGCTGAGGTATTGTGCCACTTTAGAGCTGCTACGTGAGCTGTTTTTTGACGTGCTATGTTGGCTCGGGGACACCGCAATCTTGGCTTTGCAGCTAACCTTGTGGAGCGCATGGCAGGGAACGGCAGCATGTACATCATTGTTTGCCAGTTGCGTTACACATTCGACGGATGCAGCATCTAACCACATTCATAATTGAAAGCTGGCACGGTCAGCATTCATGCATGAGCATCCCACTTTTAAAGTCGATGTGCAGCGAGATTCCAATGTGGCCATGCATTCGGGAGTCTTGCATCCTGAGCGAAGGATGTGCACATGCTTTGCAAGCTTTTTAAGGCTATTGCAAGTATCCCGCCGTCAGGACAGATTGCAGCGTGTCAAGGCAGCCAATGGCTACATGCATGCAGCATGCAAGGCCTGTGTGGCGTTCTTGGACGCCATTTGAACAGCTTGCGCAGTCCTTTCGTGAACAGGTCCAGCGCCAGCTGCCCCAGTGCAATGCCTCAATCACGGCTGCCGCGAAACTTCATCGCTGGCAGCAGGGCCTGGACTTGGCAGCACAGATCTGGCCTGATTCCAAGATTCCAAGACTCCTCATGTACTGGGTAGGTTTTTTGAAGCTTGGCAGTTCAGGGCAGTTCAGACCAGCACAGGCTTTCGTCGCTCCAGCCAAGCGTGATCTCTTTAACCGCTTCCATCAGCTCCTTCGAGAAGGGCCTCCTATGGCATGCAGCCTACAAGACTCTTTCGGTCTCGCGGGTTGCAAGCCTGAAGCCCAGATCGAAACCCACTTCGTAAATCTTAAAATTCCACACGCATTGAACCCTGTGCTGAGGTGTTGAGCTCGATGTTGTTGCATGCATGGCGGTGATGGTGGCATGTGAGAAGGCAAGGCAGTGGAAGTGGTCCCTCTTTGTCCTGTCAGAGATGCGGCCGGTACCTCAGGCATCTCAGGCAGATTCTCAGGCCCGCTTTGCCCTGCCTTCCCCTTGCCTTGCAGGTCGGCTTCCCTTGACCCAGATGCGTGCCTTTTTAATGGGGCCGTGCCCTGAGCCCCATTGAGCGAAGGCAAGGCAGCAAGGCAGCCGTGGTGAATGCGCAGCTGGCCTGACCACGTAGGCCATCAGCGCCTGTGAGAAGTCCGCCACGTGGCTCGGAGCTGTCCTTGTCTTGCAAGAGATCTCTACACGACTTCAGCCCGACTTCATCTCCCACACTGTGTCTCGGACAATTTTGCGCGCAGTGTGCAGGGACTAGCTTGCTTTCACACACTGCTATTCCCCGAGGCTTGCATCAGTGCGTGTGAAAAAGAAGGGCAGTGGACGTTGGGAATCAGCAGCGTCCTTATGCTGGATGTGTTCGGGCACACCTGGAATAGAGTCATTGGCTGAACCTGTTGAGCATCCACCGTGCATATTCCTGGGTACTTTCCAAGCCGATGAGTCAATCTTTCTTTCCTAGACGCGCGAACAGTGCTCTCCGTACTCCTGTCTGTGTAGGTTGCAGCAAGTCAGCCCTGCCATTGAAACCGGAAGTGGTCCATGCCCGCGCGTCACTCTACCCTGCCTGCCGGCAGACCCACCTCATACGAGGATCCGGGCATCCCGCAAACACTGGACATGCCATGAAATGTCTGAAGTCATGGGCAAATCAAACCGTGAGACCATTTGCCTCCCGAGCTCGAAAGAGGGCAGACGGGAAACCACAAGAATGTCAGTGCAAGGACTGCTCCCTGGTTCAGCAGCGCGATCGGCGATTCAAAAGCCAATGTGGTTCATCAACCATTCATGATTCCCCGCCACCCCTCCCCATCCCTCACTCCCTGCCCCTCTGCTGCCCGAATTTCCAACCCACAGGCGAATCAAATTCCTGAAGATTCTATTGCATGTGTACGTGGTGAGGCTTGCTGTCGGCTATGCCGCAGTTGTCTCTGCAGCCAAACATAATCAGCAGCTTGCTTGAATCTACTCGTTGCTTTGGCCAAGTGGCGTGGCGCCATCACACCTTGGATCGCTGAAATGAGGCCTGAATGCAGCTCTCAGTGCCTGCGAAAAGTCTGGCTTATGGCACAAGATTTGCAGCATGTGTCTTGCTTGTTCCAGAACGGACGCTTGGTCGCCATTTTGCTGCATGCGAACTGGCGTGCTTGCTGCCGGGCAGTTCCAGTGCAGCGTGTTGCTCTCATGTACAAGGACACGAGCCTCGACGTCATATCTTTCACGGCTGCGACAAATGCCTGTGCTAGGGGCCGATGCTGGGAAAGAGCGTCTCGGTCAGCAACTGTCAGCTTTTCGGCTTCAGGCTTGCTGGCTCGAGAGACTCGCAGGCAGTTGCCTTCGTCTGCCAGCTCTCTCAGCGGGGTGTGAGGCCACAACATTTTCACAGAGCTTGTGTCTTCGCTGGTGGTTTAGCTGTTGCAGAAGCCCCCTGGTAGGAGAGATCAGGGACTTGACAATTCCTACCTCAATGCTCTGGACTGGGGTCAGCATTGGCCAGCTTCGATGCAGGTCGTGCAGCAGTGACCTGTCTGCGAAGAACCGGACGCTACACTGTCTGTACTTGCCTCTGAATGTAGATGGTGTGCGCCCGGTGACTGATGTTTGTAAGGCTCGGCAGAATGGATGCAATCGATGCAGCAAGCTTAGCGGCTCTGCTGAGTGCAGGCTGCTGGTAAGATTTCCGAGGCTAATTAAATCAGCAACGAGGGCCGTGGCACGTTTTGGTGCAAGAGTTGCTGGGACCGGACTTTTGCAGGCAACAAATGCCAGCATTGGCAGATCTCAGCACAGTTGTACAATTCAGCCAGGCCAGGTTCTCGCAGAAAGGAGATGTAACACCCAACCAGCGCGTCTTATGCACATCACCGGTGCCTTGCGTTTGCTCGGCTGAGGTCTCTGGGTATTGCTACTGATGCTGTTGTACTTGACGCAGTGCCTTGGACGAGAACAGCCCGACATTAGCGAAGCCCTCCTCATGTTTAAAGCCGACGGCTCGACGACGACCACCTGCAAGTTCTCTAAATCGTGTCCAACGTTGCCTCGTAGCCACTTCGGCCATGTTTGGCCTGTCCTTCCGCTCTTTCACGTACTCCGCTTCCTCAAATCCTCTCACTCGCCCTCGCTCGTTCCTGTCCCTCCAGCTCTTTCCTTCTCAGTAAGCAACCAAGCCGGGCCAGACCAGAAATCCGACCGCGAAAAGGGACTCGCCCTCCGGCGGCTCGCAGTTCGCCTGGACAGCCAAGCGCTAGCACTTTCCGGCCATAATTAGCCAACAATTGAATCCGATCTAGAAGAGTTCTTTCGAGGGGCAGCTGCCCGAGTATGTTCGTGGCATTAACTCAGGCCATGAGCGCTCATGCAGCGAAACAATGCTGGAGGGGAGCCACCGCCTTGCTTGCGCAAGTGCGATCAGCAGGACTTGGCTCTGTGTTGCATTCCTCACCAACAGCTCACAATGGCCTGATGTCATCGCGCAAAACCTCGGCAGGACTGGAGCCAGTGCTTGTTGCTGGCAACGCAGCTCTTGCATGTTGCAGCAAGGTGGCCTTGTGAAGCCCAATTTGCTTGGCAGAAGGTGTTGCTTGATATTGTTGCAGAGGCAAACTGGGCGGTTGTGCTGCGGCTGTTGCTGCAAATGAAGGAGGGGCCCATGGATGCCGCGGCCATGGATCCTGAGTGCCTCTGACAGCCCCAGCCAGCAAATGATTTGCTGTCGATTGAGGTGATCAGCTACAACTCGGCCCTCTGCGGCATCTTCCGCTGGAAACAAGCTTTGGCGCTGATACGAGAAATGACGATTGCACGAACCATTGAGACTTGGCAGTTGCAGCAATTCGTCCACACTTGACGTGCATGGCCACCACGAAACACAGCGGTCGATCAGGACATGTCCAGCTATGGCCTGGCTGTGGGCATTTGCATGGGTCGTGGCCAGGTGGTTCTTCGGCTTCTTCAAAGACTCTCCCTAGATTGCATGAACCTGCTCACAAGAAAGATGCACAAGCTGATTTAACATCATCCAGATGATGGGTGGGCGCCTCCAACTGTACATGCTCTCATTGTGGACAAGGCCGGCCAAGAACAGGCGGAAGCCCGATGTTTGTTCGCGATGCACAGGCTGAAGATCACCTGATGGAAGCAGGGCGTTTGTGCATCATGTCTGTGCAAGATTGTTTCACCGCGCGCCTTGCTCCTTATCTTCTGCCCTGCTTATGGACGGCTTCGCCACAAAGAGAGCCGTAGAGCGAACGACCAGGTTTGAGCGACGGGAACCTTAGTGGACGTCCCAGGTTTGGCGGTGAGGATCCCATTCCCACAGTGCGGTAAGGACCTGAGAACTTCAACAAACGGCTTGACGTGCCAAACAATTTTGAAGCATTATGCACCTGCCGAACTGAGGGTGCACCTAAACATGGACGAGGTTCTGTTCAACTCGGCAGACAGCACCAAGTCCGCAGGCGATCAGGCCATGGAGAAGGAGGCAACGGCAACTTGTACCGGTGCAGAGAAACGGCAAACTAAAGTGGCAGCTCCTCCTGGCCACACGTGCTACGGCGCGTGCAGGATTGGCAGGGTGCGATTCAGCACTTCACTGCCCGAGCCCGAGCAAGGGAAAAAGCTTGCGACAAGCAAATGTTACTTGTCATGCCGGTGCAGGCTGGAATCGATACAATGAAAAGAGCAAGTGATTGCTTAAGCACCACTTTCAAAAGCCGCGCAGCTCTCAGGTATGTGCATGCGTGTGCAAGTGTCACAAGTGTCACAGCCGCCGTGCATGCCGGGCTCTGCGGCAGCTCCTGCCCGAGCATGCACGTCTTCTACACCTGAAGGTGCTTCCCTTTTACTGTTTCGAAGAGGCAGCGCTCACATGAGATTGCAGGCAAGCGGCAAGTGTGTGTTTGCAGCTCGTGGGTGGCTTCCCAGACTTCCCAGATGTGCCCAAGCCATGAGAGCCACGCTTTGAGGAGCACAAGGCTGCACTCCGCGATGCAGTGGCTGCCATGGACTTGGAGCGGCAAGAAGCAGAGGCACAAGTTTTCCAATGTGGCAAGTGTTCGTTCTCGTTCTTTCGTGCCACTCCTGTGGTCCTCACTCGAGAGTATATGAGGGAAAGGCTTTTGTACCAAAGTGCGAGATGTGTAGTTTCGCAGCCTTGAGTCCAAGTTGGCAAGCCAACCCGCCTCCTTCTGCGCGTTTGGCCATGCGAGCAAAAGCGCTGCATCGAGCCACCCGATTGCTGGCTGCACTGAGCTTCTTGGAGCATTTGCAGCATGTCTTGGTTCTCTCTACTTCTCTCTCACACTCACTTCGTGTTGAGAGCCTGAAATCCCAGTTGGAACTGAGGCTTTGGGCTGTTGCTTGCACGCGCCGGTCCCTTGCTGGCAGCGCTTAACCAAGAAAGACAAGAACTTGGGACAAGAACAAGCAACAGACTATGTCAGCAGCAGCTGCATTTGCCTCTATATCCATGTGCTACCTCCCCCCAGCCCTCCAAAGATTCGCGCTTTGAATGTTGTCGAGTCCGATGTGAATGATTGTGTGCAATATGTGAGGAAGACGAATGAAGTGAAGGGATGGACTGTTGCAAGCATTCTGGCATTGTCCCTGCGCCTCATATGCGTCCGCTGCAAAGCTGTGTGATACAGTCCATTTGCCACAGGAGGCTGCATTTCTAACAAAAATCTTGGACATGTTCAAAGTGAAGAGCTCGCCTGTACCAGAGCTACGAGAGGTAGGCATAGGGGGAATTCGCGAAGAAAGATTGAGTTTCGAAGGGCCCCTTCGGGGCCTGCTACTTCATTGTAGAACTTGCCAGTGCTCGTGCCGTGTTCCATCGACCTATGCCTAAATTAGAACTTCCAGAAATACTCTTAAGCATAGTAGTTGCCACTTTAAGTTAACAAAGTAGTTAGTTCAAAAAAAATCATCATTCACCGCGGAGGCAAGTTATTGTTTCGAAGTTATGCTATTCAAACAGCCGGGAATATTGGAAGAAAATGAGGGACAGCTACTTCGACGACCGGGCTAGTTTGTAATGAGGTTGTAATGAGGGGCTAGTTTTACTAGAGTCGCGGACTGAACAAATCAATGGCTTGCAACTTCAGAACACGATCTCCTTGGGGTTACACTCCTACTAGATAGATCTTCATTCCCTCGAAGCGAGTTCCTACCGTCCCACTTTTGAGGCCCCGGGGAGCTCAAATGCTGTACTATCCGAAAAAAAGCCCGATCCAAAACAGCAAAAAGTGCTGTAACGGCCCTAGCTCCAGGAGCCTTGGAGGTTCCCAGAGATTTTCTGAGAATTTTCTTGGTCTAAATCTTCCTTTAAACGACTGGTGCATTTGGGATAGCACAGCGCTTTTGAAGGGGTCAAGGAATGCTCAGGAAGGCATGTACAGCCATATCTGTACTTGTATCTTTGCCTATATCTTTCTATATATATATATGTATATATTTTTTTAGAGGCAGATCAGATCGGGTGAATTGAAGGGGGCAAGTAGTACTTGTTTAATGCGTGACTGGTGCTCTCTGCTGGCAGGACTTGTGCCCGTGCAGTTCACTGGGCTCAGCCGAGGGAGGTATCAGCGCGCTGCAACGCGGTTGAGTGCTGGGCATGCTGGGCCATCAATTGAAAGATCCAACCAGCTACTTGGCAGTGTGATCGCCGGATGCTGCTGTGGAAGCCGCACATATAGGTGCCATAAGATGGGAAAATGAGGCAGCTCGAGGAGTTGGGGGTCAACCTGAAAGACCTGGAAGAGACGTTTTCTCGTTCAGCTGGCCCTGGTGGACAGAACGTCAACAAGGCAGAGCAAAGCTCGGGCTCATGGTGGCTCTGGTTGGACATGATGCAGCCCCAACAGGTTGAAACTGCCGTGCGATTGCGGCACGCTCCTTCGGGGCTTGAGGCCGGAAGGGGGTGAATACCAGAAAGTTTGGACCAGTACACTCCTGTGACCTGCGGGCGATCTGGGTGCGAGCTAGGTGAAAGCGCAGACGCACCGAACACAGTTGGAAAACCGGGTCTCAGCACGTCGGCGCCTGGCCGAATTGCAGCCAGGCAGCAGTGGCTTCATGGTTTCAGAATATAGCGACGTGCAGTCAGACTAGTCTAAGCGAGAATGATATGTGCTCTACAGGGAACGCATGTCGTAGTGAGTTGACACCGGCCCAGGTCACTGGAGGGCTAACATGTGTTGGCAACATTCGAGAGTTTCTCGATGTGAGCGCTGAAGTGTATGGATTGATTGTGTTAATGTTTCGATTGCGGGCCAGGCGTGGGTCAGGAAGAAGGGGTTCAGATGTCAGGCTAGAAACTTCACAGCTTCGCTTCACTTGTTTCGTGAAACTGGCAAGGCCGGTCCCTCAATGTTTCATTCGTGCAGTGTAGGACGTGCAGGAATCGACAATGCAGGTGTGTGCGCAGGTTTGCTTTGAGGCAAAGCCTGCAGAGCCCAACAAAACATCGTTTGTAAAGGTAAACCTTAGGGTTTGTCTTTGGGAAGCCGGTTGTTTGTAGCAGTCAACTCTCATTCTTTGAGGGTTCAAGGAGATGGCAAGAAGTCTTTGGCTCTGCCACTGCCAACTGTGTTGCGAATGCATCTGCGAGTTCATAGTGAACACACAATCGGAGGTACAAGAAAAACGTGCTGGGAGTGGAGACCAAGGCGGCGGATGGAAGCATGCCTATATCAGACATGTCCGAAAGCTTGCAGGCTGACCGCAAAGTTCGGAAGGTTCGCAGCAATAAGGCGCGCAGAGCACGACGCAGGCGGAAGAAAGCCGAAGAGGTGCAGTTGTCTGCAAGTAGCGACTAGGTAGTGGCAGGGAGTGGAAGCTCCTGGCCCCGGAATTCCTCAGGCGCTTGCGCAGGCAGAGGGCGACGAAGGCCTGCGCCGGGCTGATTTGTGTTTGCAAGGCCTCGAGGGCTTGTTTAAGGCTTGTTTGCTTTCACTTGGGAACAGGTGAGGAATCATCATCGCCGAGAGCGCGCTCCACATAGCAGCATGAGTCATGGGTTTCCTCTCTGGACGACTGCTTCAATGACGTTGCGCAACAACACCTTGGATTCGGGGCTTTCCAACTTGGCGGACCTCGTTCGTGGAGCAGGCAGCAAGAGCATAAGCCGGAGCCGCTGCAGCCAAAGACATCTGAGGACTGTGATTCAAGCGCTTTTAGGAGCCGAGGAACTGAAATCACCTCGCAGGCTTTGCGAACTTGGCCGAACATGGCGCCCAAGGCCTACTGGAAGTGACAGCAGAAAAGCGGAGCTTGCAAAAAAGCTGCCCTGCAGTGCGCAGCCATCCCCTGTTCGATTACAGGGTCTGTGTCTCTTGAGCACTGGCCTGTGCAGTTCCTAGCACATGTGTTCTCGGACCTAGCTTCCACCTTCTTTTTTCACCTCCGGACTTCCACACAAGCCATGGAACAGCAGCTCCCATCGGGAAAGCCCGGCAGTGCTAGTTTTCTCCTGTGGTGCTGGTTGGTGGTGTGCGCCACATTGCGCCACTGTTTGTCATATTTTGGCCTTTCCGTGCCGACGCATGCGCTGAGCAGGCACTAGCGCGTGAAGCTCTCGGCGAGTTGGGCTTCAAGGCAGGTGTTGCGGCGGGACGCTTGCCGTGCTTGCATCATATTTCGTGGCGCAGGACGAAGTCCTCTCACAGAAGATTCTGGACCGCTACTTGCTCGGTTACAGCAGTGGAGACCTTGATATCATGAAGTGTCTCTTCATAAGAGTGGTTTGAGGCTACGACTCGGAGAGTGGCAAAAGTCAAGCAAGCAAGACCAAAAAGTATATGCATTGTCTTTGTATGTTTTTGTGTGACCTCTGGGGTGTTGCTGGGTCATCCTGTCTCTCCTGCAAAATTGTTTGCCGTGTCATCTGTGTCAGCCAGTGGAGGGCTTCTCCACTCGGGGTTGCCTCCGTCAGGGTGGTTCCGCCTGGCACAATCGTGGGCCCCACGCCAGACGCAAGGGCTCAAATTTCTCAAAATCACTGTTGCGATCGCCCGCGCTGAGTCCAGCAAGTCTATCTGCAGATAAGTATGCCTTGCATGCTCTGTCTGGCATGCTCATGTCCAGCCAAGCATTTGCTCTTACATGTTCTTGCGATTGCTTACACATTGAAGTTTCATCCCAATCCCAATGCGCCTTTCGCGGTCACTGAAGGAGCCGGTGGGCTTTGGTCGCATACTTGATCCAGCAGTGTCTTTGCTCAGGTTTTTGGAATCATCAGTCAACCAATCTCGAGTTACTCACGACCACCCGCAGTTGCCACAGCATTCAGGCTCCGTTGGTTCTGAGATGTGTCTGGATCCAAGCAAAAGGAATGAGTAAACACTATTGTGGATGGCAGAGAGATGGCATGGTTTTTGCCCAGGTTGATCGATGGACTGCCGATGTCCTGAACCACTTCTCCCAAGTCCCGGCACTTCGTCCAAAGAACCAGGTGGATGAACGTGTGCCATCACAATTACTCCGTACGAGGCGGACTGCGCAGAGGAGATGCCCATGCCCGTGCACATGCCTTCAGACAGGCAGTCGCAGCACCACAAGAGAAGACTCGAGAAGACTGAAGCTGTGCGGAATCTCCACGGCTGATGTGGAGGTATTTGGATGGCCTCGATGAAGAGACACGTGCCGCAGTGATCCGAAAATACGTCCCGCAGGAGCAATTTGGAGGTCGTGCCCTGAAGCCTTCAGATATTCTGTGGTGCAATCATTTCCCCGGTGCAACGGGAAACGGTGGCTCGCAAGGAACGGCGGTCGTTTCCTCGGCGGGAGAGTGCATTGACCTCATGAAGAAATGGGAGGAGGTCCGCCTTTTGATGTTTCTGAGGTTGGTGGTTGTTTGCTGGGCAAGTTATGGCCTTCAACCTGCAAGATAGTGCAAGGTCTTTTCTGGACCCGAGTTTCAGTGCAGCACCAAGTGCCTCAAGTACACCTGGACAGCGCAGCCTTCATCACAGATGCAACCGCGAGATGTGCTATCAGGTGGCAGGCCAGGTGCTCGACCCTATGTTAATCTATTTCCTTCTTCCTTGAGGTGCAGGAGGAAAGCCCTCTGGGATCGGCGTGACCTATCTTTCCCTGCCCGTATGAGGGAAACAAGGCCCAGTCTGGATGCCTGCAGTGCTTTCATATTCTAGTCATCGCACCTTCTGGATCAGGACTATGGTGGCAGAGAGCCTTTCCAAGGTGCTTGAGCCAATGGGATTCGCACCTGGGAGGCTGGGGAGCTATGGGAGCTATTGTGGTTCGATACCTCGATACCGTGGTTGATACAGTAGCAACAAGGCTGTTTTGCATTGGGTGAGGCCTGGCTTAGCCCGCTGCGTCAAGCAGATGCAGGCAAGACTTCCCACAAAGTAAATCGCCCTTGAAGCAAAGGTTGGAGAAGTAGGTACTGCCAGTAGTCCAATCTCTCATTGTGCTCCAAGACCATGATTAGTCTGTCGTATGCATCATGAGATAGTGAAAGTGGAGAATGTGGAAGGTGTTCTGGTCCACTGACAAAGCCTGTGCCAACAAGGCTGACGCTGCCACGGCTTCATAGTTGGCCCAGGGCAACCTAGCTTGATTCGCCTCTGTATTGTATCGCCGCTTCGTCGCTGCCGGTTCGCGGCTTCGCCTTGGCCAATTCCAGACACAACCGAGCACAACACCTTCACTCCAACAGGGTCCACAAGACCTTCTAGACTTGTAGAGTGGCCAGCGCGGTCCGTGTCGCCATGCCATGTGCTTTTCCCACTTCATGTGGCCATGCCTGAAGTCAATGGTGTCAGATTTGCCAGACTTTGGTCGGGCGCTTATGCGAACTAAATGGAACTCGATGGAGTCTCGTGAGATGTCTGGTTCTGGAGAGCTGTCCAGGACTCTTGATGGCAGCGAGGATGACGACAACGAATTTGTGCGATTCTGAGCACTGGCTTTCGTTCTCTGTTGAATGTTCAGGTGTTCAGGTCTGATCGGTACTAAGAAAAGGCTGCACGTGCCCTTGCCAGAAGCAAGGAAGTTTTTTCCGTCCTTTCCAGATACAGGGAGAAAGGCAGCAGGATTCGGAATAGACCGCGTTTCGGGTCAGGCAAGGTGATCGCCTGCTTTTTATGCCCAGGATCTCAAAATAAGTACAGCAGCAGGCCAAGCAAGGTGTAGAGAGTGGCTTGAGTGCGACCTTGACATGTGCCCTAAGGTGTGGCAGCCGGAGATTGAGGACCTCGAGCTGAAGGGCATACACCTGCTGTCCCTTTTTGATGGGCTGGATTCCAGGACCCCTGTGACTAACTTAGTAACTGCTGGCGCAGCTGCGGAGCAGAGGTCGGGGTCCGAGTTCTTCTCATTCTGCTTCTCCGTGTCTTTACTCTGTCTCTGGTGCAAGCGCCATAAACCAGATGCTTGTGATCGTCTTGTGTGGTGTCTGCACTCTGCACGCTTCAACGCATAAGAGCAGCGAGTAGGAAAACATGGAAAGCACACGATAGAACAGTTGGAATGCTTCGACTCTCCGAATGCTGGAGAGCTCAGCCCAACGGTCCCTGCCGGTGATTAAATCGTATCGTGTAGCCCCTAGCACGACTTCGTTTTTTTGCTGTTTAAGAAAAGTTTCGGTTCGATGCCAATTGGCAAAAAGTGTGCTTTCCATTCTGACCTGTGGACGCACCCCCCCCGTGCGGGCGAAACCTTCGAGCATGCTGCTTTTCAGTGATGGTTGCCCCTCCTTGGCGACAGTGTCAAAAGCCATCAAAAGCCAGTCGGCACTTCCCGGGCAGTACTTTGAAGAGCGACCCTCGTTGGCCCAATCGAGCGATCAATCCGCCCCTGAGGACCACGGAGGTCATCGTGAGTGCTCCAAACTTTGGTCAGGCAAAGTCACTGCTGTTGGCTACCTGTCATGCAGCAGGCGCCTAGGGCATGGTTAGTCAGTTAGTCACGCAGGCATACGCTGCAAACAGAGTATGCCGTTCCTACAGGTGCCCCAGCTTTCAGCCATGAAGAGGTGGATGCTACTGTGCCACCCCCAGCACTGCATGAGCCATGACAATTTCTTTCCCGGAAGGGGCATATCATTTCCTCATTCTTGCCAGGCTGTCCGTGTTGTTGCAGATGCTCTCAAAAACCACACTGGCAGAGAGATTTGCGGCTATCGTTCTTCAATTTCGGAGGAGCTGGGCTGCAACTTGACTGCCTTGTCTTTAACCACACGTATTGCAGGCTTCCTTGATGGTAACACCATGTAGGGGTGAGATATTTGAGGAATCTTTTTTGACTTGATGCACAAGTCAATAGTCATCCTGTCTTCCCTTTGCCTGCCCTTCTTCGTTGTACTTCTGCCCCCAGAGTCAACCCCGGGCACAGCCAAGCCACTTCAGTTTTGGAGCAGGTTTGCTGCCTGCAAGTGCTTGCTGTGTTTACACCAAGCAATGAAAACATGAAGATGCAAGAGGCCCTAGCACACCTGGCATTTTGACGTGGCAGCTGGCCATGCATGCTGCAGGTTTGATGGTAACACTGCGAGATTTTCGCCGTTCATTCGATGAGCAGTTCAAAAACGAGCTGGCTAGCTTGATCGAGGAATCGCTCTCGCGGCTGAGCTTCACAAGCTGTAGCACGCCCGCTGTTTGTCTGTTTCTCTTCTGCTTCTATTCAGCTGTGGAAGGAAGTGTTTTTAAATTTTAAAGAAAAGGCTCCCACTCACCAAGGAGTGTGTCCTCCTTACCTACACTTGGCCTGGATTCGTCGAAGCCCGCGGTGAGTGCTGCAGCACGCAGGGAGGCTTATGCAAGCCTAGGCCAGGAGTACTGCATGGTGCAACTCACAAGAGGGACGAATGAACGTTTGTGCAATTCACGTTTTTGGTAGGGTGTGCTTCACCTCTGGCATCGTTGAATCATGTGCGCCCTTTAGGACTTGCAGCTGGTGCAGCCGGGGCCGTAGCGACGGGAGGCAGTGCGCTTGTTGCAGTAGGCTTTGCGGCAGCAGCTGCCAGCCTTGGCGCGCATGCTGCAATGACCCAAGCAGACCCAACAAGTCCAGCAGTGGGCTGCGCTTTTGGCCGGGGAACTTCCCGGGACCTGCGTGTCACCAACGCTGCTGCAACCCTCCGGGAGATGTTGAAGACCGGAGTCGACCTGTCATTGGTGGATGAGCTCACGGAGGAGGAGCGCGTTTTGGGAGGACATCTGGCCGCAGTCAGGGTGCAGGAGGCCCAGGTCGTCGCGTCCGAAGACGACACGCCGCCTACCTTGATGGCACCCATCGGGTTGCTTGTAAACGACAACGACAACCCGCTGCTGACTTCCATGATCCTTTCTGCAATGGCCTTAATTACAGATGCCATGGCTGGAGGCGGTGAAATCAATGGCTACGTGCTTCGCTCGGTGAGGGTGCGTGGGTGTCGTGGCTGTGCATTGACGTTTCGAAGGGCTCACTCTTGCCCTTTGATGTGATTGACACGCCCTGGCTCCGAAATCACGATGTCTCACTGCATGAGCCTACACGAGCCTGCCGGGCATGTCAAGTTGCGGTGGAGGAAGTAGTTTGCTGTGCCGGGCATGTTCACCTCCAGCATGACAAAAGGTGAGCATTGCCTGGAACTGCAGTTGCACCAGTAACGGCAGTCATCACAGCTCTTTGCATGCTTCCTGCAGGCCTTGGACCTTGAGGAGCTGGCGGATGTGAGCCTGGCAGACCTAGAGTAGCGTCATGAAGCAGTTTTGTTTCGTCTTGGCGGTGCCATCAAGTGCAGCCCAGCTTGAGACTTGTGACCGTTGCCACGGGTGACCCAAAAGTGTTCGAGGGCTTTGGCTTTTGCAAGAGAAATGTTGTTAAAATGAAGGTTGGGATGTTCGAGGGTTCTGGGATTCAAGGGTTCGGGCTCTATTTACTTAAGGGCGTCGGATGCTCGGTTTGCGGTGTCGTCTTTCAGGAGCGGCTGCTGTCTTGTTGTTAAAATGTGAGTTCATCTTAAACAAGCAGAGCGCGAAGGACATTTCACTCGCCGGCAGCTACCCCGTAAAGTGGAGGGACCGAAAGTCCTGTGTGCACAGGGCGCCATTTTCGTTGAACGTAGGTGCGGCAGGAATGCCCATAGCCTTGGCGCCAGCAGCTTGAGCCGAGCCTTCCCTCACCCGTATTTTGCTGCAGTTCCGAAAATGCTGACGGCACCGTGTCAGGCGCGAGCTTTGCTAGCAAGTTGGGGGGAACCACCTTTCGCTTTTCCACGGTGACATCTTTTCGGCCCGATCTTGTTGATGTTGCAGCATGTGCTTTTGAGGGGTCCATGGTTTCTTCATCGGGTGCGGGCAAGCAAGAAAGGCTTTGGCTCTGAAATTCATGGCCAGTGGCCTTAAGTGTTAGAGCGAAGTGTTCCACAACCACCACTCGCAAAATGACGGATGCTCCCCGAGCAGCCTTGCAGCAGATAGGCCTGGCAGGCATCAGCAATGCGACTTGACTGCAGAATCTGCCAGGAGTGCCATTGAAAAGTTCAAGCAGTGAGCAGTGTCAGACTCCGGTTGCCCTGAAAGCACGTAGCAGCTAACGTAGCATAGCAAAGGCCATTGCAGCTTGCTTCACAAACCCGGTCGACGTGGTGAAGGCTTGGCAGTTCATGCAATGTGCGCAATACCCTATATGCAAAGTGTGGCCGCTTTCTGGGATCAACAGCCTTTGGCCAGAGGTGCGCATGCAGTTGGCGGGCGTTTCCCAAATCACGAGCTGCAACGCGCAGACAGTTCTGAGCTCTGGCCAGAAGCTTCTTCAGCAGGAAGGCCTCTCTGGATTGCAGCGAGGCGGGAGTTGATTTCCTCAAATGGCTTGTTTGTGCTAATTGGCTTGTTTGTGCTTGTTGCCTTTTTTTCGTGTGTGTGTGTGTGTGGATGCGTTCCTCGCTTTCTCTTCTGGTGGAGTATCGGAGATGATGGGGTTCTGCACGGAAACAGGCGGTTAGCAAAGTCAACACTGGGCTTCTTAGCTTGAGTGCCCCTGGACTTGCCTAAGTAGAATGAAGGTGGCCCAGAAACCCGAGAATTTCGAAAATGCAAACCACAGACTTTCTTAACCACAGTTTTCGCAAGCAAAGCCGACACTGTGGTGGATGCATTTGGAGTTTAGGGGTGTCGCGACCAGCAACTGTGGGGTGTTTCCTTGCATCTCGACCTTACAGAACTGGACAAGAACGGTTTTTGTCCTGGGTCTAAGCACAGTTTTGAGATGTTGAGAGCGTCAAGGTGGGGGGCATGGCCCCATGAGCATTGTGAGCCCTGATAAGCCCTTTGGGATTGTGGGTGGCTTGAAGGAGCCGCGCTTGTTCCTAGGGTCGGTAGATCTCGGTTCCGGGGGTGCTGCATGGCAGAGGGACAAGGGTCAAACATCTCTTTAGAAAGAGCATTGTTTCCGACTCTGATCCTGAGGCCTTCGACCATCAGTCCTGCGAGAGCTGTCGTACAGTGGCATGCGCATGGGCCTGTACGAGCCCGTGCGAGAGAAGCTGGCAGGTCTAGGCAGCTTGCATGTTGCATGTTGTCAGCCACTTGTTGCTGTTGCCATGCCAATATCTGCCCTTTGGGTTTTCCTCCGCTGCCAGCCGACAGCTTCACCTGTTCGTACTGGCGATTCCAAAGTTGTTTCTTTGCCTGTCCAACAGTCCAACACTTGTCCAGGGCAGCAGGAGCGGAGACAAAGGACTTCGCCGTTGATGGTGAAAGTCCTGGCTGGAGCAATCACAGGCCCGAGCTACTTTCTGATGCGCAGCTTGCATGATTAGTCAATACAGCCGACGAACGGTCATTTTGACTCCTCAGGTGCTGTCGGCTCCGTAATCGCGAATCCTTTCGACCTTCTCAAAGTTCGCATGCAAGGAGGAGGCCAGGGTCAAGCTCGCGCTTCTGCGACTTGTCACAAAACAACCCATATCAGAATCCCAGGTTTGTAGTTTGCGGGATTCTGGGACAAGTTCCAAGCTCCACGCAGCGCAGGGACTTTCGTCACCCCCCCGTTCGTGTGTTCTTGAGGTAGCAGAGGCACTGTCCGCAATCGTACGTGATGCGGGAGTGCGCGGGCTCTGGCGGGGGGCTGGCCCCACTGTGCAAAGAGCAACTCTGCTCACAGCCTCACAGGCAGGCGTGGACCAGCAGCTGACAAGGGGCACAGAGGAAGTGTGCAACATTCCTGCACATGCCTGCAGGTGCCCAGCTATGACCACGCCAAGCATACACTACTTGATTTAGGCTCGTCGGCAGGTTGAACTTCAACTCAGCTTTGTTATCTGTTGGTGCTTCTCTGCAGGTCTTGTTCGGGAGGGCTGCTTGTCTGCAACGCATCTCTGCAAGAACGTGCACGTTGCATCACGTTGCATCCCGAAGTGGCAAAGGCTATGCATGCCACTTCGTGTGCAGCATGCTGGCGGGGGTCGTGGCTGCTGCGGTAACTAGCCCTGTCGATTTGGCCAAGAGCCGAATCATGTCACAGCCGCTGGACCAAGGGACTCTCGGTCATGTTGCATGAACAGATGGAGGCTTCTTTGTCTTACTTCTATGGGTAGCATCGTCCTATGTTAAAGTTGCCTTCTGTGTGTAATTTGCTTTATCAGTAGAATCTACAGTAGTAATAGCAATATTGGTAGTGGTAGTGGGAATCGTAGCAGTAGTCGTCGGCTGCTACGGCCATGCCAGTTATGTTCGTTACTGTTTTGTTACCGACGGGATCATGCAGTGCGAGGAGTGACGGCCTCAGTGGTACATCGGTACGTGAGCCGCAGTATCCCTGCGCTTGTTCTTCCGGGGGGGTCAGTGCCCACGAGGCACCACAGCACTGTACATTCTGCAGTTGTGCCTAAATCTTTGTGGTTGTCGTTATAGTTGTCGTTGTCGTTGCTCTTCTTGAAGCTTCTTACTTGCTTTGTGCCTTTGACTTTAACTTTTCTTTGCATGGATAGGTCAATGTCTTGTAGACAGCTTCCAGTTTGCCCTCGCACCATGGCATCATGCGACTATAGTCTTGGCTGTTTCCTGGTGTCTGGGTGTGTTAACGGATGAAGGAAGGATCTGTAGAACTCCAGAGTTCAGTGCAGTTCGCTCGCTGCAAGACACAGCCAAGGACACAGCGCGGTGCACTTTACAGGAATACATGGGACTGCTTGACAAAGACTGCCGGCACCGAAGGAGTTGCAGCTTTGTTTCGAGGCTTTAACATGCAGTGGATGAGACTGGGGCCCCACACAACGATTTCCTTAATGTGCTTCGAGCAGCTGCGTTATCTGGTTTCTTGGCTGCCGACTGATGCACATACTTTTCCATTTGCTATTTAGTTTGGTACTTCGATTCCCGATTGCACCCGGTCATGATTCCCCTAGCTCAGGCTGGCATGAACTTCCTGTAGGGACTGGGACGCATCTGCTGCCTCAAAGGCATCGGCACAGACGTTGTAAAGTTTCGAGCGCTCTGCCGCGGTTGGACGCTTGAAGAGTGCTTTCCCGGTCTTTCAGGACAAAGCCGTGTGGCCTGAAGGCCCACGAGCGTGTCATGTATTGGATTCTAGAACATTGCCAGCAAAACTGATTGAACATTTCTGCGCTGCAGCCTGGGGATGTTGAGTAGGCAAGCGAAAACTTCCGTACGTCGCACTGGGATGTGCATTGGCTCACAGCTTTTCGGGGTTGCTTGGTGCTTGGAGCTCAAAGTCGTAAAGTGGTCCGGCACGGACTCGTACTCATGTGCCACAATCCGCTCTCAGCACCCAGAATATGAAACAACCTCACTTCAAGCATAAGCAGTCCATTGCTACGACTTTCAGTTGCGCCTGATGTTGGCACGATGTTTGGGGGATTTCTCGTCTTCAACTCGGACACCGGCGCCGAGCTTGCATCACTGTGGCGCATGTGCCTTTTGACCGTCTTGTCCGTTGCACGAAAGGGAAAAACTGAAAGAACTCCAAAATGCCCGCCTCAGATGAGGTGCTCCGCTCTTTCATCGGCGTTTCCAGCCAGGCTTCGGCCTGCCGATCGCCGCGCAGCAGCGATCCTTAGCCGATCCCGTGGGCCACTTTGCTGATCTTGCGCAAAAAAGCACATGGAGAAAGCTAAGCAGGGCCACCCCTCGCGCCTGAAACAAAGCAAAGGACATATGTGTGTCTGTCTGCGGGTGTATAAATATAAATAAATATATATATATATATATATATGTGTGTGTGTGTGTGTGTGTGTGTGTTTTTTTTTTTTTTTTGTGGTATCTGTGTTTGTGGTGCCCCCCCCCCAAGACCCGTGCGTTGTCGATAATTAGGGGAAAGTAAGTGCCTTGAATTACAAGATTGCACCCAAGGTCTGGCTACCCCAGTTTGAAGGTTCACCCCCCAAGTTCTAAGACTCAGTACCAGCAAGATGGTCTGGCTGATCCGCGTGATTCTAGGGCAAGTGTAACTCTGAGTTTTTGCTTCGGTGCTGGCACTTTAAATCTCTGATTAGTTCTTTCAGTACATCTGCTTCTTTCAGGTACATGGGCTAGATGAACAAATAGGTTGATTGGCATGCTCTAGAATGCTCTGCAGGCTTGGCTTTGCAACTCTTTGCTTTCAGTCGCTTCTCGGATGGCCTTCCCAGCGCCCCACGGTTGAAATCCCTTCGTTTTGGCCGCGCCGGCACCGTGGGCGACATCTTCCTGGCCTCGGCATCTTTGCCAGACCCGAACACAAGCGATGCCACACTACGCCTCACCTTGGTGGTCTTTGGGGACGCTTGCTGGAACTAAGCTGCGTGGTCCAAGTGGTGCTTCTGTGATTCGGTACATCCTGTCCGTTAGCCAAGGATATGAGTCCGTCGTTGGGAACTCGCCTCTCTCAAAGCCTTCTGGATGACTTTATGGAGGACGCTGCGGCAAACGAAGAGGTAGGCATGTTCTGTGCAGACTTTCGCACTGGCATTGTGCACAAGAGATGAGAACGAACAGCATGTCCGAGCACAAACTGTGATGCCAACATCTACTGAGCCTCTGCGAGCTTCTGTGCGGGCTCGTCTTGCAGGCCTAGCAGAGTAGATAAAATTCTGGGCTCCTGCAAGTTCATTCGGTGGCCCAAGCCGGGCGCGACAGCACGAAGTTGTAAGTGGAAGCCCGAGGACAGATCCGAGGAAGAGGGGGGCGGGCAGAGGTTGCGGCGAGGGAGCGTAGATGCATCAGAGTCATCAGAGGTACAGAAGCAAGAGAAGGCATGGGTAAGGGGACCATTCTTGAAAGTGTGTTCACTGGAGGCTGAGGCGGTATAGGCTCGTGGACGATTGAAAATCTGAAAAGGTCACCCATGGGCAGCCAAGATTGAAAAGTCGAAAACAAGCGGAAGCCAAGAATGTTGACCTCTTGTCGTGATTGTCATGGGTTCATAAGTTGAGGGTAACGATCCAAGCAGGGACCGCCGCCGAAAACAGAAGCCTGAGACGTCCAAGTTGCAAGGCGGAGTGGAAGGTATCTCTCGCAGTAGCAAAGATCTCGGTAATGCCTCCATCTCCAGCAACACTTCCCACTTCCAGACTAGCGCAAGCAGCCTTTCTGGAATGAAGGGACCTCTCGCAGCAGCAACATGGTCTCAGTCCCACCGGACTTCGTCGCAGTAGCGCTTCCGAGTGAGTTCAAGGAAGCTCCCTGCACTTCTGCAGTCGTAGTTTGGTGCTGAGTTTTTGGAGGTTACTCTCTTGCATGTGGGGTGCGGATGTTGGAATGCACGGGAGATGGTAAAGAACCAAAGTCAACATATTCGACTCCACGTTGTGGCGCCACCCCTGTGTTTGTGTTTTTTGGGGCAGCAGCGTAAAGAAAGTTTTCAAAGTACATCGTTCACTTTTTCTGATTGCATACGAAAATGGCTGGGCGCAACCTGGGTTATGAGTTATGAGTCTCGAAGTTGCAGTTGGAGCTGGACAAGGATCAGGCAGATGCAGCAGTCCTGTGCCATGCAGCTTATCTTTCAGCTTTGATGCATTGATTGTTCCTAATTGGTGAAGGAGAACGTTACATCGATCAAGGTCTTGCACCCGGATGGAAAATCGGAGCCCTCACCACGCAAAACTGCATGGCATTTCCACTCGCTGGCCTGGCACTCATCTGTTGCGGGTTTCTACGGTTCCTTGGCCACCCTCTGCATGCTCTCGAGAGCTGAGGACTCATCTATGGAGTCGGTGGTCGACTGGCTTACAGATGACATGATGCGGGCTTTACCCCACGCTCCTCCTTGGCTGTGCGTCCTTCGCTTCGATCAGGAGTGTGGGGTGCGCAGCTTCAGAATCACCTTGGCCCAAATGCATAGAGCCCCATCAGGAGAAAGCGAGAAGCAAGCTCAACATCGGGCATGTGGAAGTGGCCACGCCTCGTCCACCCGAGCCGCCAGCACAGCCAGCCAGCGCGCGGGGGCGCCCCAAGTCCTTTGCCCGTCGTATGCTGCATCATTTCCAAGGAGTTTTGGCTTGATAGATCTTGCAAAGGCAGAAGCAGACACCATCCTTAAGAAGCTGTTGTACCACCTGGGGATACGTGGGGATGCGTGGGTTGTTTCGGGGTTTGAGGACTCGCAGTCGCAGCGGTGAGCACACCGAGAGCATCATCAGAGGAACCCACGGCCAAAAAGGACGATGCGGCGAAAGTCACAAGGCTGAGCAGCGATCCCGGCGATGTGGGCGATGATGTGGCGCGTGGCCAACCTGCAAAGTGGCTAGGCCGCTCTGCCGAAGCTTCTCCTGTGGACAGGGAGTACTTTGCATTGACCGCCTTCATGTATGAAGGACCAGAAGGTTCTGTGAAGGAGCCCTTCCCGGCCAAGACATCAGAGCCAGTTCTGGAGGCCGCAAAAGGCTTGCTGACGCCAACGTCGTTGAAGGGCCGTGGGTGGACTCTTGTGGAACTGCTTCCGGAAAGTTGGTTCAAGCGCGCATCGGGGTGCGGCTTCTGCCTTGCAATGACTGCTGAGTCAGGAAGGTCACACATTCTGATGCCGCTAAGCGCTGGCTATGACGGGACCGTTGAGGAATTGAACTGCCTTGACCGTACGGCGCAGTATGAGATTTGCAACGGTGTCCGTCGGAAGTTGGATCCAGAAGCTCGGGCAGCATTGTTCGCCTTCGCATGTTTCAGGTATCCCTGAAGCTTAAGGATCATAAGGACTGTACATGTTTGTGTATGGCCTGCCCTTTGGGTTTCGGTCACGCGGCCACACTCAGTCAAGGAAGTGCAGGGCCTCCTTCAGTGGATTGAGTCGGCAGCCGGCTCAACAGCTTGCGGAGCTCCTGGCCAATCGGGGCGCAGGAACCCTGGCACGAACAGGCGGCCACTGGCCGTTTCATGGAGTTTGATTTGGGTCAGAGCGGAGGGACAGTCAGAGAAGAAGTAAGTTGCAGAGTGTTCAGGAGCACCACGTGAGTGGAATGGGCTGCTCGACTTGGTTTTGGAGGCTGCCAGCGATCATTTTAAAAATGATCCGTTAGATTTTTAACTCTCCATTTTCGGTCGGCCAACGTCAGCCAATTTTACTCTCCGTTTTCGGTGCAACCAGCACCCTATGACCAAGTACGTTTGAATGTTGCCATGTTCCATGGCTGTGTGGATGAGCCAATGGGGCGCGTCCTTGTTTCACCTGGAACCGCTGCCTTTGGATCTTGCCAGGCAGCTCCGTTTCCGCTTGCGAGGTGCGCATCACATACTGAGGTTCTTTTTTTGTAAAGGAGAAAAGTCTGCCGCGTGCAGATGTGACATGCCTTGTGGAGTCGAGTGCCCTGGTACCAGGGCTTGGTCATGCCATGCACCATCAGGATGCACAATGGGAAGCTCAAGATCCGTTTGTGTAGAAGCGGACGGACTGCGACGGAGTTCGATGGAGGGGAATGCTTTGCTCCCATGTAGACCAATCCCTTCAGCGCTTCTTGGATTGGCCACAGACTCAGCGTCAGCTGCAGTCTGAGATGACTGTGCTGCAGTGCAGAACGGACAGGTGCTTCGAAGCAGGCATCCGTGCAGGTCGCGCGACTGCACTTAGTATCCGTGACCTTCTGCACGACAGACGCTCCGAGTTAGGCGACCCTTTGCTTGAGATGTTTTGGAGCATGCGTCCCTGTCCTGGAGCCAAGCCCGGGAAAAGCCACTGTGTGTGTGTGTGTGTGTGTGTGTGTGTGTGTGTGTGTGTGTGTGTGTGTGTGTGTGTGTGTGTGTGTGTGTGTGTGTGTGTGTGTGTGTGTGTGTGTGTGTGTGTGTGTGTGTGGGTGTGTGTGTGTGTGTGTGAGGGTGTGTGTGTGTGTGTGTGTGTGTGTGTGTGTGTGTGTGTGTGTGTGTGCGCGTGCGCGTGCGCGTGCGCGTGCGCGTGCGCGTGCGCGTGCGCCGTGCGCGTGCGTGCGCGTGTGCGCGTGCGCGTGCGCGCGCGCGTGCGCGCGTGCGCGCGCGTGCGCGTGCGCGTGCGCGTGCGCGTGCGCGTGCGCGGTGCGCGCGTGCGCGTGCGCGTGCGCGTGTCCGTGCGCGTGCGCGTGCGCGTGTCCGCGCGCGCGTCCGCGTCCGCGCGCGCGTGCGTGTGTGCGTGTGCGTGCGGGTGCGGGTGCGGATGCGTGTGCGCGTGCGCGTGCGTGTGCGTGTGCGGGTACAGGTGCGGGTGTGGGTGCGGGTGTGGGTGCGGGTGTGTGTGAGTGTGGGTGGGTTAATGCAGCTATGCAGGGAGCAACTGTGAGGAAACATGGGCTTATGGGAACCTTTGAAGCTGAAGCGCACGATCAGGGCTCGAGGCGCGTTATGGCGGATTCATGTTTGAGGCAGCCTGGACGTGCGATCCTTGCGGGGGAGGGGCAGGCTGCTGCAGGCAGGGCATCTGCTAGTTTAGAGAAGGTGTGATGCGGCGTGGTAGATTCTCACAGGCGACCCACGAGTTGTCAGAAGACGTGGAAATCCTCTACGTGCCAGCCGATGCGATCATTTCAGAAGGTGTTGCAAGTCAAACTTACCAGGAACTGCGCCTAGACTTCTAGAGAGACTCTAGAGCACCGTGTGCTTCTCCTTGCGGGGGAAAAAGTTGGGGGAATCAGATGTGTGAGGCCTCACATTGGTCGCTTGGAGTTGCGCACCGCTTGGTGGAAGAGGACCTGCGGTGTAGAATGGTGCAGGTTATTTATTCTGGTCCGCTAGTCAGAGTCGTGAGCAGGATTGCTTGGGGCGTGAGTCTCGCTTCCAGAAGCGGCCCTACTGCCATTTCATTTGCTTTTTTTGTGCAATTCGATTCGCCAGCATTCATAATACGTTTCACTCTCCTCTGCATTGGTGTGCAGTCTGGAAGGCCATATGTTCAGCTCCTACTCGAAGGCAGCATTCTCAGCACATACCAGCACTTGCCTTCTTGTCTCCCACGTGACAGTTCAAAGCGGGCCAAGGTGAGCCACATGACCTTCAGATCATGGAGCGTTTGCCGGGGTGCGCAGGGTGTGCGCCTTGCAGGAGGATAGTCGCGCCTCTTTGCGCCCCATGCGCCAATGCTTTCAGGTCTCTAGCGCGTGAGAAGGTCAAGCTTCGTGCGCTGCACATCGCTGAGCTTTGCGCTGCCATGCCAACCTGTACCGCTGATCGTGCCGCCCTTGGCATGCCTCGGGCCCGATGATTTACAGACTGGCTAACAACTTTCTTCTCAAGTTGCAATGCTCATTCTCCCGCCACGCGCATTCACTCGAATGCATCCCTAGACCCGTTCTGCAATAGGTACGCACCGGACGAACTTCTTGAGCTCTCAACGCCGACGACTCTTCTGCAATTTGCGGGCACATGGGGCTGACTCAGTCAGCAGGGTTCGAAAACTCCTTGGAACGGACACGTGACGCGAACCGGTCAAAAAGCCCACAGGGCAGGAACCTTTCCACATTCTCGCAGCGCGATTTGGCATATGCAGAAGCTCTTGTTTCGCTGCAAGCGAGCAAGTCCAAAACCACGTGCAACGGGACCAAAGCGAGAGCATACTTTCCATCCTCTGTTTGGGACAAACTTCTTGGGCAGAATGGCACTCACTGACAAAGGCGCAGCCCGCGCAGTGTACGCGGTGGATTCGAGGACGGTGGTCTCCTTGGTTTGACCACGTTTGACCCACTGACGTTTGAAGAAGTTTATCCAGGGATACCCAGTTGCCTGCTCTGAGTCGCATGGCAGCGTGCGTTTTCTGCGGGTTGCACTGGACAAGGTCTACTCGCATCCAGCTCAAGCTCGCGCTCTTGCTGTGCACTTGGCAGAGCGTCACATAAGACTTCTCAGCTGTGAATATCTGTGATGGAATTCCTGGCGCAAGGTTCCATTCTTCGATTTTGTGAACCACAGTGCCTGCCCAAATGCACGCTGGACCATGGACTCTGATGGTTCTCTCCGGCCACTGCTTCAGTTCCGTTGCTGATGAGCTGCAGTAGCAAGAGCCATCTTTCCTTTAAGCTCTTGAGGCTCGTCACCACTACACGTGTAGAGATTGGTGAGGAGGCCATGAGGGCTATGAGCAAGGCTGAGCATGCCCGGCTCCAGTCGAATAAGTCCATGCCAGGTGACTATTTCTTATGACTCGATTCCCAACGCGCCTGTGCCTCGGTGTGCATTCAGCTTCCATTAAAGCTTTGCTTTGACTTCAATGGCAACCTGTGTCATGCGCTCGTAGCTTCAAGCTCCCTTCCTGGCCCTTGACCACATTGATTGCGCCAGTCGTCGGCTCTTAATTAATTGGTCGAAATAAGTTTCCATTACGAACGTCGCTAGTTCGGGAGGCAGTGGCCCAAAGCAACTCCCAGTTTCATTTTGCCAAGTGCCAGCAGCCTACGTGGCAGCATGCTCTTTAGGCGCTTGCTCGTGACCTATGGCTTCGTGCTGGATGGTGAAGGACCACACAGGCCTTCTAATTGAGCTATGTTCAGGTGGACGGTGGAGAACGCGCATGTCAGGAGCGTCGACTTGAATCTGCCATTTGGGAAGCTGCCAGACACTCTGGATGAGGAGCTTTCTCTTTCCCAGCGCTTTTCCTAGCTCTCAGAAGAGAATCTGATTCTGCCTTTGGCTGCAGGGCGGACCAGATGCAAAGCAGCCTGTGCAGGTACAGGCGCGCACTTGAGATCTGCACCGTTTTGGCGCGTATCATGGGACGGATGATGTGGAATGCTCTGTTCAGATTCTTGGCAATGGGACACTAAGAAGAAGAGTGGGGAGCTAAAGCCTGCCTGCTGTGGCTGTGAGGAGTTCGGAGTTGTGACTGTTGGCTGTGCACAGCTTGTCATCAGGCTCCATTAGTACCTCTGCTGCACAACCTCTGTTCGCGCTCTGAGACAGTGCTCGCGGAACATCTTGCGAAGCAGGCGCGCGGCATTTTCGTGGCCTTGTGGCGGGTACCGTGCCCTGTGCACTCGCACTGTCAGGTTGCAGTGGAGCTCGAGCAATGGCAAGCTGCAGATGCCAAGGAAGACAGTCGACTAACCTTGTTAATCGACATGAGTGTTGAGGCAAGGGTACGGAATCTTTCCATGGTCATGATGGAACACGCTGGCCTCAAAGACTGGAGCGACCACGATTGCGTTGAACAATGCAGGTGTTGCAGAGCTTTCTTGAACGGATCTTGTCCTGGATTCAGGACAGACGGTGGCAGCTCGCATGTGGAACGGGGTCGTGTCTTATATTGTCACGCAGAAATCGTTCTCCCTCGAAGGCAGCCGATGCGAAGCCACTCATGTCTGCACTGGGCCCGCCGGAAGAGGCCGAATGTCATAAATTTGAAATGCTTTGACTTCTTGACCTCTTCTGCAGGCCGTGACAGGTCACAGCACATCAGATGATTCACAGGCCGCGAGATGGGAGGGATACTCGGTATTCGGGTATCAGGTGCGGCTGTGCGCATCACGATGCCAATTGCAAAGACCCTTGTGAGCTGGAGCACAGGACAGCTGATGCAGCCGAGTGCCCTGCCCCGGCAGAAAAGCTGTAAAGGTCATGCCGCGGTGCGGTGTCAGGTTTGAACCAAAGTGTTGAAACCACTTCGCTCAGAATACGAAGAGATGTCTCGAACATGCTGTAATGTCCGAGTTTGGAAGGGTTCCAATGTGGGGATAAACGTTGCCTCTCCTGGAGTCAAGTGCCCTCAGTCGAGCTTGTATGCGCAGACAGTATCACAAGTTAGTCCGTTAGTTTATTTCATGTAATGAAATGTGATGTGAACCAGCCCAAGCTGCGGACCAGTCTGACAACATCTTACAGCTGGCTCTGGACATGCATTGCTTGTTTGTGAGCTGGTTCACCTGCTTGCTGTCTTGGCCCAAATGAGCCAGAACATCTGGGACAAGGCGTGCTGGAGTGCCACGTCTTTCAGGGATCGGAGGCCGGCATTTTCTGCCCAGCTGGGTCTTGCAGTGACAGCGCATCTTGCGTCTCAGGCAAGTGTCCTCGGGCCCGTAAAGCGGGGGCCATGGGGTGTCTGTGCTGCTGCTGCGCCTCCCCCAAGCACGAGGAAGACGCTGGGACTGTTGTTTCGAGTTCAGTGTGTTGCAACAGACTCGGTGACTTGTGCACGTGTGCGCATGTGTATGCAAGTGCGGTGTTACGTTGCAGCTTTCGGGCATCCATGAGCTAATCTCAAGCTAAGGAGGCGAAAAAGTTCTCGAAAGGTGGGGGGCCCGGTATAATATCTACAGGTAGTGCCTGACGAGCCTGAGTCTGCGAGAGAAAGGGGGTGAGATAGAGAGTGGAAGAAGAGGAAAAAAAGAGCGCCGGCTCCGTTAAGGCATGACATGTTGCATTGTGAGGTGGAGACAATGACTTGTCAAACGGGCCGGTCACATCGCGAGGGTGTACAGATGCATGGTGTTTGATCGTTTTGCTCGCCGCCTGGATGGCTTACATCGTAGTCACTGTGGCAGGACTCCTGGGGGATCATCGCTGTTAACGGGCAGTCTTTGGCACCAGCTGTTTGCCTATCGCATGCATTCTGGATTCGTGCCTGGACCTTCCCAGGACTCCAAGACGGAGCGCCAGCCAAGCTCTATCTCCCTCGAGACTACAGCGGAGCATACTGCGATTTCGAGCAGAACTGGAACAATGGGCCAAATCTCAAAGGCTCAGAGCTCACTCTACGCTTCCGGATACTTGTGTGATGTAGTCAATCACAACGGCTGCGCCTGATGAGGTTTCACAAAACTCAGCTACACAATGCACCGGGCTCGGAAGACAATGTTCACACCGTGGCAGTGGCATGCACGGCGAGCACGACTGTATGTGCTATTGCTGGTATTGGTCCAAGGAATGCCACAGCTACCACAGACCTCGTCGTCAAAGCCTTGCTATGCTCTAGTGCTGCTAGTGATGCGCTGCAGAGCTTGTACACTACGGAGCAGTACAACAACTACCTTTGCGAAGCTCAGCGAGCAATCATGCTTTCCTCCATGTTCAACAGGATCCCGATGGTTTTTGTAATTCTCACTGTGCGCATTCTGAGGACTGCTGCTTGACACCGTGTGCGAAGTGCGAAGGCTTGCACCGGCCTTGTCAATTTGCCTGTTGGGATTCTCTTCAGCAGCATTCGCTTGCCAGGAAGCTTCGATGTTGGTGGCGATTTGAATCCCAGTAACTTACAAGGCAGCATTACATCCAAGATGGCTGCTTGGTCGTAGCAGTTGCAACGACTTTCGATGTGCATGTTGAATCATGTTTGATGTGTCCATGTGGAACACCGAAGCTGAGGATGACTTGAAGGGTATGACGAACCCATCCAGCCTGTTTTCAGGCATTGTCACTGAGCGAACGTCCCCACCAATGCGCAGCGATTTGTTGATTTCGTGCCTGTCGCCTAAAAATCCGTTGGTTCAGGTGGCGGAGCAAATGGGGACGTTTTCACAAACATGTGGCCCCTCGGCCCTCAGCAGCCTTTCCATGTGAAATGTTTGGAGTGAATGGCTATCCGAGCCTTTCAGGACTGAAGCCACAAAGTACTTCAACATGGTGTGCCTGAAGAGTTGCAACGAGAATTTCGAAACCATGAATGCTAGTATGGATACAGCTCGATTCTTGGTGGCATCCGTGAGGATGAGCTATATGGGTCCAATTTATTTGGGCATCTGCAAAGTAGGCAATGTCTGCACACCTAAGGAGAATGGACGTATACCATGTCAGATGACGACGACTTGAAGACGCACTGGGATGCTCTTACGACCGGCGGGTGGGAAGCCTAGATGCTGTAAATGCTGCAAAGGCAGCACCGAAGGCGGTGTGGCACGCGGTGTGGCCCAGCCGGGGGATTTGCAGGCCTGCTTTCATCAAGGACTCCATTAGCCAGTTCACATTCAAGGCGCCTCGGCAGTTGGAGTTTCTCGGCTCCTGTGCCCCTGCGCAGCATGCATATCTACGACTTCAGTATCTGCACGTCACTGCCACTGGCGAGTCACCCATCCGGGCTCCTGCAGGCACTTCCCTTGTCGGTGTGTCCTTACAACGCGTCCAAGTGCATTCCTTTCCCCGGTGTGGAGCAGCTGGGCTGCGCTTGGTGCAGGGCATCGTGCAGCCGGCAAATCGGCAAATCGGCAAATCGGCAAATCGGCAAATCGGCAAATCTTGAGCTTGGAGCCAAAGAAAGTGCACGAGAGGTTTGGAGAGCTGTATGGCGGCTACTGCAGTTTCAAGATGGGCCCAGCCCTCAAAAGCCGAGCGTGATCATGCTAAAGGTCATGACATGTTTTTGAGGTATGGTTAAGGCATCAGGAGCTCAAATCTCAGCGGGTGATCCCGTTGCAAGGTGCGGATGTTGTCGCGGCCATGGGCACAGCTGCCGCGGAGATCTTTGAGAGTACCGGCCTAGCCTCTTTTCAAGACAGCTCTTCAGAGGCTCAGCTGCAAAGTGCCGATGATGGCAATGGCTTGTACGTCCGTAAAGTTCTCTGGGGCACTCGGTGGCATGTGTGGGGTAAGGAAACTCTTGGCAAATGGATGGGTGATTTTGAGAACTCGCTGCCAGCCTTCATCTTGGCATCTGAGCCAGCACCAAGACAGGATCTGAATGCGCGAAGACACAGGAGCAACAAGGTCAGTTCCCAAGAGCTTCGTATCTTGATTGCTGTGCCCTGCGCTCAGGTGGCATTCAGCAGCTTCATCATCGGCTTCATCTACTTGGTTCTCCTGCGATTCCTGATCAAGTTCTGTGTTTGGTACCTCCGCAGATTGTGTCAGGCTTTCACAGCAAGCTCTGCTGAACTTAGGCAGCCCTCTGCTTGATTCGCATGTTGACGCTTCCCAGGTTTGCCGTCCTTCTGGTATTCCTTATGCTTGTCGTCGGCGGTGGGCTGTGCTGGATTCGCAGCAAGCAGTGTTCAGGCAAGCCTTCTTTGTGGGCCTAGCATGAACTTGGCAGCTCTAGTCTGCGCTGTAGGAAAACAAGGACGTGCTGTTCTTTGTGGCTGTGGAGCGGTTTAGCACAGCAATTGTTTCATCAGGGGCCGGCTTGCTGGAAACTGGACAGCAGATGGCGGTTGCGGTCGCAGCATCTTGGCCGGTGCAAAGTGGGGGTGAGGGTAGTCTTCTAATGTCTTCTTGTGAGGCTGCTTACCCGCCTTTGGCTACAGGTCACGGCCCAGACAACGGCGAACAACGCGGTGTCTGGCACAGAGGCAGTGAGCGAAGCCATGACCGGGGCTTCTCGGCTTCAAAGCGTGAGGTCGGTCGTGTTTAAGTTGTTGTCTTTGCGCCGGCGCTTCTGCCAAGGACGGGGCGGACTACCGTGGCGTGCAGACGCGCACCAAGAATGGATACCAATGCGAAGCATGGGGAGAAGGCCAGGCCCGGCAGACGCGTCTTTTTGGCGCCTCTGCTGTTTGGTGCAACAAACCCAGGAAATGCTGCCAGCTACAACAGCACTCTTTATCCAAGCTCGGGCGCCTTGGGTCGATCACGTTACTAGCACATCTGGTGCACATGTGGTGAAGTTTTGAAATGTTTTGAAGAAGTGCCTCCTGAGCTCCGAAGCCCCTCAGCTCTTACTTGGTCCATAAACTGTCGATCCAGAGGCTTGACAAACAACTACTGCCGCAACCCTTATCCGACTGGATCCGCGAATGTGGCTGCGACCATCTGGTGCTTCACCACTGACACCAGTGTGACATGGGAGACCTGCACACCTGTTGGGGTCATCACTCCGGTTGCTTGGCACAGACATGATGAACATCGCTTTTTGTTCCTCTGGTTGCTTAGCAGCCTGACCGAGCAGCTGAGGAATGCGCTGCAGGTTATGCAGTCACAAATAACGAGGTCAGATTGGTTCTGGAGATCGTTGGCTACGTGCTATGGGTCATCGCCGGAATCTATTTCCTACTCGTTTGCTGCCTTGTCGACAGGACCACGGAGGGCTTGCATGCACAGATGTCGGCAGGGCGGTCTGTTTCGGAGCACAGACTTGACACCCTGAAGGCAGCAGAGTAGGATTTTAGCCCAGGCGACTCGAGCTGCATGGTCAGGTAGGCTACCTCGCGTAAGCATCGCGTAGGCAACGCCAACATCTATGGTATGGACGAAATGACTAAATGCAGCGGTGAGGATTCGCCTGGCAATCGCTGTGAACCAAGTCGCGGCCAGCTTTGTGAAGGACACCCCAAGGCAGCTCAGCTTCCGGTTAGTTCTGAAGCATCTGAAGCAGTGCCTGGGGGTCCTTACGGGTCCTCTTCGAGCCACTCTCACTGGGTCAGGATACTGATTATGCCCATCCTGCAAGCCATCATCGGGATCCTTTGGATCTTGATCTGGGCACTGTCCGCCAGCTTTTTGTTGTCCCAAGTGCCGGAGGATTACACGCCCAAGGCCGACTTCCGTGAAAAAAATGCAGTGTTGCATGTTTCCACCTTCGCCGTCACGCCAGGAGGCATTCGCATCCTACGAGGAAGCCTGGGGAACTGTAGCTTGAGAGATAGTTAATTCTTTCATGTTTTGTTTTTTCGAAGGCCCTGTTGCGCTCGGAGCAAAGGTTCCTTGAAGTTTTCATCATCTTGTCAACTTGTCCTTCAGCCCATTTCTGGCACGCGCGCATCCCAAGGGGTCTTGCTTGTGCCGGCTCAAAAATCTTGGGTTTCAGGGGTTGAAGGTCATCAGCTGGGATGGCAAGGAACAGCACAAACAGATGTGATGCATTGCGGCACCGGAACCTTCTTGGAAGCCTGCTCTCTTTTCCATCTTGCTGTCCGGCAAACCTCAAGTGGTAGGGGTGGCGGCAGATGCATTGGCAGTTGTTTGCCGCCATGAGATGCCATCGAGATTGCTCGTAGGCCCCAAGGAGATTCAGAGGACCAGCCGGCACCCTGAAACTCCCCAGGCGGACGCCCCGGATCCAAGGCAACGTGAAAGCCCGGGCAAGTTATATAAGTCAAGTTGAGAGTTTAGACCGTTCGTTTAAGTGTGGGAACTTCCCTTGCGCTTCGCGAACTAGCTGCAGTTCCTGTGACTTACCTACTTGTAACTCAGTTCTCACGGGGGATTTTCGCTTCATTGCGCAAGCCCGAAAAATGATGAGAGGGCACGGGTTGCTTCCTTCCCTGCACAGCTTGTTGACCCAAGGCAAACGTTTCCGGCAAGTGCACGGACAAATGGCCTACGGGAGGTGTTTGGAAGTCCGAATCTTGTCGCCTGTCTGCGAGTAACAGCTGACATGTGCTTACTTGGAGCTAGGGTGGTTGACCCGTTTGGTCTATGGCTAGAGGCTTTTTGTGTTTGACATTGAAGAGTGTGAAGAGAACTCGACACAACGGGCCAGGTGACTTGGTGAATGGGACCTATGCGTGTTGGAGGTGCTCTCCTCCCCGCTATGTCTTCGACTGGCGCTTTGCGGTCGCTTGTCCAAGACTGCAGTGCGAAGTCTAAGTGGTTTTTATCGGTTTCTGGATTTCCGAGCTTCACAAGGTCTCTTTCTTCGTGTTCCTGTGGAACAATGCTGCAGCCTCAGCTATCTCGAGCCTGGGAGGGTCCTTTGAAATCCTTCCTCAGCCTTCTTCTCCCAGGCCCTCAACATTGCCATCGGGCAATGCCTTATTGCCGGTGCTGTTGGCATATGGTTCTTTACTTCGAACGCCGACAAAGGCACAAGACGGGTTGCTTGATCCGATATGCCATGTTGTGTGTCACAGCCAGAGACACGAGCTTGCAGCGCTCTGCATGCGCAGTGTCCCGGCACACCTAAGGTTATTGCGCAGTCAACATGGTGCCTTGACAAGCTTTGATTGCATCATGCGGCGTGCGAAGATGTGCGAAGTGAAGTCCTATGTTACTCAAAGCCACTGACTCTGCTAGCGCTCCAGGAATGTGTTCCGCTACCACTTGGGTTCACTGGCCTTCGGCTCCTTCATCATTGCCGTGATACAGTTCATTCGCTATTTGATGAAGTACTATGAGCAACTGGTCCAGCAAAAAGGAGTTCAGCAGAAAGTAACATGGAGAGGAAGCGAGATGAGAGGAGGAAGTGTGTAGAGTCACACAGCGAAACGGGCCATTCTGGTGATCTGTTCCCAGGAAGCAGGCGAAGGCCGCAAAGAACCGGGTACTTGTTCTGGTTCTCAAAGTGTTGCAGTGCTGTATTTGGTGCTTCGAGAAATGTGCCCGGGGCCCAGCACGTGGTTGAATGCAGTGTTCCCAACAGTGCGATTTTTTTATGTCAAGCCACGCCAGGTCAAGTTCTTGAACAAGATGCTTGAGCTGCAGTAGCCGTGCATTTCTTGCGCTTGTGGCAGTCTGGCAAGGCATGCAGCGCATGCACCAGCACAGCAAAGGAACGCATATATTCAGATCGCTTTGATGGGTACGAACTTTTGCGTGTCCGCCAAGAAGGCTTTCTTCTTGATTCTCAGAAATGCGTTCCGGTTTGGAACTGTGACAATCCTCGGGGCCCCTTGGCAAAAAGGGACAAAAGCGAGCACATCTCAGGGCAGCAGTTCGAGTCACGGCTGTGTTTTGCTTTGCAGAGTCGCTACCGAAGCCGCTGCAAAGTGCCGCAGGGCCTTGTTCATTGGCTTGCTTGGCTTGCTTGGCTTGCTTGCGTTGGTTTCTAATGCGCGTGCCTGAGACCATGATCCATGCCATCGGCTTTCTCTTCATCATCGCGTCCAGTGTAGCTCTTGGCTACCTCATCCTGACGGGCCTGTACCCGGACATTGCCCCGGCTGTCTGCCTCATCATCTACGGCTGTACTGCCTATGTTGCCTCCTCCTCGGTGCGCTGCTTCTGCTAGCTTGCGAGCGTTTGCGCACGATGACAATAGGGACCGCGTCAGAGACGTTAAGGTCTCGAAGCTCTTCATGCCCCCTGGCAAAATCTGTCGGGAAGATTTTGTTCCCAAAGTTGGATGCAAGGAAGATCGGAGATGTCTTCTTCGCAACGAGGGTAGGTGACCAGACCAGGCTATCATATGCCCTATGGTCAGGGTCGTTCTTGTTCAGGGAGGTGCAGGTGATGGGCTGTCCGAGTTGTGCAGGGTGCCCAGGCTGTCGATCAGTCAGGGAAGTGCAGCCAGCACTTCTGGGAACACCAGGACAGAAAGAAAGAACGAAAGAAAGAAATAACGAAGAAAGGAAGAACGAAAGAACGAAAGAGCGAAAGAAAGAAAGAAATAATAAAGAAAGGAAAGCAGTAAATAGAAGTAAATGTAAAGAACAAAGGCAAGAAATAAAAAAGATAAACCTGCCCGTGACGGGGTTGGAAAGGATTCTGACTGATGCGTTTTAGTTAAGTTCTCTTCTGGGCATGAAGTGAACTAAAAGCAGAGGGGGGGGGGGCTTGGGGAGGGCGCAGCCCCCCTCCCCCCAGTTGCAAACACCATGCGTGCAGGATGGATTTGGACAGGATTCCTATGCTTGTAATGTAAGTTCTCTTCTGGGCATGAAGAAAAGAAACTGTTGCAAACACAATGCTTGCAGGACGTGTTTGGAAGGGATTCCGATGCTGTTATACGAGCATTCTGTTTGCAAATCGGGGCGCCAAACCCCCAAGTCTTTTCGGATCCTTGACAGTCATACGAGCATTGTGTTTGCAAATGGAGGTGGCTCCGTCCCTTTAACCCCCGCTTTTCTTAAATACTTGCAAAGCTTGCCAGGAAGAACCTGATGCCCATCACGCGAGCATTGTGTGAGTAAGTAAATAGACGTTCCAGAAAAATCAAGAATAACACTATCAAAGTTAATAAGACCCCGATTGCTTTTAATCGAAATTCGTACTAATTTTGGGTTTCTGCCTTGGTTTTCCGGAGGAAAACATCTATTCCCTCCACAATTTAAGAGGATGGATTCCTATCATTTCAAGAGGATTCTTACTGATTTTACTAAGACCACTTTTATTTTTAATCGAATTCTTGCTGGAATGTTAATGGGATTCTCTTAATCTTCATAGTATTTTCATAAGCTTCTGATTGGATGTAATAAACTCCTAGTATTTCTATGGAATCTGATTAAGATTGGTCAACATTTTCATCATGAAAATGAGTAGGATATGAAGTTGTGAAGGGAATAGTTTTTTCCTAGGAAGAACCAAGGACATGGACCAAAACACATCGCAAACAAACAAATCGCCAAGGAACTCCACCCATCGATTACCTAGAAACCCTAAGAAGAAGAAGTAAATCCAAACTCCAGCGGGTGGCAACGAAATCCTGATGGCAGTGGCTTGCCGATTATGCCACTCAGGTCGACGTTGTCGCAGTGCTTTCATGACTGCACGTCTGGTTTGTATACGAAGGTAGAATAGGCAGCAAAAGCCGGTTGAAGGGCAGGGTAGCTGTCACTGTACAACCTCCAGTTGCCCACATGCAAGATTTTTCTGATCGCAGCAGCATGAAGCGAAGAGTGAATGCCGAGGAATGTATTTGGGCTCGCAGTCGACACCACTTTGCAGTGTTTCATTGCATGTGAGGCGGAGCTCCGTGCATTTGGCCAACGTGTGCACAATATCTCGAACATGTCACACTCTACTCGATTCTCTGCCCTTGCGGCCTACTTAGCTGACTAGCCAAGTCATGTGGTCATCGTGAGAATGGCGCAGGAAATGGAGCTGGGAGGCGATTTCGTTCCAAGCTCCATGACGAGATGGACGCTTGGCTGTAGGGATGCCCATGTGGATGGGCAACTCTTGCTTGAGTGATTCCATGGCCCATCTGTTGTGCCTTTTTGTTTCTGCTGCCCTGCTTCTGAGAGACTTGTGTACGCTGTGAGAATACCTCCAAGAGCTTCTCGCGGTGGAGGTTTTCCATCCTTTGCTCCGGCACTGCTGAAGCCCATCGTATTTTTACAGTAGCAGCAGCCCTCCAAACCAGCAATGTCTTCAACATGCAATCATACGAAGCAGTTTCGCATCTCAGGCTGGACAAGTCCAAACCCATCGTAGATGAGGATGAGTGAGCATACCGCAAGGTGAGAATCCAATCTTTTGTCTCCACGCTTCCTGCGGAGTCGTGGAGCTTGCGTATTTTCTCAGGTTCCAGTCTAATTCATGCACGTTCTCTTCATGCTCTCTGGATGGATGCTGCTTTCAAAGTGCTTGCTTCCTTTCATCTCTCAGCTGATTCCAGTCACTCGTCACAAGAAAGGGGGCGCCTGTCTGAGTGCATCTGGTGCCAGACTCACCGAGAGTAGGGCCCAACATTGGACTTGGAGTCGCACGACGATCATCCTGGCGCTAGCGCGGAAGGGATGTGTTTCACCAGCCAGCATTTCTGAGGTTTATTCTTGGCCAAAGCCACGGTGAGAGATTCGCGCCTTGTCCGAACGGACAGTAGGACATATGAATCTCGCTCCTTCCTTGCCGCTGGACTGTAAAGTAATTTAGACTACCGACTTAGAACCCTACAGAAGTGTGGGGGCCGGGTCGTAAGTTCGGCCCCTTTGTAAAGTGCCAGCGGAAGCTGTGAGATGAACTGGAAGTCGCACCCAGCAGATGGTGCGACAGTACAGTTGCGTGTCCACAGCCGGTCAGGTCAGTGACTGATTAGAAAAGTCAAGATGCAGGACTGTCTATGCCACATCGGTTAAGCTACCACGACAAACTGTGTGTTGCTTGCTCTTCAATGCTGTACCGCAGTCTCGGCTTGTGAGCTCATGCTGGCCCCCCCTGTGTGAGCAACCAATCTGAGACGGTCCGCAATTGTAGAATCAGCATTCGAGCGCCGCTTCTCAGACTTTCCTGACAGGCTTGCTCTTGCTGCTCTGTTTTCCGGGCCGTGCCCTCTGATTTCTGTGGCGCTGCGTGTTCCGCACGCTGGCGGCTTTTGCGTCCCCCGGGGCATGCATGAGCATAGCGCTCGCTGTGTCAGGCGCAGCCCGATACTCTTCTGCCGGAACCTGCGCAGCAGGCCAGCCTGTCTGATCTGAATAGACTTCTGTCAGAGTCCGCTGCGCGTTGTATATGAATGGCCGTCCACGAGGATGCACCTGGCCGAAAAAGCAGCAAAGTGTACCTTGGTTGCATAGGGGTGCTTTTCTGACCTGGAGCGCGGAGAGGAGACCTGAATCCGACAGGAAGAAGTCTAAGAAGGGAAAGGAGGAAAAGGAAAAGGAAAAGGAAAAGGAAAAGGAGAAAAGTAAGGAAATGGATAAGGACAAGGAGACGGACCAGCCTCCAGTGCTTGCCGCGATCCTTCATGATGAGGGTGGCAGTTGTGTGTCGACGCGGATAGTGGAACATAGTGGAACCCCTTGCCCAGGCAGAGGCAACGGGAGAAGAAGAGCCCAAAGCCGCCTCGGCATCCAAAGCCGGGTCCAAAAGTTCAAAATCTCGAGGCAAAGACAAAGAAGCGCCGGACAGCGCGGCCAATGAAGAAGAGGCAGAAGAAGAAGAAGAAGCTGGAGCTAAACCCGATGACCAGTTCATTGGCCAGGACCTAAGTCCTGGACATCAGGCCTAACTGTTCTGCCGTGGAGCACAGGCAGCGGGGTAGCTGGCAGCAGCAATGCCTTGCAGTTGATCTTGCTTGGCCAGTTGAGCCCGAGGTAAGTTTCATTCAGCCCTCCGCGTTGACCTCGGGCTTCTTTTCTTGGGAACGGTGGCTCCTTGCGGCTCTTCACCTTGACAACCTTAGCTGTGCCATGCTAGCAGCCACCCCTAAAATCTGCGAAAGTGCTTTGAGGCTGGGGCAAGGCAGAGGCTGAGGCATCCTGGGCAAAGAGCAGCCATGTGCAACATGTTGCGTCATGATGCGTGCGCAGACATTGCACAGAGCCATCGCGCAGATTGCAGATCCGCTTGCAGGTGCAGGCCATGGTAACAGATGCCGGGGTGTCATTGCCTGAGGTACTGTAACATTGCAAAAATGCAGGGGTGCATGATAAATGTCCTAACCGTCTCTCTCTTCAACGAGGTCTCGGCGATCCGCAGCCGGCTCAGCTCTTAGATGGTGGGCCACTGCAGGTATTGTAGTTGGCAAGGCATGCATATCGCTAGCAGAGAGCACGTTGAAACACAATAGTTGAGGAGCACCTGACCCGAAGACCGGGAACCAAGCATTGCACATTGCGGTGCAGAACGGCAACAAGCTCAGTGCAGCAAGCTATTCAGCCATATCTGTTCCCATGCATGTGTCCCGACTGCTGGGTACTGGCAGTTCCCAGGCCATCGACAGCTGACACAGCTGCTGGTTGCGTGGAAGGCAGATGCGCCGCCCTCGTCATTCAGCGGATGCCACATCAGTCGGCGCCTGTCGAGCTACAGCTTGGCCTCAGCGGGTTTTCCGTCAAGCTTTCTCGCAGTCTCAGGTCACCGTGCAGAACTTCAAGGGGCAGACGCCGCTGCACATGAGCGTAGAGCTGGTGCCTTGAGTTGTCAAGTCCGAAGAGAACCCAGGTGCCTTGTGAGCAGTCAAGGTATGACTTCCATTTCATTTCCAAGCTGCTGTTGGAGAAAGGTGCCAAGCCCGAGGCACGGGATGCCGCGGGCAGTCTTCAGAACGTGTTAGCAGTTCATCTGGCGGTCGTCAGGTTGAGAACGCGGATGGTTGCAAAGCAATCTTGGGCATCAGTGGCAGCAAAGAGGGTGCCGAGGATGGGAACGTCGCGAACAACACGACAAGTGCCTCATCTTGCCTTCCGTGCGGCCGCCTTCAGGCGTGGGATGCTCCCATGAATATTCTCAAGCATGCGTCCAACAAGGAGGCCAGAAGTTGGATCGGTATTGTACTCAGCCTGTTTGGTACTTGAGTGGTTGAGAAGCTCTACAAACTCTCGCCTGCAGGAAGTCGAGCTGGCATACAAAGCCTTGGAGGGGGCGGTGCGGCGCTGAGAAGAGCAGAATGACACTGCTCACTTAGGCAAGTGCTGCCGAAGCCGTGACATGTCTTGAGCAAGCATGAGGACCCAACGAGCCTGGACAAAGCAAGCCTCGCTCGCATTGGAATGCTTAAGGCCTGAGGTTGTGCGTGTCCTTGTCTTCTCTGAGTCTAACCCTCTAGTCTACCTCTGACCTTCTCTCAAGCAGGCTAAAGAACTGCCGGGCACCTGGGACAAGGGGCGATTCGTCGAGCTGCTCAACAAGGCATGCTGCAACTCACACCATGGTCTGTTTCGGCATCGTGATATTTTGGTGAGATTGTGTGGGAGGTTTGAAAAAGTGGCGTCTTGAAGCTCCATGGTTTTCCACGCCCGCGTTGCGTGGTGTCCAGTAGTTCATTGCGCCTGCAAGACTCTTGCCAATATGCTTCCCAACCAGAGCTGGCCTCTCGCTTTTAACCTACTTGCTACTCCCGGATGTAACAATGGGACTCACTATGACTCACTGCGCCTCTCTGGGCCAATCCCCCAAGGGGAATGTATGTCGGCGGGTGTTTGCTGGCTTCATGTGGCCATACCTGGCGCCTGGGCCTACGCTGGCTCGGCAGTGCTTTCCCGGCCCAGTTCTCGCTCAGAATGTAGCATGAGCTGCCGTGCCCAATGCTCGGACAGTGACTTCACGCTGACTGTGATCTGACTCGTGGGTTAAAAGTAAAAGTGGAGCAGCAACGTTTGCAGAGCACCTCGACAGCCTTTGATTTTGCATCTTCACGTTTCTTATTGGCTCGATGCAGCAACGAGCAGCTCGGGTTGCAAACGCCACTATTTCTAGGCTTCCAGCTCACGATGGCCCGAACCAAGCTTGCCAGCATCTGCATCGTGCTTGCCGTGTGCACCGCGCTGCGCAATCTGGCCTTCCTTGCTCCTGCTCCTCAGACCCAGCTTCGTGGCAGCGCTACCGAGCCCTTCGATGTTGCAGCAAGCGCCGCGGTGCCCATTCTCTTGACACCGGCAGCAGCAACGGCAGCGGACGGAGAGGGGATGCCTTCGGTGGTGCTGGGTGTGGGCGTTCTCTGCGCGCTGGCAGCCTTCAGCGTTGTCTCCAGCGTCATCAGCGCTACCGTGACTTCGGAGCTTGATTGATCATGCATGCAGCGCAGCTTGAACTACACCGGGGTCATTTCGGGCCTGAGTTGCGGTGGCTGAAAGCCTTTTCTCCCGAGCAGTATGAAAAAAGCCTGCTTGCAGCCATGCGGGGCAACTCTTCCAGCATTCCTTGGGCCTAGCACATGGCCAGCACCCTAGGCCCTAGGCCCGAAGCTTTTGTTACATGATGCCCTCTGCCGCAGCAACAGCAATGCTTTGAGACTGAGCTTGAGATGAGAGGATACTGTTCTTTGAACAGTGCCATGCATCAGAAGACCGAGCAAGAGCGTTGCACATAGAGCTGTATATCGTTCAGCCAACAAGCTTTCATCTCGCCTTTCTAGCAGCCAGTCAGTTTGACTTACAAGATACCGGCCGCAGCACTCAGAAAGCCACGGCTCGGAACGATGTGGGCAGCTTGCGCTTTGCAGTGGACACGCGAGGGGGATGTGCAAGCCGTCCGGTGCTGGCTCTTCACTACCGCGAGAGGCCGTCGGGAAAGGCAAGGCAGAAGAATGGCATTGGTTAACCTTGACATCTGTTGAGTTGCGCCGTGTTTCGTACAAATCTTGTGAAAGGGTAAAGAGCACGTTGCAACACAATTGTTCAGGAGCACCTGACCGAAGATCGGGAACCAAGCATTGCACATAGCGGGACATAGCGTTGCAGCACGGGCAGCAAGCTCAGAGCAGCAAGCTGTTCAGCCATATCCGGTCCAATGCCTGTGGCCCTACTGCTGGGTACTTGTAGTTCCCAGGCCATCGAGAGCTGACACAGCTGCTGGTTGCGTGGAAGGCAGATGCGCCGCCCTCGTCATTCAGCGGATGCCACATCAGTCGGCGCCTGTCGAGCTACAGCTTGGCCTCAGCGGGTTTTCCGTCAAGCTTTCTCGCAGTCTCAGGTCACCGTGATTTCCAAGCTGCTTTTGGGGAAAGGTGCCAAGCCCGAGGCAGGGGATGCCGCGGGCAGTCTTCAGAACGTGTTAGCAGTTCATCTAGCGGCCGTCAGGCTGAGAACGCGGATGGTCGCAAAGCAATCTTGGGCATCAGTGGCAGCAAAGACTTAAAGAGGGTGCCATGAATATCCTCAAGAATGCGTTCAACAAGGAGGCCAGAAGTTGGATAGATATTGTACTCAGCTGTACCTGTGGGCTTGGTACTTGAGTATCTTGAGTGGCTGCAGGAGGTCGAGCTGGCGTACAAAGCCTTGGAGGAGGCGGTGCGGCGCTGAGAAGAGCAGAATGACACTGCTCAGTTATGCACGTGCTGCCGAAGCCGTGACATGTCTTGAGCAAGCATTTGCGAGATTGGTTCATGGAAATTGGGTTGATCGATGGCAGATGTTGCATGTCAGTGCAGGACCCAACCTGCCCTCTAGTCTACCTCTGATCTTCTCTCAAGCAGGCTAAAGAACTGCCTGGCACCTGGAACATGGGGCGTTTCGTCGAGCTGCTCAACAAGGCATACTGCAACTCACACCATGGGTCCGTTTCGGCATCGTGCAATTTTGGTGAGATTGTGTGGGAGGTTTGAAAAAGTGACGACTCGGAGCTCCATGGTTTTCCACGCCCACGTCGCGTGGTGTCCAGTAGTTCAATGCGCGTGCGAGACTCGTGCTAAAAAGCTTCCCAACCGGTGCTGGCCCTCTCGCTTGGGGGATGCATGTGGGCGGGTGGTTGCTGGCCTCATGTGGCCATGCAGGTCCCGTTCAGAATGCAGCATGAGCTGCGACTTCACTCTTGCCCGTTTGTTCAAAATAGAAGTAAATGGGGAGCCGCAAGGGCGCCGCAAGGGACCTACATTGACAGTCTTCCATTTTGCATCTTCGCGTTTCTTCTTCGATGCAGCAACGAGCAGCTCGGGTTGGCAAACGCCACTATTTCTAGGCTTCCAGCTCACGATGGCCCGAACCAAGCTTGCCAGCATCTGCATCGTGCTTGCCGTGTGCACCGCGCTGCGCAATCTGGCCTTCCTTGCTCCTGCTCCTCAGACCCAGCTTCGTGGCAGCGCTACCGAGTCCTTCGATGTTGCAGCAAGCGCCGCGGTGCCCATTCTCTTGACACCGGCAGCAGCAACGGCAGCGGACGGAGAGGGGATGCCTTCGGTGGTGCTGGGTGTGGGCGTTCTCTGCGCGCTGGCAGCCTTCAGCGTTGTCTCCAGCGTCATCAGCGCGACCGTGACTTCGGAGCTTGCTTGATCATGCATGCAGCGCAGCTTGAACTACACCGGGGTCATTTCGGGCCTGAGTTGCGGTGGCTGAAAGCCTTTTCTCCCGAGCAGTATGAAAAAAGCCTGCTTGCAGCCATGCGGGGCAACTCTTCCAGCATTCCTTGGGCCTAGCACATGGCCAGCACCCTAGGCCCTAGGCCCGAAGCTTTTGTTACGTGATGCCCTCTGCCGCAGCAACAGCAATGCTTTGAGACTGAGCTTGAGATGAGAGGATACTGTTCTTTGAACAGTGCCATGCATCAGAAGACCGAGAAAGAGCCTTGCACATAGAGCTGTATATCGTTCAGCCAACAAGCTTTCATCTCGCCTTTCTAGCAGCCAGTCAGTTTGACTTACAAGATACCGGCCGCAGCACTCAGAAAGCCACGGCTCGGAACGATGTGGGCAGCCTGCGCTTTGCAGTGGACACGTGAAGGGGATGTGCAAGCCGTCCGGTGCTGGCTCTTCACTATCGCGAGAGGCCGTCGGGAAAGGCAAGGCAGAAGAATTGCATTGTTAACCTTGACATCGGTCGAGTTGCGCCGTGTTTCGTACAAATCTTGTGAAAGGGTAGAGACCACGTTGCTTTCGTACAAATCTTGTGAAAGGGTAGAGACCACGTTGCAACACAATAGTTCAGGAGCAGCTGACCGAAGACCGGGAACCAAGCATTGCACATAGCGGGACATAGCGTTGCAGCACGGGCAGCAAGCTCAGAGCAGCAAGCTATTCAGCCATATCCGGTCCAATGCCTGTGGCCCTACTGCTGGGTACTTGTAGTTCCCAGGCCATCGAGAGCTGACACAGCTGCTGGTTGCGTGGAAGGCAGATGCGCCGCCCTCGTCATTCAGCGGATGCCACATCAGTCGGCGCCTGTCGAGCTACAGCTTGGCCTCAGCGGGTTTTCCGTCAAGCTTTCTCGCAGTCTCAGGTCACCGTGATTTCCAAGCTGCTTTTGGAGAAAGGTGCCAAGCCCGAGGCAGGGGATGCCGCGGGCAGTCTTCAGAACGTGTTAGCAGTTCATCTGGCGGCTGTCAGGCTGAGAACGCGGATGGTCGCAAAGCAATCTTGGGCATCAGTGGCAGCAAAGACTTAAAGAGGGTGCCATGAATGTCCTGAAGAATGGGTTCAACAAGGAGGCCAGAAGTTGGATCGGTATTGTACTCAGCTGTACCTGTTTGGCACTTGAGTGGTTGAGAAGCTCTACAAACTCTCGCCTGCAGGAAGTCGAGCTGGCGTACAAAGCCCTGGAGGAGGCGGTGCGGCGCTGAGAAGAGCAGAATGACACTGCTCAGTTATGCAAGTGCTGCCGAAGCCGTCACATGTCTTGAGCAAGCATTTGCGAGATTGGTTCATGGAAATTGGGTTGATCGATGGCAGATGTTGCATGTCAGTGGAGGACCCAACGAGCCTGGACAAAGCAAGCCTCGCTCGCGTTGGAATGCTTAAGGCCTGATGTGTGTCCTTGTCTTCTCTGAGTCTAACCCTCTAGTCTACCTCTGACCTTCTCTCAAGCAGGCTAAAGAACTGCCTGGCACCTGGAACATGGGGCGTTTCGTCGAGCTGCTCAACAAGGCATACTGCAACTCACACCATGGGTCCGTTTCGGCATCGTGCAATTTTGGCGAGATTGTGTGGGAGGTTTGAAAAAGTGACGACTCGGAGCTCCATGGTTTTCCACGCCCACGTCGCGTGGTGTCCAGTAGTTCAATGCGCGTGCGAGACTCGTGCTAAAAAGCTTCCCAACCGGTGCTGGCCCTCTCGCTTGGGGGATGCATGTGGGCGGGTGGTTGCTGGCCTCATGTGGCCATGCAGGTCCCGTTCAGAATGCAGCATGAGCTGCGACTTCACTCTTGCCCGTTTGTTCAAAATAGAAGTAAATGGGGAGCCGCAAGGGCGCCGCAAGGGACCTACATTGACAGTCTTCCATTTTGCATCTTCGCGTTTCTTCTTCGATGCAGCAACGAGCAGCTCGGGTTGGCAAACGCCACTATTTCTAGGCTTCCAGCTCACGATGGCCCGAACCAAGCTTGCCAGCATCTGCATCGTGCTTGCCGTGTGCACCGCGCTGCGCAATCTGGCCTTCCTTGCTCCTGCTCCTCAGACCCAGCTTCGTGGCAGCGCTACCGAGCCCTTCGATGTTGCAGCAAGCGCCGCGGTGCCCATTCTCTTGACACCGGCAGCAGCAACGGCAGCGGACGGAGAGGGGATGCCTTCGGTGGTGCTGGGTGTGGGCGTTCTCTGCGCGCTGGCAGCCTTCAGCGTTGTCTCCAGCGTCATCAGCGCGACCGTGACTTCGGAGCTTGATTGATCATGCATGCAGCGCAGCTTGAACTACACCGGGGTCATTTCGGGCCTGAGTTGCGGTGGCTGAAAGCCTTTTCTCCCGAGCAGTATGAAAAAAGCCTGCTTGCAGCCATGCGGGGCAACTCTTCCAGCATTCCTTGGGCCTAGCACATGGCCAGCACCCTAGGCCCTAGGCCCGAAGCTTTTGTTACGTGATGCCCTCTGCCGCAGCAACAGCAATGCTTTGAGACTGAGCTTGAGATGAGAGGATACTGTTCTTTGAACAGTGCCATGCATCAGAAGACCGAGAAAGAGCCTTGCACATAGAGCTGTATATCGTTCAGCCAACAAGCTTTCATCTCGCCTTTCTAGCAGCCAGTCAGTTTGACTTACAAGATACCGGCCGCAGCACTCAGAAAGCCACGGCTCGGAACGATGTGGGCAGCTTGCGCTTTGCAGTGGACACGCGAGGGGGATGTGCAAGCCGTCCGGTGCTGGCTCTTCACTACCGCGAGAGGCCGTCGGGAAAGGCAAGGCAGAAGAATGGCATTGGTTAACCTTGACATCGGTCGAGTTGCGCCGTGTTTCGTACAAATCTTGTGAAAGGGTAGAGACCACGTTGCTTTCGTACAAATCTTGTGAAAGGGTAGAGACCACGTTGCAACACAATAGTTCAGGAGCAGCTGACCGAAGACCGGGAACCAAGCATTGCACATAGCGGGACATAGCGTTGCAGCACGGGCAGCAAGCTCAGAGCAGCAAGCTATTCAGCCATATCCGGTCCAATGCCTGTGGCCCTACTGCTGGGTACTTGTAGTTCCCAGGCCATCGAGAGCTGACACAGCTGCTGGTTGCGTGGAAGGCAGATGCGCCGCCCTCGTCATTCAGCGGATGCCACATCAGTCGGCGCCTGTCGAGCTACAGCTTGGCCTCAGCGGGTTTTCCGTCAAGCTTTCTCGCAGTCTCAGGTCACCGTGATTTCCAAGCTGCTTTTGGAGAAAGGTGCCAAGCCCGAGGCAGGGGATGCCGCGGGCAGTCTTCAGAACGTGTTAGCAGTTCATCTGGCGGCTGTCAGGCTGAGAACGCGGATGGTCGCAAAGCAATCTTGGGCATCAGTGGCAGCAAAGACTTAAAGAGGGTGCCATGAACATCCTCAAGAATGCGTTCAACAAGGAGGCCAGAAGTTGGATCGGTATTGTACTCAGCTGTACCTGTGGGCTTGGTACTTGAGTATCTTGAGTGGCTGCAGGAGGTCGAGCTGGCATACAAAGCCTTGGAGGAGGCAGTGCGGCGCTGAGAAGAGCAGAATGACACTGCTCAGTTATGCAAGTGCTGCCGAAGCCGTCACATGTCTTGAGCAAGCATTTGCGAGATTGGTTCATGGAAATTGGGTTGATCGATGGCAGATGTTGCATGTCAGTGGAGGACCCAACGAGCCTGGACAAAGCAAGCCTCGCTCGCGTTGGAATGCTTAAGGCCTGATGTGTGTCCTTGTCTTCTCTGAGTCTAACCCTCTAGTCTACCTCTGACCTTCTCTCAAGCAGGCTAAAGAACTGCCTGGCACCTGGAACATGGGGCGTTTCGTCGAGCTGCTCAACAAGGCATACTGCAACTCACACCATGGGTCCGTTTCGGCATCGTGCAATTTTGGCGAGATTGTGTGGGAGGTTTGAAAAAGTGACGACTCGGAGCTCCATGGTTTTCCACGCCCACGTCGCGTGGTGTCCAGTAGTTCAATGCGCGTGCGAGACTCGTGCTAAAAAGCTTCCCAACCGGTGCTGGCCCTCTCGCTTGGGGGATGCATGTGGGCGGGTGGTTGCTGGCCTCATGTGGCCATGCAGGTCCCGTTCAGAATGCAGCATGAGCTGCGACTTCACTCTTGCCCGTTTGTTCAAAATAGAAGTAAATGGGGAGCCGCAAGGGCGCCGCAAGGGACCTACATTGACAGTCTTCCATTTTGCATCTTCGCGTTTCTTCTTCGATGCAGCAACGAGCAGCTCGGGTTGGCAAACGCCACTATTTCTAGGCTTCCAGCTCACGATGGCCCGAACCAAGCTTGCCAGCATCTGCATCGTGCTTGCCGTGTGCACCGCGCTGCGCAACCTGGCCTTCCTTGCTCCTGCTCCTCAGACCCAGCTTCGTGGCAGCGCTACCGAGCCCTTCGATGTTGCAGCAAGCGCCGCGGTGCCCATTCTCTTGACACCGGCAGCAGCAACGGCAGCGGACGGAGAGGGGATGCCTTCGGTGGTGCTGGGTGTGGGCGTTCTCTGCGCGCTGGCAGCCTTCAGCGTTGTCTCCAGCGTCATCAGCGCTACCGTGACTTCGGAGCTTGATTGATCATGCATGCAGCGCAGCTTGAACTACACCGGGGTCATTTCGGGCCTGAGTTGCGGTGGCTGAAAGCCTTTTCTCCCGAGCAGTATGAAAAAAGCCTGCTTGCAGCCATGCGGGGCAACTCTTCCAGCATTCCTTGGGCCTAGCACATGGCCAGCACCCTAGGCCCTAGGCCCGAAGCTTTTGTTACATGATGCCCTCTGCCGCAGCAACAGCAATGCTTTGAGACTGAGCTTGAGATGAGAGGATACTGTTCTTTGAACAGTGCCATGCATCAGAAGACCGAGCAAGAGCGTTGCACAGAGCTGTATATATCGTTCAGCCAACAAGCTTTCATCTCGCCTTTCTAGCAGCCAGTCAGTTTGACTTACAAGATACCGGCCGCAGCACTCAGAAAGCCACGGCTCGGAACGATGTAGGCAGCTTGCGCTTTACAGTGGACACGCGAGGGGGATGTGCAAGCCGTCCGGTGCTGGCTCTTCACTACCGCGAGAGGCCGTCGGGAAAGGCAAGGCAGAAGAATTGCATTGTTAACCTTGACATCTGTTGAGTTGCGCCGTGTTTCGTACACATTTTGTGAAAGTGTAGAGAGCACGTTGCAACACAATAGTTCAGGAGCACCTGACCGAAGACCGGGAACCAAGCGGATGCCACATCAGTCGGCGCCTGTCGAGCTACAGCTTGGCCTCAGCGGGTTTTCCGTCAAGCTTTCTCGCAGTCTCAGGTCGCCGTGATTTCCAAGCTGCTTTTGGAGAAAGGTGCCAAGCCCGAGGCAGGGGATGCCACGGGCAGTCTTCAGAACGTGTTAGCAGCTCATCTAGCGGCCGTCAGGCTCAGAACGCGGATGGTCGCAAAGCAGTCTTGGGCATCAGTGGCAGCAAAGACTTAAAGAGGGTGCCATGAATATCCTCAAGAATGCGTTCAACAAGGAGGCCAGAAGTTGGATCGGTATTGTACTCAGCTGTACCTGTGGGCTTGGTACTTGAGTATCTTGAGTGGCTGCAGGAGGTCGAGCTGGCATACAAAGCCTTGGAGGAGGCAGTGCGGCGCTGAGAAGAGCAGAATGACACTGCTCAGTTATGCAGGTGCTGCCGAAGCCGTCACATGTCTTGAGCAAGCATTTGCGAGATTGGTTCATGGAAATTGGGTTGATCGATGGCAGATGTTGCATGTCAGTGGAGGACCCAACGAGCCTGGACAAAGCAAGCCTCGCTCGCGTTGGAATGCTCAAGGCCTGATGTGTGTCCTTGTCTTCTCTGAGTCTAACCCTCTAGTCTACCTCTGACCTTCCCTCAAGCAGGCTAAAGAACTGCCTGGCACCTGGAACATGGGGCGTTTCGTCGAGCTGCTCAACAAGGCATACTGCAACTCACACCATGGTCCGTTTCGGCATCGTGCAATTTTGGCGGGCGTGTTGTGTGGGAGGTTTGAAAAAGTGACGACTCGGAGCTCCATGGTTTTCCACGCCCACGTCGCGTGGTGTAAAACGGAAGCGGCACCATTGGCAGAGCACCAGGGACCTATCTCGACTGTCTTTGATTTTGTACTGTAATATTTGTATCTCCGTGTTTCTTATTGGCTCGATGCAGCAACGAGCAGCTCGGGTTGCAAACGCCACTATTACTAGGCTTCCAGCTCACGATGGCCCGAACCAAGCTTGCCAGCATCTGCATCGTGCTTGCCGTGTGCACCGCGCTGCGCAACCTGGCCTTCCTTGCTCCTGCTCCTCAGACCCAGCTTCGTGGCAGCGCTACCGAGTCCTTCGATGTTGCAGCAAGCGCCGCGGTGCCCATTCTCTTGACACCGGCAGCAGCAACGGCAGCGGACGGAGAGGGGATGCCTTCGGTGGTGCTTGGTGTGGGCATTCTCTGCATGCTGGCAGCCTTCAGCGCTGTCTCCAGCGTCATCAGCGCTACCGTGACTTCGGAGCTTGATTGATCATGCATGCAGCGCAGCTTGAACTACACCGGGGTCACTTCAGGCCTGACTTGCGGCGGCTTGAAGCTTTTTCTCCAGCAGTACGAAAAAGATCTGCTTGCAGCCATGCGGGGCAACTCCTCCAACATTCCTTGGGCCTAGCACATGGCCAGCACCCTGGTCCCGAAGCCCTTAAGCTTTTGTTACATGATGCCCCCTGCCGCCGCAACATTAGAGAACAGAGCCAATCAGCAGAATACCGAGAAAGAGCCTTGCATAGAGCTGCAAAGCGTGCAGCCAGCAAGGAGAGGCTTTCATCTCTCCTTTCTAGAAGCCACCAGTCGGTTCGACCTACCTTGGAGGATAGGATACCCGCTGCAGCACTCAGAAGGCCATGGCTCAGAACGATATGGGCAGCCTGCGCTTTGCAGTGGACACTCGAGGGGGATGTGCAAGCCGTCCTGTGGTGGCTCTTCACTACCGCGAGAGGCCCTCGGGAAAGGCAAGGCAGAAGAATTGCATTGCTAACCTCGACATCTGTTGAGTTGTGCCGTGTTTCGTACAAATATTGTGAAAGGGTAGAGACCACGTTGCAACACAATAGTTCAGGAGCACCTGACCGAAGACCGGGAACCAAGCATTGCACATAGCGGGACATAGCGTTGCAGCACGGCAGCAAGCTCAGAGCAGCAAGCTATTCAGCCATATCCGGTCCCATGCCTGTGGCCCTGTACTTGTAGTTCCCAGGCCATCGAGAGCTGACACAGCTGCTGGTTGCGTGGAAGGCAGATGCGCCGCCCTCGTCACTCAGCGGATGCCACATCAGTCGGCGCCTGTCGAGCTACAGCTTGGCCTCAGCGGGTTTTCCGTCAAGCTTTCTCGCAGTCTCAGGTCGCCGTGATTTCCAAGCTGCTTTTGGAGAAAGGTGCCAAGCCCGAGGCAGGGGATGCCGCGGGCAGTCTTCAGAACGTGTTAGCAGCTCATCTAGCGGCCGTCAGGCTCAGAACGCGGATGGTCGCAAAGCAATCTTGGGCATCAGTGGCAGCAAAGACTTAAAGAGGGTGCCATAAATATCCTCAAGAATGCGTTCAACAAGGAGGCCAGAAGTTGGATCGGTATTGTACTCAGCTGTACCTGTGGGCTTGGTGCTTGAGTATCTTGAGTGGCTGCAGGAGGTCGAGCTGGCATACAAAGCCTTGGAGGGGTCGGTGCGGCACTGAGAAGAGCAGAATGACACTGCTCAGTTATGCAAGTGCTGCCGAAGCCGTGACATGTCTTGAGCAAGCATCTGCGAGATCGGTTCATGGGAATGTGGTCGATCGATGTCAGATGTTGCATGTCAGTGGAGGACCCCAACGAGCCTGGACAAAGCAAGCCTCGCTCGCGTTGGAATGCTTAAGGCCTGAGGTTGTGCGTGTCCTTGTCTTTTCTGAGTCTAACCGTCTAACCCTCTAGTCTACCTCTGACCTTCTCCCTGGCACCTGGGACAAGGGGCGATTCGTCGAGCTGCTCAACAAGGCATACCGCAACGCACACCGTGGTGCGTTTCGGCATCGTGCAATTTTGGTGAGCGTGTGTGGGAGGTTTGAAGAAGTGACGACTCGGAGCTCCATGGTTTTCCACGCCCACGTCGCGTGGTGTCCAGTAGTCCAAGGCGCGTGCAAGACTCTTGCAAAAAAAGCCTCCCAACCAGCGCGGCCTCTCGCTAGCAGTGCTTTCCCGGCCCAGTTCTCACTCAGAATTGAGATAAACTGCCGTAAAAAGGGATGCAGCACCATTGGCAGAGCACCAGGGACCTATCTCGACTGTCTTTGATTTTGCAATATTTGTATCTTCGCGTTTCTTATTGGCTCGATGCAGTAACGAGCAGCTCGGGTTGCAAACGCCACTATTAGGCTTACTAGGCTTCCAGCTCACGATGGCCCGAACCAAGCTTGCCAGCATTTGCATCGTGCTTGCCGTGTGCACCGCACTGCGCAACCTGGCCTTCATTGCTCCTGCTCCTCAGACCCAGCTTCGTGGCAGCGCTACCGAGTCCTTCGATGTTGCAGCAAGCGCTGCGGTGCCCATTCTCTTGACACCGGCAGCAGCAACGGCAGCGGACGGAGAGGGGATGCCTTCAGTGGTGCTGGGTGTGGGCATTCTCTGTATGCTGGCAGCCTTCAGCGCTGTCTCCAGCGTCATCAGCGCTACCGTCACTTCGGAGCTTGATTGATCATGCATGCAGCGCAGCTTGATCTACACCGGGATCACTTCAGGCCTGACTTGCTGCGGCTTGAAGCTTTTTCTCCAGCAGTACGAAAAGGATCTGCTTGCAACCACGCGGGGCAACTCTTTCATCATTCCTTTGAGCCCCTAAGCTTTTGTTACATGATGCCCCCTGCCGCCGCAACAGCATGTTCTCCGAACAGCGCCAATCAGAAGAATTCCGAGAAAGAGCCTTGCATAAAGCTGCAAAGCGTGCAGCCAGCAAGGAGAGGCTTTCATCTCTCCTTTCTAGAAGCCACCAGTCGGTTCGACCTACAAGAGGGTAGGTTAAGTCGTATCTTCTTGTGTAAAGTCGTATGCAAGACTGAGGATGATAAGAGGGTACCTTTTGGGGACGAGGGTATGCCCAGATACTCAAAATTCCATAAAAGGGATAGGTACAGTATATTCCCTAAAGGCCCTAAATCATACCAAGGAGACTTTGCATGATGTTGGGAGTATTCCTTAAGGGTTTTTGGAGTCTCCGGGTGGTCCAAAGGGCCTGATATGTCCTAACCCCCTAAGGCCACCTTGCTGCTCCCAAAGATTCCCTGGGTACCTCCTTTCAGGACCAAAAAATTCAAGGACTACGGTAGGGCACCGTTGAGGACTACAATATGGTGCCTTCAAAGACTACCATGGGGTTCGGAGCAACAGGGGTATGACTGTCGTTGTGAAGTTGCTGAAGTCTGGAAGGTCTGGTCCAAATCCAAACCGGCAGTGGTTGCAGGATTGCATGACGGAAAGATGCTTGTTTTTCGCGGGTCACTCGGTCGGGGGTTATCGCGGTCCTGGTTCTTCACATGTTTGTCTTGCCGCCTCGAGAAGCCTGGTCGTGGTTGCAGAACGGAGTCCCACCGACGGGGTGGACCTTGCGCCATGGCTTCGGTCGCTTACAAGGACTTCCTCAAAGACGTCCTGGGAGGAGTGCATAGGGGGGGTCGGGGGGCGGTTCGCTTTTGGGTTTCGGGTTCACGGGGATGTAGGAATGGGGGTTGACAGTTTGGGGTTGGGTTCTGAGCTGATGTTGGGGGTCTGTGCGATGTGACCGGGATCTTTTTCCATCTTCTTAATCTCGTGTCTGTGGTCGTTTGGGCGCTTGACTGGCCTTCCTGCTTGCGGCGAGGCGCTGCAGATGAGATCGAGGAACGCGACGAGAAGGTGCTGGGACAAAACTGCGACATCTTCGCAATTCCTGAGGACAAGGAGGCGTCTGGGCTCGAGAGCTTAGGGACTTTGGCTCGGCGTTCTATGTTCTGTTCTGTGGTACTCTGTTGCATTCTGTTCTGCTCTATTCTGTTCGGTTATATCAATATCTATCTCGATGATCGTATTTACTATTACGACACCTCGAATATTCAAGCTGGAAACTTTCTGCGCTTCAATTTGAGAGAAGATCCCCAGACGTCGAATCCTCATATACCCACGCCAGATGTAAAGGACCACTCTGCGGCTGCAAATTCCACAACCCCAGTTCAGAGGAATGCCCAGAACCTCTGTAATCCCCGCAGAACTGTATTCGACTATCATCAAACCCCTTTCATCCTTGCATATCTGTATTGTAGCACAATGATGATGAGTACTTCTTTTCTTCCCCCTTGGCCCTGCAAGGATTCCAACGAGGAGGAGGAAGAGGTGGAGGACAAAGCACGAGAGACTGTGCCTCTTGGACGGAAGCACAGAGTCGCTGCCTTCGAGGGTTGGGGCCTGAAAAGGTTCGTAGCAGTATATATACCCTCTGCAGTCTCATATAGCTGCCATTATCATAATGACTATTGATATTCCCCTACAGCCCCTATATACGTATACCATAATATATTCCATCAGAAGATATCTGGGGTGTCAGGATCCATCTGCCCTTGCCATGACGATAGAAGGTAGCATGTGGCATCACATCGAGCATGTTCTAGCCTGCGGCATCACCGCAAACTCGTCTGAGATGACTCTCCGATCATTCCATCACATGGAGCAATGTCGCAGCGCACCATTTTGCAGTACATCATATCTTATTAGCTCTCTCGCGCTGCATCATATCGTGTCGCACAAATCAAAGAATAGCATCTCATCTCAGGTCATACCATGTGATACTTTTACGACCTTTTACGAGACATTATTACATGAAATCTGTTGTCAGCGTGGATACTCACGGCACACAGTGTGCCAGCGCCGCCGTGCGGGTTTCCCTGAACTAGGGGCCCCGGAGTCAATTTGGGACTGAGGTGCTTCGCGATGGATTCCTCAGATGATGACAACGATTCGGACGTGGACTCCGAAGAGTGGGATCTGGAGGCCGGCAGAGTCGGCAGAGGTCATTGAGCTTGAGGCGGCGTAGTGCCCTCGCGAGATGAAGTATCGTCACGATGCCTCGTTACATATGACATGATATGTTGTTGCATTGAATGGTTCTGGCTTCCAGGTGCTCTACACCAAGCCTATTCTGTCCTGTTCCATTCAGTGCTATTGTGCTGCAAGATTTGCAGACAGGGCCTGCTTTCCTATCCAGGCTTCCATGAACCAAACCGTGGACCCCCTTTCATGCTCAATGTTAGAGGCATTGCAAGTACTGGCCGACAAAACAATACTTGACACGTCGGCTGCGAAGGACGCGTATAACTTTGATCCGGAGCGCGTTGCGGAGCTGTTGAAGAATCCAGACGTTTCAGAGGAGGACCTGGTGGCTTCTCAGCGGCAGAATCGAAGCCCTCGTCTCGGTGCCTTCCATGACGGGTTCCCTCCATCAGGAGGGCCTTGGGTTGAGTGATGTTGGGTGGAGGTGGAGGGCGTCTGGTTTTCGAGGCCTTCGTGCTGTGAGGTTCGCCTTGTGGCAGTTCCTCCAGGACCCGTGCCATACGGTGCTCTGCATTCCTCCAGGGGATCTAGGCACGGGGAATTGGTAGGTGTGCATGCAGCTATGACCCATGCCTGCATGCCTGCTGTTCTACGAATGCATAGTAGTGCCTGGACCTGACGTCGGGCTTGATTGCACATGTAGACATGCTGGGCACGTAGGTATCAACAGGTGCGTGCGCATGCGGGCACATCTGGGCGCATGTACGTATGCATGCCTGAATGCCCGAGGGTTTGCATGTATGCTGCTGTATGCGTGCAGATGTGGAAGGGTGTGTCGGTGTGGGCATGTGTACTGTGCACATGGGGTTTGCGCACCTCCTGCAAATGGGCATGTATGTGGATGAACGTGCGCACATGCGCAGGTACGTGCCCACGCAAACGTGCGCCTAATTTGTACACTGCCCTACGATCCACATCCGGAGAGTCTGGCCGTTGGCTCCTCATGTAGACTGGTCCAAGGAATCGCTTCAGGAGACCATGGCCGAGGCGAAGAGCACTCTTGGGGGAGAGAGTGATATAGTGTAGTGTGTGTTGAGGGGTTGGTTATGGTTGTTTCAGGGTGCATTTTCCAAGTCAGGGCTTAGGGCAAAGAGTAGCCCTGGGCTTGGCCTCCCAGGTCTCACATGTCTTCGTGGGGCCCGGTAGGTGAGTTGCAGCGGCTGTAAACCTTGCACACGTTGTATTTATGTCGCAAAAATAATATATATATATATATATATATATAGTATATCGCCCGGGGGCTTGTTTGGGGCAGGCGATGATCCTGCGGATGAGCGTGGAGGAGGACCCTGATGTGGAGGCCTCGCGCCGCCTCGCTGCAGCAAAGCTCCGGCTTCGGCCTTTGGGGCTCTAAGCCCTAAACCCTAAACCCTAAACCCCAAACCCCAAACCCCAAACCCTAAACCCTAAACCCTAAACCTGATGGTGTGTGCGGTGCGGGTGGCGAAACCCCAACCCCAAACCCTAAACCCTAAACCTCCTTCTATGCCAATTCCCTGCAATGTGGACGTACAGTTCAGCTAAGCGTGCGGCAAAAAAAACCTCCACCTTCTGGCCTGGCCCAGTCCAAGCCCAGAGGCCCATCAAAGCCTTTATCACTCCAGCCCTCGCCTGGCCGACAAGGGCCATCGTTTCCACCCTCATTGTTCAGGGCTTTAGGTTTCATGCTTCGCGTTTTGGTCTTGGGGTTGAGGTATGCTGAGGTAATAAGGTTCCCGGATTTGGTTGCTTCTTCCTTTGGGTCGCTTTGTGAGGTCCGACTTGCCAAGAAGATATCAGCGGCCGCATGACGCCACCGGCGCAGCCAGCCACCTTCGATGCGACACCTGGGCTGTGTTGGTCAGGCCTCCTTGCATCTTTGGGCCTCTTAGTAAGAACCGTCTCTTCGAATTTTGCAAAATGGGAGCCCGGGACCAAGCCCTGCGCCGCAAGCCCGGCGAGCCCTGAACAATGAGGGAGGCCTCCTTTAAAGGGCTTGAAGGCTGTTCACCGAGGACAACCCCGCCGGACCCCAAAGAGCTTTCCAAGAAGCTGGAGCAGGCGGCTCGTTGCCTTGACAAGGGTTCGATCCCTTCCCTGCTCCAAGAGGCCCTGTCTGCTTGGGGAACATGGGAAAGAGCTTCCTTTGACAGGTGCCCGGCCGAGTTAGACGATCCTCGGTAGCACGACGTGGGGCCCTGGATGACGTTGCGAAGTCGGCCGTCAAGAACCATCGGCTCCTGGGCATAGAGCTTACTAGTGTGGACATAGGTGCAACTATAGTGAGTCAGTTTATCCTATGCAGGACCGGCGTGATGCGAAGGGGGATCCAGAGAACAGCATTCGGCTACTAGAAGTAGCAACAGTGAAGCTGGGTCTACTTGCTGGGGCGTGTAGCAGCAGAGCCTTGTCAGACCTGCATCATGGGACGTCTCATTGGTAGGAGGATTCCTGCTCCTTTGAGCCCCTTAACAAGGGGGGGGGTGTCCCGCCTTGCATCCCCTGCAAACAAAGGGGCAACACCCGGGGTTGTCAAAATGGGGGCTTCCTTTTGGGACGCCCTTGTGATAAGTCTAGAGTTTTTTCAGAAGCCTTCCCTTTCCTCGAGTCTGCCCAAGGAAGAGTATCGCTTGCATCGCCTCAGCCAAGATGGGCAGTGACGACAGCAACAAGGACCCACGCCGCGACTGTGACATCCCTCAACTCTGGAGCTGAGGGGCACAAAGATGATGGCAGTGAGGGGCATGTCTCAGCTTCAACCAAGCTGCGTTGCAGGATAAGATCCAGCAGGCGCTCGCGAACTCTAAGAAGCGCCACCGGATGAGCATGTGCAAAGCCGTCGAGATGCTCGACCTCGCAGGCCCGCAGCTAGAACACACACCAGCGGAGTGGTGCGGGCAGTCCCACAAGTGTGCAGGCTTCGTAGCCAGGGGCCCGTGCCCGCCACACGCGCAGGGCCCCTGTTTATTGGAGTCCCCGTCCTTGTGATTCAGGATTCAGGGATGAGGAGGACAAGGAAGTCGTCAGCAACAAGCTGGAGACGCTGCAGAAGCAGCCCGGCACAGCCAGGACCCCTTTCCCCTACTCAGAGACAGGATTTCCCTGGCCTTTGTGATTCGGCAGACCAGGTGTTTAGACCATGCAATGCACCGTGTTTCGCTTTCAGTTCCCGGGGACTGCGGAAGCAGAGCGGCTTCCTAAGTGCCTTGAAGATTGTCCCCTTGTCAACTTGTTTTGCGATGTTCCCCTGCAGCACGAGCTAGACATTGGTGAGGTCGATTCCTTGAGTTGATGTGCTCAACACGGTTCTGATGAGGGACGTATTGCATCGCTTTCACTGAACAGCTTTGCCTTGAATTGCGAAAGCAAATCGGTGCAAACCCTGTTGGCCTTGGTGCCACCCCCCCCCCCCTCCACCCCCCCCTTTCCTCAGAATGAGCCACAGACTAGTCGTCCAGAAGTAGCTGCAAGACCAACATACTTGGGGCTCTTCACACAACAATAGGAGCAAAGTCGCAATCCCCAAGTTGGCAGCATTGAGTTCCCCTGTCCCTGTCATGCGAAGCTTGGGCCCCTGCCATAGCTTTGAGGTGCGTCCTCAAAGCCAGGGCGCTGCATCGCCAGACAGTAGCCAAGGCTGTGAGTCGAGGGGGCTTAGGGGCCTGGGGGCCTAGGGGGCTTAGGGAGCCTCAAGACGTTGCTCCATCTCCAACATCCGGTTCAACGGTTCGACGTGTCTCCGCCTCTCAACTCTATGCTCTGAGGCCTAAGTGCTTCATGCGTTTCTGCGCGTGAAGTGTCCGCATGACATCCTGCATAAACCCGTAAACCACTGGGTTTCTCCGGGCTTCTCTCCTCCTTGGACAGGTTGCCCTCGAGACGGTTGGTGGGGACTTGCTGCCAGCCTCCGAGCTCGCCAAGGCCGGCGAGGCGCCCGACGGGGGGAGGGTGGTGTGTTCAGGGGCTGAGAAAAAGGGTTGAAAAAGGGGTGACTTTGGGGGTTTAGACTAGGGGTTTCTTCTTGGCCCTTGCGGGTTCTCCGTGCCTCTGTCAGGGCTCCCTGCCACTGCCCGCTTACAGCTCCTGCGGTCCTGCTCTTCATTTGGGATGCTTGCGGTAGTGTCTCTCGAAGCCCGCGTGGACCCAGGGCAAGGACGATGCGTCCGCATCGGCAGCTCCGCTTCTATTGTGGGGGCGGTGCAAAGTTTGGGGGTTTGGCTTTTGGATGACAAAGCGCACTCCCCCAGACCCCCGACCTCCGCACAGCCAGCCACCCCACGTAGAGATCTTCGAAGCATGGCGCATAATGGCATGTTGTGATTTGATATGCTCTGCAGCCTCTAAACCCCCAAACCCTCCATAACCCCCAAACCTAGAAAGAAGAGGGCACTTCGCAAACCTCCAAGGGCGGCAATGCAAAGGCCTCCAGCTCCGCAGAAGCTCGGCCAGGGGTGGTTGAGAGTTTGAGGGTTTAAAAAGGCTAAGGCTAAGGGTTGAAAGGGAAGTCTTTAGGGTTTTTAGGGTTTTTGGTTTGGGGCCTATGGGTGTATAGGGCCTGTGCTTTGGGGTCAGGGTTCTGGAGTTTCTTTGGGTGCCGGGTGCCGTGGGATGCCTGGAGATGTCGATGTACGTGTTCAAGGTCATCCAGTTCAGTTTCAAGGAGATTGAGGTCATCATCAACGTCTCCTTAGTAGTAGAATCAGAAGAAGAAGAAGAAGTGGTAGTCCTCGTAGTCGTGGTGGTAGTCGTGGTGGTGTTGGTGTTGTTCTGCAAACATAGACACGCTATGACTATCAGAATCCACAGCATGCGCTCACTCGCTCAGGAGAAGCCAAGGGTCATCAGCAACCTCTCTGCGTCTGCACAGGAGTTCAAGCCGGGAGCCCTACATTCGGCTGGGAGGGTTGGTGTTTTGAGAGCCTTGGTCTGGATTCCTTTTTTTGGGAATTGAGCTTTCCATCTCCGTTACCTGTGAGCCCGAGCTTCAGGCCCTCGGCAAAGCAGGAGAGCATTGAGGAGAAGATCAAGAAGGCGGTGAAGGCCGCGCACCAGCGCGCCAGGAAAGAGCAGGGGACCGTCGAGCCGCCACCCCGAGGCTGGTGGTAGTTGCTACTCTGCTACTTCTACTGCTACTGCTACTGCTGCTGCTACTGCTACTGCTACTGCTGCTGCAGCGGCCGCCGCAGCTGCTGCTGTTGCTGCCGCCGCCGCTGCTGCTGCTACTACGTATCGCGCGCCGCAGGCGCGTATGCGCGCGGCGGCAATGACGCACGGTTCGCTTGGGTTTTCGAGCATTTGTGTCTTGAGGCGCATGTTGTATTTTGCCGCAACTACTTTCGGAAAAGAGACATTTCTATGTCACAGTTTTTTTTGCTTTCGAGTTGAGGTGCAGGTGTTTTGCATGGTTCCCTGGGTTTAGGGTTTCGGGTGTCAAGGGGTCGAGTTCTTTGGGCTGAACCAACTTCCGCAGCCGCCGCATCTCAACGGCAGCACGTGTCCCGCAGCTTTCGACGCGATGATCGGTGCCATTGCACGCGATGCATCTATGAACCTGCTTCCCCATCTTGAGCTGGTTCTGCGGCAAAATACGTAAGAAGAATTCGTAAAGCACGCGCTGCACTAAACGATGGATGCCCCCGTGGCGGACCATGCCATGGCCAATGGATGTGCTTGTGCCCGGGACGAAAATCATCCTTCGGCAATGGATGCAGCAGCCAGTAGATGCCCTCGACGCACGGATCATGCGAAACGCAATGGCAATGGATGCCCTGGTCGCACGGATCCTGTGCAACGCAGTGGATGCCCGCGTAGCACGGACGTTATCAACCCAACCCCCCCCCCCCCCCCAAGAAAAAACACCCCAAACCACCTCCTCATCCTTCTGCTCCTGCTCCTGCTCCTACTCCTACTACTCCTCCTGCTCCTGCTCCTACTTCTACTCCTCCTCCTGCTCCTGCTCCTACTCCTACTCCGACTTCTCTCCTACTCTTACTCCTACTCCTACTCCTTCTTCTTCTTGTTTAAGGTTCCTCGGGGAGGCGTGAGGGTTTAGGGTTGGGCTCTTGCGGGCTCTTTCCGATGTGGGAAGCTGAAGTGCATGAAGTTGCTTCTGACCCTACGCCCTCCAACCGCCCCCCCCACCCCCCCACAAGCTCTGCGAGGCTATGATGAATGGGGCAACCCCTACGCGCAGGGCTGGGGGTCGCATTACCAGCAGTGCGACTACGGCTTCGTGCAAGGCTATGACCAGAGCTACAACACTGGCAACAACCAGATGTACAGCCAGGGATGCGGCCAGGCCTCAGTTCCTGCCCTGAGGGTTTGGGGTTGAAGACCTAAGGTTTGGGAATGCCGCAGGGTCTAGGGCTTAGGAGCTTGGTGGCTTTTCTCGAAGCCTGTCAGATGATATAGAGGCAGCAATGCATGTTCCTTCGTAGAGCAAGTCTTGTCCGGTGAGAGTTTGTGCCGGGAATCGCGCGGAGGCGTATGACCCAACCTGGAACAATGGCTGCGGCTATGCGCAGGCGGGCCTTGAAGTGCTATGCCTGCTGCCCCCCTGCTACGCTTTCAAAATTCTGGGAAAACTTGAGTGATGAAATCGTGGCCCCGCGCCCGACTTGTGCATTTGGTCCTGTGTGCCCGGTGCGTGCATCTTAACCGGAAGCGCTCGAGCTGATGCGCAGGGCAGCCAGCCATGGCAGCAGATGCAGCAGCAGCAGAACTGGATGCAGGCACCGCCTTGCTGTCAGGTCAGAGCCATGTCCATGCCGCCCAGCCCCCTCACATCGAAACATGAACTTACAGTCGGGCAGACCTCTTGGCTCGAGTGTATGCGGACATCGCAAAAAAGCAGAGAGTCACTCAGAGTAGCGACCAAACCTGGGAAACCCTGAGCCACCCTCAATACTGGGGCCTCGTGACACTGTTGTTCCTCCAGGGCCACCCTGGGCAGAACTGCTGGATGACACCAGAAGGACGCCAGACGAGCACCCCGTGATGGGGCGATCTTTTGAGCTCGCTTGGGCAGTTTTCCAGTTTTTTGGCGTTTGATACCTTACACCTCAAGCCGTTTCAATACTGGGTTGGAAGGGGGTTATGCGTATGTACATGCATGCGCAGACGCATGATGTGTAATCTGGTCCTCGACCCTTCAGGAGCTCAGGCGGCGTACGGGTCCAACTGCTACAATTACTACGGGGGCAACTATGCCGGCTATGGCAGCCGGGCTTGAAGGGCATTGGGGGGGTTCAGGGTGAAGGGTTTAGGGCAGTTTAGGGTTTAGGGTATTGGGGAAAGGGTTGCTTAGGCCTTGGAGGACTTCCTGGGTTCCTTGAGGGCTCCTTGGATTTGTTGGGTCAGTTTAGGGGACTTCGGGTTGGGCTGCCTCTTCGAAGTGTTCGTTTCAAGGGTCTGCAGTGGGAAGGTAGAGGTCCCTAAACCACCCTAAACCCTAAACCCTAAACCCTAAACCCTAAACCCTAAATCCTCAACCCTAAACCATGAAACGGATCTATACACCAAGATCCCGAGTCCTCGATCCCCTTTCGCAGCTCTGGGTCGTCTACGTCTCGCATCCGAGGCCAGAGTCAGCAGGCTTCCTACGGAGGCGTGCTGGGAATCCACGGGCTCCGCTGAAAGACGGAGGGTTCAGTCTGGGTTTACAGGGTTGGGAGAGGTGTAGTATTTGTAGTCTTTGAGAAGCACTGTCCCAGTGGCACCGAGCCGAGGTGTACTCAGGGCTTCAGGGTTCAGGCTTTCAGGGGAGGGGGATCTCGAGTCTGGTCTCTTCTTGAGTTGACCATTCAGTTAGAGCTTGAGCTCCCGAACTTGATGCCTCCTGAACTCTGAACCTCGAGGAAACCTCAGAAGCCTCAGCTCTCCGTGCTGAGGGCAACCTTGGCAAAACGCTGCCTGGGGCTCCGCGTAGAGGAGGCCGGATGGGGGAGGCAGAGATGCAGTTTGGCCAAGAGGGTCTTGGGCTATAGGGGCTTTGCGCCAGAGTCTGTGGCTTCAGGCCTTAGCGTCTAAACCCTCAAACCCTAATTAACCCCAACCGAGCGCCAAACTTCCATAGTTCTGCGGCTTGCAGGTTAATGGGTTGAGGATCGAAGGCGGTCCCTGGTGACAGTCTTGCCTGGGTGGGGCTTCAAAGGCTGCCTCATCATTGTCTTTGGATCGGCAGCTCCAACTTTCACGCGACTGCACGAAAGGTTCGCTGCAAAGGCTCGAGTCATGAGGCTCCAGGCAGACCATCCATCCTCATTTGACAAGAACGAGCGCACGAGGGACCAACCACTGAAGCCAGAGGCATCCGTCACCTTCACCCCTGGACCCGTGAGCTCCATCATCGATCCACGCCACCAACCACAGGCGAGCTGTTGGAGCCATGCCCTGGGAGTGAGGGCATCATGGGGGTCCGACTACGCATCCAATTACCCCAAATTTTTCCCTAAACGAACTGATTGTACACTGGCCCTAAGACCCTCAATCCTAAGACCCTCAATCCTAAACAGTCGCGAAGAAGCGTAGACATCTGGTTGCAGAGGCCGCTGTCTGTAAACGGCTCCCCCAGATAAAGCGGGGTTCAGAATCAGGGCTCGGGTTCGGGGCCCAGCGACGCAAAGGGCTTGGGGTCTGCGAGGGAGGCAAGGGGGTAAATTGCCTGCCCCACCAGACCCGAGCACCTTTCCGATTCCCATCATATGGCGCCAGGATGGAGTCTCATTGGTATCATGGTGGGAAACTGGGAGTGTCAAAAATAAAGAGGGATGAAGGCTGGAAGCAGCTCGTAGAAACGAGGACTTCGCAGGATTACCGAGCTATCACTTCTGTGACTTCTGTGTGGAATCATGAGCTACTGCTGGTGGCGGTTGCCGTGTTCCCAGGCATGAGATCAGACACTCCCTCCTCAACCGCTCAATGAATCAATGAAGCATGAACCCCCCCAACGTCCCCAACATCCCCAAAGCTCCCGAGTTTGAGGCATCCCTGTGCCCTGCGCACGGATGGAATGAGTGTGGCCGGCGCGGAGGTTAGCCGCTTCAAGCCATGGGTGTGGTGTTCAGGTAGGCTCTGGGGTCAAGGGCTTTTGGGTTTTTATTATTTGGGGTTGGTTTAGGATTGGTGGTGCAGGTCCTCATCCTGTGCTCTGTAAGCCAAAACCCTGCATTCCATGAGTCAGAACCCAAAAGCCCTTTGAGCCCTAAGCCTAAGCCCCAAACCCTAAAGTTTCTAAAGCACAAGGCAGTTTGCTACCCTCCGGCTGCCAATGCCAATGACTTCAATGCTTTCCTGCTCCGGATGGGCAGCTGTCAAAGACTTTAGACTTCAATACGGCTTCTAGGGCTCGGGGTTGAAACCCTTGCTTGGAGCCGAGGCTTTAGATTCTCTAACTTCGGAGCCAAAAATGTCCGAGCTGCCGGATCGTCAAGTGACGCGGGGCTCTGTTTGACAGCTGCCCAGCCAGTCCCTCATACTCCCGTAGTGAGGACCAGGCACTAAGACGCTAAGCCCCTAAACTAAAACCCCAAGCCCCCAAACCCTCCTACGCCCAACCCCCCATAAACCCTGCAAAAAAACCCTAAACCCTTGACAGTAAACCCAGTCCTCGCGGGAGCAAACTGGCAGAGTTGAGCTTACAACAGGCTGCAAGCTAGCACTGTGAGTTAACGGTTTTGGGTGTGGGGTTTAGGGTGCAGGGTTTAGGGTTGGGGGTTTTATTTGGGGGCTAACTTCACAACGGATCCAGCGGGTCTCAGGCGGCGGCCCTGAAGTTGTGAACAGGGCCCTTTAGTGGGAGAAGGAATCTCCCCTGAACCCAAACCCCGAAACCCGAAACCCCAACCCCTAAACCATGGGCCCTTTGCAGGGAGAAAGAATCTCTAGTCCTATGGAACGCAACGAGAAGCTCAGCGGCCCTAGGGTTTAGGGTTTTAGGGTTTTAGGGTTTAGGGTGATGGGTCCCCTTGCTGTGGCACGAGTCCATGGCAGCTGGAGGCACGTAAGAGAGCCCTCCGGCAAAATGGTTTAGGGTGAAAGACCCATGGGGCAGCAATGCGCGTGCAAGACTCTTGCAAAAAAGGCTTCCCAAGCAGCGCTGGCCTCTCGCTTGGGGAATGTATGTCTATGGCAGTGCTTTCCCGGCCCAGTTCTCATTCAGAATTGAGATAAACTGCCGTACCCAATGCTCGGCTTCTTAAAATGTAAAAGGGAAGCAGCACCATTGGCAGAGCACCAGGGGCCCGCCTCGACTGTCTTTGATTTTGTAATATTTGAATCTCCACGTTTCTTATTGGCTCGATGCAGCAACGAGCAGCTCGGGTTGCAAAACGCCACTATTCCTAGGCTTCCAGCTCACGATGGCCCGAACCAAGCTTGCCAGCATTTGCATCGCGCTTGCCGTGTGCACCGCGCTGCGCAACCTGGCCTTCCTTGCTCCTGCTCCTCAGACCCAGCTTCGTGGCAGCGCTACCGAGTCCTTCGATGTTGCAGCAAGCGCCGCGGTGCCCATTCTCTTGACACCGGCAGCAGCAACGGCAGCGGACGGAGAGGGGATGCCTTCGGTGGTGCTGGGTGTCGGCATTCTCTGTATGCTGGCAGCCTTCAGCGCTGTCTCCAGCGTCATCAGCGCGACCGTGACTTCGGAGCTTGATTGATCATGCATGCAGCGCAGCTTGATCTACACCTGGGTCGCTTCAGGCCTGACTTGCGGCGGCTTGAAGCTTTTTCTCCAGCAGTACGAAAAAGATCTGCTTGCAGCCATACGGGGCAACTCTTTCATCATTCCTTGGGCCCAGCACGTGGCCAGCACCCTTGTCCCTAAGCCCCTAAGCCCTAAGCTTTTGTTACATGATGCCGCCTGCCGCCGCAACAGCATGTTCTCTGAACAGCGCCAATCAGCAGAATATCGAGAAAGAGCCTTGCATAGAGCTGTAAAGCGTTCAGCCAGCAAGGAGAGGCTCTCATCTCTCCTTTCTAGAGGCCACCAGTCGGTTTGACCTACCTTGGAGGATAGGATACCCGCTGCAGCAGTCAGAAAGCCATGGCTCAGAACGATGGAGGCAGCCTGCGCTTTGCGGTGGATACGCGCGTTTCCTGCAACATGGGACGAGAGGGATGGGCAAGCGGTCGGGTTGTGGCTCTTCACTACCGCGAGGCCCTCGGGGAATCGCAAGGCAGAAGAGTCACCTTGAAAAAACCTCGACATTTGCTGGCTGCTGAACGGCCCCATGTCTCTCGTGTTTTGTACAAGTTCTATGAAAGCGTAGATATATATATATATGTATATTCATATGTATATGTATATGGTATATGTAGATGGCATATGTAGATGCATTTGTATATGTGTATATATATACACATATATAATTATGTTTATGATGCCTCGGTTGAGGGTTCAAGGTTTAGGGCTTAAGGTTCAAAGTTTAAGGTTTAGGGTAGAGGAGGGGGGTTTAGGGTTTGCCCGGGAAGGGTACCCGGCTTGGGGGGGGGGTGTGAGAACGTGGGTGGGTGGGGGGGGGTGGGGGGGTTGCGGGGGTGGGGGTTGGCGAAATCAGACACACACACACACACACACGCATGTATTCATATATACATAAGGAGATAATCATACTCTAAGCAAATAAGCAAAACAGATATAAAGTAAGATAAAAGATATGAATTAAGGTATCTTTATGGAATCGTCTTGCGTCTGGCAAGGCTGCTCTGCGTGTCATTCCAGCTTTGCGCTTTTTGAACGTGAAAAAGGGCCTTCCATGGGACCGCATTTAGGATGTTAATGAGTGTAGACAGTTCCAAGAACGTTTCATTGACAGTTGAAGGCACAATTCCGAAAGCTCAAAATAGTCTTGGCGTCAATGTGACCTTATCTAGGATTTTGCAGATTAAACAAGTTAAAGGCCATTTCGATATTTAGAAAGGTAAGCCCCCAGACTTGAAATTGAATTCCCAGCCCCGAAACATCCTCTAACATCTTGAGAAGGGCAGAAATCCACCGTTAATTGGATTTGGGCAAACTTAGGCAAAAATTGGTTTTTAGAGGCACACTCATTAGCAAACTACCAGAGCCGAGAGTCCAACTTTTGAGACTTACAATTACGTGGTGCTTCAACTTCAGAAGACCTGAGCGTTCTGAAGGTTTCAACCGATTTGATGAGGTAGCTTCAGCCATGTGCTCTTTCTACAAGAGCCCTCGCTTACCAAGACCCCTTTGAAACCCAAATCGCCCTGTTACATGCCACATATCCCTTCTATTCTGGTATATCGTCCGCAGTGCAACTATGCATTGAGGCTTTTCAAATATCCATGCAGCATTGGAAACCCGTCTCCTAAGCCGGAGAGCTCTAGGACCATTGGCCACCGGGCAAGACGGCACCCTATCAGGCTCTAGCCTTAGGGTTGCACTACAAAGATGGCATCAGTCTGTTCAGACCTCCTGAGCTTTTTGATTCCTGAGGTCATGCTGGACCCTGCCTTCGGCGGAGCATTGATCTATGCACCTGCTGACCTGCCCCGGGTGGTCCGCGCTGAGCTTCCCAGCACATTCTCCATACCGGAGGCGGCTAAGAGAAGCCAAACCGTTCTGAAAACGACTCCGACCCCTCTGAACAAGAAGTGACCGCAGTTCGCAAGTTCAAACCGTGAGGAAGACGGCGATGCGCAGCGTGGGGGCCCTGGTGCAAGAGTTACCATGGGATCAGAGGAGGATAGAAGAGTCATTGCCCGGTTGCCGTGCTAAGGGGCCATGGAAGTTCTGCGTGCAGAGGTGGTTAGCCTTCGCAATGAGCCATTCGCAATCCACGTTTCAGATCCCGAGCTCATGGGCATCGCGGAGGACGTAGCTTTACATATGCACCTTTCTGCACCCATTCTCACATCGCCCCAGGTCTCCAGTCTAAGAGCTTGTAAATGTGTCGCACTGTCGCACGAGGAAGATGTTTGCAGAATTTTGCGCCTGTGCAGGATGGAACGGATCTCTTTGTGCCAAGGGCTGATACAGGTCCCTGGCTGGTTAGTATGGTCGTCACTGGGCCAGCTGACACGTGCTACCAAAGCAGGCTGTGCTTGCAAGTGAAGGTGAACAGCGCATGGCCACAGACACCGGCTGAAGTGCGGGTTCAGAACTGGCTACATCATGCGCTGGTCAAGCAGGATGGAATTGTGGACGAGGCAGCTTTGACGGAAGCTCTCGCCAAGCTGGAGAAGGCCGGCAATGACTCCCCAAAGTTATGCCGGACAATGCAAGCTGTTATGCTTCTGCTGAGAGATCCTGGACAATTCTGCGAGACCGATGTGGAGGCTCTTACAGATGCCAGGGAGGCGAATGCCAAATCTTTAAAGACGATTTCTCAGTATTGCGGTCTTCGTCGTCACGAGTTTTTGTTCAATGAGGAGTTAGCTTTCTCGAAGGACATGTTCGACCCCAGATTCTGGACAGCATACGCGGCAAACACACCGGAGGCTTGGTCCGCCATCATGACTGAAGCGGCAAAGGAAGTGTATTCGTTTCCTCTCTTCAACGAGGAGTTCTGCAAAGCTTTCGTTGAGGAGCTAGACGCCTTTCAGTCCAGCGGCTTGCCGGCTCGACGTCCCAACAGCATGAATAATTATGGAGTTGTCGTGAACGAAATCGGGATGGAGCCAGCTCTGGACAGGCTCCTTGCTTCTAGTGGTCTCGTTGCCTCGCACGCTCCGTGTTTAGACTTCGATCAGCGCTCTTGCGAACCGCTTTTGTACCAATACGATGAAGTAGCAACACAGCGGTTTCGGCTTGTTTTGCACAGGGTACGCTTTGCACAGAGCCAGGATCCCAAACCTAGCAGAGTCCCTGTGTAGACACTGCAAACCCAACGAGCTAGCGAATACGTATTTCAGCACCCACTGACGCACGTATCCATAAATATTCAGGGCGTCTTTGATCAACCCATCAGAAAGCAGTTGGGCTGTCCGGCGAGGGTGACCGAGGCCACGTATCTTTAGCCCTGCGCTGACAAGGCAAGCCTAAGCTGCCTAAGCTGGCACCCGAGGCTACAGGTTCTCTGTGTAATCGTACTATATCGTACTGACAGCTCCGCGGCAGCATGATGTGTGACAAATCTGTTGCCACGTAGGGTGAGCCAGACTCTGCACGAGCCCCTGCAGGCTAGTCCACAACTTTTTGCAGCTGGTCGCCCACAACCTTTTCCCCGGGGTCGGTTCACACTTCGACCGGCATCACACCTTTGTTGTGCGGTACAAGGTTGGTGAAGATCTGGGCTTGGATATGCACACCGATGACAGTGATGTGACTTTCAATGTCTGCCTCGGCAAGCAGTTCAAAGGTGCAGGCCTGCAGTTTTGTGGTAATCAGGGGGCCGCCGACCACCGTCATGCAAGCCTCTTGTACCAACACAAGCTGGGACATTGTGTTGTGCATCGCGGCCATCGTCGTCACGGGGCCGATGATATCACGGAAGGCGAGCGGCTCAATCTCATAGTTTGGACACGCAACATCGAGTACCGGAGATCCCGTGACTGGTCGCGGCACAACATGCAGCTTCAGAAAACCGGCTACCGCCAAGAGAGTGGGCCGCCGGACAAGGTCTGCCTGTCTTACACTCACGATCGCGACTATGGTGTGTTTAAGGCCCGAACTTGCGTGTTGAGAGTCTGTTGATGTATGTCTTCCTGGTAGTTGGTTCATGATTGATCTGAGACCGCGCGTGCCTGTGTCAGGAATACAAGACGCAAGAGATGATGCAGAGTTGTGGAAGAGGTTGGTGTCCGCCCCGCCACGCTGAATATCTGGATTTCGTGGCAGAAGAACCCGAGCCTCTGCATGCTTAAAAATCACCCAATAAGATTGCGACCTGCGTGAAAGCTGGATGTCAACCTGACAAGCAGGCATGCCTGCTTCCTCCTTCAGCTTGGACGTGATTTTTTCGAAGCTCAGCTTTGGCTCGAAGATTTGCAGACTCAGCAAACTCAAGACGTTGCTTACCACCCATCGGCCTCGAGACAGCTGCACAGAAAGTCGCCGTACCCAGACGACAACAAACTCTAAGTCTCTAAGCCTTCGACTTGGCAAAGCGCACCAGCAAATGTGACAACTGCACTTTGAAGTGAACATCTTGAGCTTGGCCCCCATCTCGCTCTTCTGCGACGTTGCCAAGATGGGTACTCCTTCAGGCAGCGTAAGCTTCCAGAGGGACAATGACCCGCTTGTAGCTTTGGTGAGCTTGGGAAACTTATGAACTGCTTCTCTGATGGATCTCTTTTGTTTCATCGGCTGGGCTTGTTGTACGGCTTCGCTGTTCACATTCTATTATCGTGGGGAGTGCCATTCTGCCGGGCGTTCACCTGTGAGGTGAAGAGTGTTCGTAGCTCATAAAGTGTGATGAGAGAGGGGGTGAGAAGTCGGGCCTGCTTGGGGGATCCGGCCGAAATCATGAGGGGTTGCTTTTCGTCCAGCTTTCTGCTTACGCAACAAAGCCCGGATGCAAGAGGCAAAGCCCCAAACCTACCGTGGGAGCTGAGCCCCAAGTAAAGGCGCAAACGACGGGGTGTGCTCAATCACTTCTTAGGTGGCTGGAAAATAACCCTTAAGTCTTGAGTCTGGCTGCCTTGCGTTTTTTTTCCACCAGCTGCCTGCAGGCTCCAAGAACCAGAATCTCTTCATGGATCGCTGCATGGCAGCAAGTGAGACATGAGAATAAATCTGTGAGTGGACGGTGCGCTCAGTGAGTGGCGGCACTTTGCATTTGCGGGGTTCAAGCTAGGCCTTCTGGGCAAGGATGTCCGATCCTTCGATGGAGGACTTCCATGCAAGAAGCAAGAGTGGCTTTTCTGCAGGAATGTGGCTTGAATGAGCAGGAGCCTACATGGGCCCGGGCGTTGCAGGAGCAGACCTGGGGTATCAGGCTGGCAGAGCGACATTTTGAAGAGCCGGTTGTTGAATTTCTTGAATAAGAACAGCCCCCTTGACGGGACAATTCCGCATGGTTTGAGCCGCAACGCACGTGGCCGGAAAAGCCGAACGGACTCTCAGCAGCACGCAGAAGCAGTTTCGAGGGCTTGCAAGTGTTCGGCAGGCACAAAAGGAGAAGGAAAGGCAGCTGGAAAAGGCGCAGAAGCACCAGGACGAGAAGATGTCAGATGGATTCAGATGGAATTTTGGGGCACTTTTTCAGATTCTCTCAGCTGTGAACAAGTGCACGAGGTCTCTCTCTCTCTCTCTCTCTCTCGCTCTCGCTCTCGCTCTCTTGCCATCGCTCTCTCTCTCTCGCTCTCTCGCTCACTCTCTCTCTCTCTCTTTCTCGCTCTCGCTCTTTCTCGCTCTCGCTCTTTCTCGCTCTCGCTCTTTCTCGCTCTCGCTCTTTCTCGCTCTCGCTCTTTCTCGCTCTCGCTCTCGCTCTCGCTCTTCCTCTCTCTCTCTCTCTCTTTCTCTGCACTCCTTGTGCGACAGGAAGTGAGCGAGTTTCGCAGAGCTGCTTCTGATCACAGGACTTCTGGGGTCGGCGGCAGTGTTCGCGCGCATGCCAGACTTGTCCCTGTCAGGATTGATCGAGCCATGTCGAAGTCGGACAAGGCTCGGTCGTGATGTGTGTTACAACTTGAAAGGATGTCTGGCAATCACAAGAGCCGGGTCGTTCCCCCATCGCCGTGTGTAGACGTCCGTGTGCGGTTGGGTGCAGGTGGCGCAGACGATGGCGCCTGAGGTCGGCCCTCAGGTTGGCCCACAGGTGTGGTCCTCTTTCTGCTGAGGTAGACATGTCTGCGGGCAAATGCCAACCAAGACCGCTGCAGTAGCTTGGATGAGTTTGAAGGCCAAGAAACGCATGCCAAGTTTTGTCAAAGTGAAGAGCAAAGAAGATGTCTTCGACGAGAAGAAGGACAGCATGCCGTCGTGTGACTGCGGTCAACTCCTCGGCAGCTTTTCAGGATCAGGAGCCTGACAGCAAGCGGGCCCGAGTAGAAGGCGCCCCCACCTGCTGTTTAATGACCACAGCAAGCCGTCGACGGGGTGGGCGGGGGCGGGGGCGGGGTTGGCTTTTTCTTGCTGCTACCGCCGCCATAAGAACCGTGAGGCATGAGGACGTGGTCTGCAAGCGTGTAAACAACAGTTTATGCTGCAGCACCTGATTATGTCTGCAAGCCTTCATCCCGCATGTTGTCCGCACAGCGACATGCTCCCATCAACACACACGCAGTTTCTCACCAAATGCCATCAGAATCTGCTTAGCATCGGCTATGCAAGAATGCCCGAGTAGGCTTCAAGACCATCAGGCCGGGATCAGCTGCTATGATGTGCTGCGACGGGAAGCGGTTTTATTGTTGGCTCGCAGCTTTCCATGCCAGGGCACAGTATGCGTCTACTACGCGGATGTGCCCACGCGCTTGACCCTCTCCTCGCCTGTGTTGGCATCTCTTCAGCGCAAGCTGGCCGCTGCGTTACCTTGGTTGACAGAAGGCTCATTCAGCAGCGACTTGTATTGCAGCCATCATCGGGTTTGATGTTGACCCCTGCCCTGCCCGGCAGTGCACAGATTGCCATTTGCTTGCAAAGAGGTAAGCTTAGGCGCTTTGAGCATCCGGCTGCTGTGGCGTCACAAAAATGGGGAGTCCCACATTTGTGACGACGCAGCCCTGTCCAAAGTGTCTTGGCATGTGCTGGCAATCGCTCACTTCGTTGAGTTGGTCAGGGTCCCTGCAATCTTCAGGGCTAGTAGGAGGTACTTGTGCCACCATAGCATCAGCAAGTTGTGAAGACCCTTCGGTTCTTCTAAAGCTCAATACCATGTTGGGGACCCCACAGTCGTTTACACTTCTTGAGGTCATAGGAATCCTGAAGGTATGAAAAAAACGAACATCTGCATAGTGCAGTGTGAGCCGATCAAGGCCTGGCATGCAGCTGGTTGTGACCATGGTGGCGAATTAGAGCTTCAGGTTTGCCAGAACTCAGCACAGATTTCCACTGCAGATGTCACGGCTCGCACTTGCCAGCGGTGCGGCCAAGAATTCGCGTCCAGAAATCAACTCATGCGACATGTCTTCAGTACTGGTCACTATGCAGACGAAGGCCCGGTCCACCAAGACGATCCAGAAGACTCACAGCTGAGAATCCACCACGCCGACACACAGAATGGGTCTGAAGCCTGGGATGTGTATTACAAGGACTTGGCCGACTTCGCTGAGGTCAAGAAGCTGATGCACACTACTCTTCCGTATTGCATCCGGACAAACCCTTTGTCACCACTTGCACGGCTGGCCCTCCGACACTTGCGAAGCGAGGCCGAAGTGGTTAGGGCTCTAGGCTTGACGGAGGCAGAGGAATTCGATGGCTTCGCTCTCGAAGGACCTGGCAAGACATGCTGGAGCTTTCTGGAGGCATGCCAGGATGCGGGAGCCCTTGCTCGACAAGAAGCTTCCAGCATGCTTCCCGTTTTGCTGCTTCAGGCGCCCGCTGTGCCGATCAACCTCCAACACTCCATTCCTTTTTTGCATTTTGCTCGGTTGGCCTTCAACAGTTTTCAACGCGCGGTGATGCGGGATCCGATTTGATGGCAGTGTTCTGCCCTGTACGCAGGTCGAACCACACCACGCGGTAGCTGATCTGTGTGCTGCGCCGGCCTCCAAAACACTGCAGCTCCTCGATGCGATGAATGTTGGCCTCCCGCCAGGCATCGTGCGCCAATGCATTTTCCTCAAACAGTTTACTGTGGGGGTTCCTGTTGCTTTCCAAGAATTCCGACCCAGCCGGATGTCCCTGGGCTGCTTGTCTGTGCTTGTCTCCCCTTTGTCTCGGCCGTGGATGTTGGCCTAACAATCACCGCCCCAAGCGTGGATGTTGGCCCAACATCCACCTCTCAACGCGGATGTTGGCCCAGCATTCTCAAGTGTGGATGTTGGCCCAACATGCACCGCTCAAGCGCGGATGTTGGCTCACCCCTCAAGCATGACCCTTTAAGTGTCACGATTGATGGTGCCTTAGTCGTTTTGGCCAGGAGGGCACTCTTGATTCCACGAGGTTGCGGTTACGTATGTGTGAGTCATATACTGGCCAATATTGCCTGACTTCCAACTCCATCTGTTCAAGCATGGGTGAACATATCCTGAGTGGTCTTAGTCATTCCCGTATATTTGATACCTTTGAAGCCTCGGGCTAGGGTTTCACTATGTTTCATTCATAGTGTAGTCAGTGAACACGCCACGCGACTCTAAAACTGTTTCAATTCTGCGCTGGTGTAGTTTATTGTCCTTGCTGCGTGGATACGGTTTTTTTCACTTTAGCCCGGCTCTGCAACCTGCAAGGTGATGTGCCGGGCGGTCTTCTGGTCGCAAATGATGACAACTTTGCACGCTGCACCACAGCGGTGCGCCGCGCACAGCAGCACCCCAAATCGGCACCACTTCTGTGGCTCTGCGGAGATGCGCGGAATGTCAATTGACTGGACTCATTAAGTGTATAGGCCGACATTCAGGCAATTCAGGCATGCTGTCCGATGTTTAGGTCCTAGGTGTATTCCTGCAAGCTAAGTTCCCGACGCTGCACGACCACTCGGATGGCCGAGTTCGAGGAGCACGAAAGCTTCGCTTCGATCGTGTGCTATGTGATGTCCCCTGTTCAGGTGGGATAGCCGGATAGCCAAGCAGCTTGAAGGGTGTCGCTTCGGTCTGTGTTCCGGACTCTGCCACACTGCCACACTGGCCAGGTGACGGTCGCTTGCGCCGAGCACCTGGTGGCTGGCCACGCTGGCACGTGCGCTACATGCTGCAGATGCACTACGTGCTGCGTTAGCCTTCTCAGTACCAGTGAAAGCATTGCAGTGAAAGGCCCCCCGAATGAACGCCCCCTAAAAGGGCAACTCTTGGAGAGAGTTGTTGTGGGGCGTGGTTACCCTGAGGTGCAGTCGGGCATCTTGAAGCGTGGCCTGACCATACTGAAGCCTCAGGGGCGCCTTCTCTACTCGACGTGCAGCATGTCCCCAGTGGAGAACGAGGCCGTGGTCGCAGCGGCTCTCGAGAAGTGCCTTGTAGCTACCTAGTGTTCGCTCATGTTCGCTCCGCCCAGTAGCTGTCGTGTTTTTGGCCGCCCGACCGCGTTGATACGCCTCCTTCCCCGCGACCGTGTTCCCAACGTGTTCCCAAGGATGGGCGCTGGTCAGGTTCGACTCCTTCCGGTGGAGAGATGGAGCCATGCAGCTGGTCTGACTGAGTGGAAGGTCCCCGCCCCGGACTTCAACCAGTCGTACGAAAGCTACGGAAGCCCAGAGGAGGTGCTTGATCCTGCTCTCTGGTGCCGCAATGGTGGGGCGTTGGCTGCCACGATGTTTCCACCAGCTGACCCGCAGGCGGGATCGGCAAACGTTTCTAGTCATTCCAGCTTTCACGTCTTCAAGCAAACCGCTGGGGCGCGGCTTATGACGGTCTTGGATCTCAGGGTAGAGCGATCGTAGAGCGCAAAGCTGCAGGTGCGGAAAGCCTTGAGCTTGTGTGTTCGAGTCCACCCAACTCACGGAGATTTTGGAGGATTCTTCTGTGCGTTATTTGAGAAAGTGGCACCCGGTCCGGCAACATTGCCCAGCAAGCCCCCCGGACTTCGAGCACAGCACAGCCCAAATCCAACACAGGTTGTGTCGAGGGCGTGTCTTCACAAGTTGCCTGCTCTCGTTGCTCTGAAATGGCGACATGCCTCCTCGGCTTGTTGAAGTTATCGACCTTGCTTAGGACTGATGAAGATCGGTTGGTGAGCTCTCCTTCAGTGAAGCAGAACAAACGCTTGGACTCGGAAGCAAAGCCAAATCCCATTCCGCCCCTGCTGGCAACGACAACCTCGAGCCAACTGCGATGGTTCATCGATTGGTTTGGACTCGTCCCAGAAGCTGCTGAGGCCTGGGGTTTTTGCTGTGCTTTTCGGAACTCTCGGCCGGGCTTTGGCAGCAAGTCAGGGCTTTGACAGGCAGAATCTCGTGGAGTGGATCGCTTTCCAGCAGAGCTTGTTCGCGCAGACCCGAGCGTACCGGTAGCTTGGCATATGAAATCCATGGCTCCCGCGATCCTCCATACAGCTACGAGTGGTTCTGGACCTGGAGTTGTAAGGATGGGCTGGTTCTTGGAAGTGGATCCTTATGCTTGAGGCTTAGTGCGCCTGGTGCCGTAGGCACGACATGCATGAAAGCCAGTGACTTTCTGCTGATGCAGAGATGGCAGTTCAGGTCGACTAGTTCTGAAGCATGCGCGGCCTCGCGTCCTTGCTGCTGGGATACCTTTACTTGCTGCCTCAGAAAGCGCCATGCCAGAGCAGGATGCGATTCTTGGGCTCGCATGGGGCGTTGATTGAAACTGGTTCAGATCAAGGAGTTTGGGGTTTCGGCATCAAGTCGCTGTGCACGTTGATCAAACTACAGTCTAAGGAACAACCACTTGGACCTTGCAGGCAACGCCTGTCACGCGTACTCCCCAGTGTAGTTTCCGGTGAATAGTGGAATGGTTGCTGCAGTGCGCAGCGCTGTAAGACACAGAGTTGGTTGCAGACTGAGCTGAGGTTTTAGCTCACTGTGCTGCACAGCTGCAAGAGCATTCTGCCATACTCTAGCTAGTGGTTCGGCTAGATTCGTATGTTCTCTTGTGCGCCCGATTGATCTCGAAGATTCGTGGGCTCTCCCGTTGTGATGAGAATGCAAGGTCACGCGGCAATGTGCAACGCTTCCCTGGCTGCTATTTCTGACCATCCTTCAGGGTGAATCGGTCCCTCATCAGCCTGAAATGGTCGCAACTGGACTTTGTTTGCTGGCGCTAGACATGGCACCTTGGCGCATGAAGCAGAAACATCACCCAGCACAAGCCGTTGACGCCCAGTCACGAATGCTAGCTTCTTGGAGCTGGCCGTATCGGTCAACAGGCCTTTTTCGGCATCAATCCGATTGCCTCATAGAAGGAATGCATGCACTATCGAAGCGTTGGCAGCGTTGGCAAGGACAGTCTGCCAGATCCGTCTATGCGACGCCAGCACAACATATGTGACCAAGCTAGACAGCGAAGCTTTTGTCATTGCACGCGTCAAGTTCGCATATTGACCCATGTATGTCCAAAAAGACCTGAGTCTGCGACCCTTGAGGTATCCCGGGCCGTCTGACATCCGGTCGTCTGCTCGTCACAACTTTGGGCAGTTCCAAGCGCCATGCGCTGCTGCGCGTGCTCGGAGTCGCCACGCAGCCTTCGACAGGGGATCCAGAGGGTCTCCAGCAGCACACGCCATGCCCAGACCGCGGAGGCTATGCAAAACAGGAGTCAGCCGACCCCACGGGTCTTTTGGTGTGCGAGGGCTTTTTTGTTTATGTTTTGGTCTGTCCAGCAAGATGTACATTGACATAGGCGTCGAAGCCACGCCTTCGCTCACTGCGCAGGGGGCCACAGTTTTGCGCAATCGTGCCTCAATCGCTGCCAGCTGCTTCCAAGCTGATGCAAGTACCTCTTTGCAAGGGCAGCGTCATCACCAACCTCCTCAGCAGCTGGTGGGTCCCTGCTTGGCGGCTACGAGTCCTCGGACGAGGCCCGACGTTGCAGAATCGGGTTGTCGTGGGTTTGTAGCGCAGAAATCACCTTGGAAACATCTGCTGCCAATATACACTGAGGAAGAGGATGGTGAGCAGCCGGCGTGAGCAGCACTGTACAGACTTGCATGTGAGCGTGTCCGTCGGCTACTGCACCAAAGATGATCCTGCATCGAGGCTCAAACTTAGACCTTCCTGCACGGTTTCATGTGGCGAATTGCTTGGGCACTCCTGTCTGTTGTGCTGGCTCGCCTCATCTCCCTCCGACAGCTAGTTCGAGACAAGTCCTATGCATACTTTGCGCACCTACAGAACAGGCATGAGCTATTTAAACAGCCCTAGAGGGCGGCTCGGCCACATGTTTGGTGTGCATTTGGGGTTTGTGGATGATAATCACCTCCCCACCCCATCGAATGCGTTTGCTCTGACATGTCGTTGCCATTGGCATCTGCAGCCTTCCTTGCGCTTGGCCACGGCAGCTTTGCTTTGTCTTCATCATCTTCGTGATAAGTGATAAGGCATTTTGGCCGCATCCCCAGCCATGTTGGCTCAAGCTCGATCATGCTCATGCACAGCCCGGCGGCTGTTTGTCTTAAACATGACTCTCCTGGTGCAGTAGCTCTGCCCGTCCAAGCCGCTATCGCACCAGCACGAGTGACACGTGAAACGCGAGCACCGCGGAGAGCGAGAGACCTCCCTCGCCAAGCAGCTGGCAGTCACTTCATCGGCTTGACAACTGGGTCTCTATGCCTGGCTGCCTTAACAAGGAAAGCTCAGAGGCAACAGAGGCGAGTTCAGCCTGGGCGCATTGCACCTGAGGACCCAATCCTGCGCGACAGAGCTCAATATGGGAAGGGGCTTTATTCCCAGGCAGACTTCCTCCGGTTTCTGCAGACTGCGAAGCCCTATGGCTGGGCCGAACTTGAGTTGGAGGGAGAGGTCCCTGCCGGTTTGGACGGAATCCTCTACCATGTGGGGCCGGGGCGATCTTTTCGGGGATCCACCATTTACAAGCATTTCCTGGATGGGGATGGCTTTGTCAACGCGTTTCACGTGAGTTCAGGCACTGTGCGCTACAAGGGCGACTTCGTGCGCACGCCGGAGTACCAGCAAGAGGAGGCCGCGGACGCCGTGCTCTTCCGTGGCGCCTTTGGAACTGCGAAGCCAGGAGGTGTGCTTTGCAATGCCTTGGACTTGCGGTCCAAGAATCTGGCCAACACCAACGTGGTGAGTTGGGGGGGTCATCTTCTTGCACTCTATGAGGCAGGGCATCCTTCAAGGCTCCACGAGAAGTCTTTGGCCTATTTGGGGGATGAGACCTTCCAAGGGTTGCTGGCGCCGGGTGTGGCAGCGTCCTCTGGGTTTCCGGCCGTAGACGGTTTGTTGGGGTTGGGGGGGACAGCCTTCACGGCGCATCCCAAGATGGATCCAGCACAGCACCGGCTGGTTGGCTTTAGCTGGTCATCCAAGAAAGGTGGCATTGAGATTGGCATTCATGAGTGGGATGAGGAGTTCAACCTGGCGCATGAAGCTGCAAGCAAGCTTTTCCTGGATAGCTGTGACTCCAGTCCCCATGATTTTGGGCTCACGGAGAAAAGGTGTGTCTTCTTTGAGAATCGTTTCAAGCTAGGAGATCTCCCTGGTTATCTTTTAGGCTTGAAGGGCCCCGCAGAGAGCTTGGTTGGTGAGCCCGAGCTGGCCCAACGCATTCACATTGTCTCCAGAGACGCTAGCGAAACAGTCACAATTGAAGGCAGCACTGGGGTCTTCGATGTTCACGTTGCACACTGTCATGACGGTCCGCCTCTTGGATACGGAGGGAAGCAGGCGCCTCAGGCGCCCTCGGATCTGATCACTGCCTACACCGGTAGTTGGGACGAGTTCCCGGAGGGAAGCTTGTTTGGTGAGTGGAACAGCGAGGATGAGCAGTTTCCCTTCGAGCTTCCCGAAAGGGTACCACCAGCGGATATGTCCCACATGCCCAGAACCCGGCTGGTGAGGCACATCATCGACCTGAAATCGCAAGAAGTCGTGGAGCGCTCGGTGGTTGCTGGCTGTGAAAATCTGAGCATGGAGCATCCCACCATCAACTGCTCATACACGGGGAGTTCCAAATGCCGTTACATCTACATGGTCGTTGGCAACGAGGTGGAAAAAGGCCTCTCCAGCCCTCCCTCCGGCTGGGCCAAGGTGGATCTCCGCACCGGCGAGACCCAGCGCTTCTTCGCGGGCAGCCGGGCCTTCACGGACGAGCCCCACTTCGTGCCTCGCAGGGGTGGGGGCAGCTGGTCCCCAGGGGAACCTCAAGGAGAGGGCGATGAGGATGATGGCTGGGTGCTGGCCATGCTCTTTGATGCCCAGAGAGGCCAGAGCTGCCTTTGTGTTTTCGACGCTGCCAGAATAGATCAAGGACCTCTGTGTCGAGCATGGCTTCCGCATCCTGTGCCTCATAGTTTACATGGCTGCTTTGTGCCCACTGGAGCAAGTTTCCGAGAATGCAGTGAGCAAGCAAAAAAGGTGCCAATCCAAGTAGGAAGAGCGGAGCAAGTAAACGAGAGGCATGTTTGTGAGCTGTGGATAGGATTGGATTCGAGGGACGACCAAGACCCGAAGATTTGACCCAAAGCCTCCGGCCCGAGGGCTTAAGGTTAAGGATTAAGCCGATAAGAGGAAGAAGGAAGAGCACACCTGTAGCCCAGCTGCGGGGTGTCCCCGAAAACCCACCAACCAGCTTCGCCACGAAGAGGTCGATTGCTGCCGTCTTGTGCCCCCGAAAACCCATCAACCTTTTGCCACGGGGGTGTCCCGAAAGCCCGCCAAGGCGGAGAAGAGGGAAGAGGGGGAAAAAAGATGGAAGGAGAAGAAGCCGGAGAAGGCGAGCAATCAAGAAAAGAGGTAAATTGCATTCAATCCGGCACTGTCGCCCAGTGGACACACTTGGACACAACCCGGTTGCCAACTGAAACTGCACGTCCTTCGTACCCCTTGTACACTCTCCCCAGCCCATGCGAAAGGGTCAGCAAGGAACTTGATGGTGTGGGTGTACTGGTAACAGTGTATACATACGAGCAAAGTCGCCTGTAATTGCAAGAGCTGCAGTTGCTTGGCGGCAACAACTCTCTGCTGCACCGCTTTGACCCTGTCTCTCATCTTCTTTCATTCTGCAGTCATGCCGTAGTCGCACGCCTGCATTGTGCGAATGCACTTTGAAAGCGTATCCCTGCACCCATGAGCTCCAGATGGCTTCACAAAGTGAGGACAGGCACAGCGGCACAGTACTACAAGCAAGGCCTGCAAGAAATGAAAGGATTCTTGCGGGGAGCACATGCCTTGGCAGTTTCGAAGTGCCTTAAGCCATGCCAGGTTTTAACAATTTTTAGCACCACGCAAGGCAAGATGCCTTTCGCCCCTCCCCATCGGCAACAGGTTGTTAAGCAGGGGTTGTTCGGTTGTTGGCGAGCAGCTGTCGAAGCGGCGCTTATGCAGCGACTCCCGGTGCCAGACCCAGTAGACCAAGCTTTTGGAACTCGTTTCGCAGCCTTTCGCGGAGTTCGGATGGTCAAAGTCGCAGTCAGGTCCTCACCAGCTCTGCAAGCTCTGCGCCACCAGCTCGCCAGTTTGGCACACGGATGTTCGAGCACAGTCGCAAAGTTCCACGCCTCCCAAAGATTCGTGACATGTACGTGAAGCAAAGTGCGGGTGCACTGGAAGGTCCCCATACGTGGTGCCCACCAGCTCCGTTCGTGGGCAGGCCGAAGGATGGTGCATGCTGCCTGAGTTGCCTTCAGCTGGCTAAGCTGCCTTTGCAGCACCCTGCAGATCGAGGCCTGCAGGCACCGCCCGCAGGTCTGGCTCGCTGGAGCTGTTGCCGGTCTGCTTTCAGGACGACTGCTTGAATTTCACCAGAAAACATACCTGGACGATGCCGAATTTGGTGCAGGAGGAAGCCGTCGAGCACGGACCCTGGCCCAGCCAGACTTGACAGTAGGATGTGCAGATTCAATGGGCGCAGCGCGGCGTACACGCCAGAGTTTGGGTTGTCCTGGCACGGTCTGTGTTCAGGCGCGCTTGGGAGCACGTGCTACCACTGCGAAGGTGCTGGCACTTGTTTGGTGACGTTGAACTGGTGAGACTTGCGTTTGCGCGTTTCTCCTTGCTTGTTTGACTTCCTGAGCCAACAAAAGTGCCAGAGGAGATAAGCCTTAATGAACTACATGTAGCAATCACTAGGTCGGGCCGAACTGCCCTAATCCCGCCGGGCATGAGTGGCACATCTAGAACCCAGAAGGAATTGGACGTACAATGTGCACAAGTGGGAAGGAGCACATCACGTATGCGGGCTACTCAAACATTGAGCTTTCAGGTATGGTATGGCCTCACTTCTTCACACATCAATTTGCCACTGGCTACGGTGCACGCATGTGCGCGCGAAGTCAGCTTGCGCAGGTCACTGTGGGCAACCGTCAGTCGCAGCAGATGAACGACGGGGACCTTTGCCTTTGCTGACGTTGAAGCCGTTCCGCGCGTGTGATGATTTGGCAGAGCAGCCAATGAGACTAATGTAGCTTGTAGAGTTGCGCAATCTTCGGCCGCTTTGTTGGACTGCAGAAGACTGAGTGCTATAATTATGACCCGTGGACACACACACGTGTGTCTGCATCTGCCAATAAGAAAAGGTCGGAAGGCGGGAAATTACAACAAAAGCAAGGAAGAGAGGAGCACCAATATCAGGCGTGGTTACTAGTATCAGAAAGAGATCAGGAATTTAAGCTTTTGCAAAAATCACACAGGCGAAGCACCAGGAATTCGAACCACGTTGGCCTCGGCAATGCAAGCCTGGCTTAAGAGAGCAGAAACAGTAGCAGAAGCACGTAGCAAAAAACAGGGCAGAACAGTAGCATCAGAAATAGCAGGAGCAGGAGCAGAAACAGTAGCACCAGAAATAGCGGAAACAGGAGCAGGAAAGGTAGTACCCAAAATAGCAGAACAGGAGCAGAAAAAGTAGCACCAGGCAATAGCAGAATGTATTTGCCGATCATTAAGACCGCAAGCACAGTTTGTGAGGTTGTTGCGGCCTGTTCAAAATGAGTTCAGACAGGAGCACAAAACGTCGCGCTAGAAATAGCGCAAATAAAGCAGAAAAAGTAGTGCCAGAAACAATGCAAACAGGAGCAGCAAAGCTAGCAGAAATAGCAGAAACAGGAACACAAGAAAAGAAACATAACACATGAGGCAAGGACACTTCGGATGCAGCTTGCCGTGTGCTCGTTCTGGAGTGCCATCTGCATTGGGAAACCCTGCCGTGAAGCAGTGCGATGTGCCTTGCCCGTCAGTTTCTGAGTTCGCCATGCCTCGCAGCCATTCAAGAAAAGAACGCAAATAAGCACAGTTGAGTCGGACTCTTGTGCAGGAGATCCTGAGCAACTTGCGCCAGTACTGTGGATGGACCACGCTTGATATGGGTCACTGAGCATGTTCTTTGGTGCAGTCTTGGCTGTTTGAAAACAGCAGCTGCAATGCACAGCTCGGTCCACGGCTTGAAGCGTTCAGGTGCCGGGGGCAACTGTCTCTTCCTCTCGATGGCCTCACAAGTACAAGTCGAGGATGTGAAGGACCTCCCTTCCAGGTCGCACATGCAGTCCATTCAATGGAATCGTTAAGTAGCAAGGAATTAATTAGTGCAGGGCCGCCACAGAACGCTTGTGAGGTCTGCTGATTGGGAGCCGGCCTCAGTGCTTGATTCGGCTGATTCGGCTGCATGGTCGAAGCAAAAGCTTGAAGTGGTCAAAGCCGCGTAAGCAGGCATCTTCAGGTCAGTGTTCAGTCTACCTCAGTCGACCTGCATCAGGCAGAAGCCCTCGGGTCCGACCTGCCAGATCGATGGAAGGAGTGTATACGGCCCCTTCAGCATGACCCTAGGGGCGGCAGCAGCATCGTACCGATAGGACATGGGTCCTCGAGAGAGAGCAACGTTTCTGCGACGAATGGCTTCTCTGCGGCAAAAGTGGGGTGCAGGTTTTGCAGAATACCTATGACCAAGTGTTGGCAGGGTGACATCCTGCAGCCTTTGCTTCCCATCGCAGCTTTCGCGCGTTCAAAACCACGGCAGGCAATCCTGGATGAGAGCGAGTTCGTTGCAGAGGCCTTTGATGTTTGCACCGCTGCTCGCCCCAAGCCGCTGTATTTCAGCACACCTCTTGCAGTGTTTCCGAGCAATGTCCCAAGAGGGTGGTGTAGCTTGCATGATTCCGACAACTGGACAGTTGGCGGCTGCTCGTGCACGCGGCGAGCCATTGACTGCTGACGTGGAGTGGCGCACCAGGGAGCTTTTCACAGCCGCAAGCTCAGGGCATGTTTGTAGGGCAAGCAAAAGCATTGAAAAGCAGTGCCTGGCAGGACATGGCAGAGGAGTTCATCTCAACCAACAAGACGGAGCTTGCAGCTGACATACCAGGGTCTGAACACGCAGACATCACAAAAGCTGATGAATCATGGTTTCTGTAAGAAGCATGTGGGCAGGCACGTGCTCTTCCTTGCCAGGTGGGATCGCCAGGCTCGGTTGATATGGGCAGCAGCTCCTCCCCTGCTAGTACTCAGCACTGGTTTCGTTGCCCGGCTGTTCTGCTACACGTGGTCACGTTTTGTATCGTCTGCCGCGCTGTGGGCCGTACATTGCGTTGCCTTGAGTGCCGGCCAGGGACTGTATTCTCGCGCTGTCAACTCAGAAGCTGATGCAAACGGTCGTTCTTGAAGATGGGCGGACGCGTCGCTGAAGCTATTTGAACTTCTGCTGCGGCTATGGCGGTTCCATGGTGTTGCCAAGGTCCGAGAAGTTGTCACAACATTCTCGCTAGACCAGATCTGCGAGTTTGTCTTGCTGCACGCGGATGAGTGACCGGGCTTGGGGTGCACTACAGTGGAGTGCAATGAAGTATGTTCGGCCAGTACAAGGCCTGGAATGGTGGCCGATCTGAGCCACAGGTACTTGCAGATCACGGGGCGTGAGGGCAACTGGGCCGGCAGCCATGCCCCTAGATGTGGGGCGTATTTTTGACAGGGGACCAGCAAGCTGCTGGAGCCTTTTCCCAGGTTCCGAGATGGCCGCACTCTCCAGCGTACTGCACGCACCCGAGACATGTTACTTTCTCAGTGCAGATGTAGTGAGATGTGGCGTCTCCCCCAAGGAAGCGCCCGGTCCAAGCCTATGGGAACAACTGGGCAGGGGCCTGATGACAAGATGAGCGAAACTTTTCCCAGCTGTGTTCCAGCATATTTCAGCAGTTTCGGCCCAAAATGATGCACAATTCCGAAAGCATATGGCTCCTATAAGAACTTCCGGATGCTTGAGAGGAACTGTGTGCTGAGCCCACTACGCTGTTAGCATGGACGTTCATGGCAAGCCGCAGCGCCGCCGGCGTGGAGTCTGCGAATCGGGCTCCAGCCAATGTGGCAGCTTGCCAAGATAGTTTTTCCCGAATGCTCCGCAGAAGGGTTCCCGTTTTAAAGTTGGGTTGGGAGGTTACCAAACGTCGTTGCGCTGTGTCCGCAAAGCGTCCGCAAGCGTTCGCAAGCGTCCGCAAGCGTTCGCGAGTGGCATAACGCGTGCTGTTAAGGGGGGACTCCACAGGACGCGCGCCGACGCGGCGTTCCATGGCGTTCCGAATCCGTCAAGCTAAGGGGAAGTCCACAGGACGCGCGCCGACGCGGCGTTCCGTGGCGTTCCGAATCCGTCAAGCTATAAGGGGGAATTCCACAGGACGTGCGCCGACGCGGCGTTCCGTAGCGTTCCGACTCCGTCAAGCTAAAGGACGCGCGCCGACGCGGCGTTCCGTAGCGTTCCGACTCCGTCAAGCTAAGGGGGAAATCCACAGGATGCGCGCCGACGCGGCGTTCCGTCGCGTTCCGAATCCGTCAAGCTAAGGGGAAACTCCACAGGACGCGCGCCGACGTGGCGTCCTGTAGCGTTCCGAATCCGTCAAGCTAAGGGGGAACTCCACAGGACGCGCGCCGACGTGGCGTTCCATGGCGTTCCGAATCCGTCAAGCTAAGGGGGGACTCCACACGACGCGCGCCGACGCGGCGGTCCATGGCGTTCCGAATCCGTCAAGAGGGTGGCCGACGAGGCGTTCCGTGGCATTCCGAATCCGTCAAGCTAAGGGGGAATTCCACAGGACGCGCGCCGACTTGGCGTTCCGTGGCGTTCCGAATCCGTCAAGCTTATGTTTTTCCGTTGGAACCGTGCGAAACGAAAACCTCTTTTCCGCCCGCGCACCGACGTTTCGTTGATTTCGCGTTAAATCTGCGTTATGGGAGGCTGCTTTCTGCATTCGGGTTCGTGGGTCCTATCAGGTTTAGTCTATAGCCTGTAGTGTTTGTACATCCCGTGCAAGTTTTGGCCAGGCCAAAGAGCGGGCGGGACAGCGAAACTTGTGGGCCGGCGTGCTGACACGCCTCGAAGCTGGAGACGCAGGGCAGTTTGCAGAGCACTTGGTGGCCGCAGCTGTGTAGGTTTTGCTAGTTTTTGCAGTTGTCTTGGTGTTAGTGCAACTTGTCGTGTCGCTGGCACCGTTTTGCAGAAGCTCAGGCAAGGCAGCACATCCATTGCCAGATCTCCTTGGCGCGAAGCCCTGGCGCTGCTGCAGAGATCTGTCGTGCACCCAGACCATGTCACTACTGCACAATTCTGACATATTCTGACCATGGCACACCTCGTAGATGCTGTGAGGCCAGCTGGCTGGGAGTTGTCGGCCTTGGCTTGCTCCAGAGTTGCAGCGGATCACGAGAGTGGAGAGCATGCCTGGCAGTACTTTCCGAGGCTTGTGCAGGTCACGAAAAAACGGCCACAGACAACATTTAGCAGTGTGAGTTTCCTTGAAGGTGAGGCTTCAGAGTCTGCAAGCCCACCTAGTCTTCAGCAACGTCGCGCTCAGTTCCTTCGCTACCTCCGGGTTCGAGGATGGTGAGATGGCAGCATGGGGATTCTGCGAAGACACTCCTTTGGCCCATGTTGTTTTAACTTAGGACCAAGCGATCCTACTCGAAGACCTCAGGTCCAACTGCTCCAACTTCCACATGGCCTTTGGCACAGTCGCTGCTCGATTCGTTGCGCCAAGTGAAACCAGATCCCCGGCTGACGGTACAGTTGCATGGCACGCGCCTGCATCGTAGGTAGTTCTCAGTGTGGCGAGCGAGCTCAGTGCACTCAGGGCATCGTGTCCTTCAACAGCATGGCAAGTGCCGCAGAAAGACAGTGTCATTGGGTGGGAGTCTTTTCGTTGTTGGAGCGGGCGCGTCGGGCTGGGGTGCCTCAGCATTGACCCAGCATCTTTGTCAGTCTTTTTCAAAGTAATGTGACCCTGGCTCAGAATGGCTAAAGTCTGCCAGAACTCAAAAAACTTGAACGTCCGTTTGCTAAGTTGACAACAAACCAGAGCCCATCAGAGCCCAGGCTGAGCTGGATCCTTTCTCGTGGAGTGGTATTGCCAATGCGTTACGCCACACTGGACTTTGGCAAAAGAGCCTGTTTCAGTTGGAACAGGCCTTTTTGTTTTGTTCTGCAATCTTGCCGGGTTTAGGACGACCAGCCCTTTTCTAAGCTTCATAGTTCCGAAGTGAACAGGCTGGGCGTCATGGAGTGCGGCGGCACCTAATCACAGTCAGCTCAGCTGTCACAGCCATGGAGAAGTCTGGTGTCTGGCACCACGCGCTGTTGACCTGGTTCCAGATGCAAAGTAGCGGTATCAAATCTGACATCGTGTCCCTCTGTGCCGTCATAAGTGCTGCGGCTGCCGATTCTTCCATACTTGTCCCTGATTCTTGTTTGGTACGCAGTGATATATACATACTATTTGCAACGAGCGCCTCTTTCATTCAGGTGCTTGCAGCCACCAGTGGGCCACAGCCCTTTTCTGTAGACAGCAGGGAGGTGCCTCTGTGGTTGCCTGCAATGCCGCACTCAGCGCTTGCGACCGCGCCTCTCGCTGGGAGAGGATCCTCTTCGAGTGTTTCGAGTGTAGCCACAGAGCATCCCTGCAGTTCCCCCAAGTGTCCCGCGGAGAGCATCCAAAATCCAGAGCATCTAAGAATCTAAGCCCCCAAAGCACATGGGCAATTGACATCACCAAACTGTTCTCGGCTAAGAGCTTCGTACCCTGCAGGGCATCGTCCATTCTCTTCGGAGCTCCAATCATGCGAATACACCCGACAACCATCTCTCACAATGCCTTCCTGGCCGCCTGCGCAGCTCTCAGATTGATCCACAGCACCTCCCAACTGCCATAGCTCGCTGTAGCTCTTGAGGTGAGAAAGTTCAGCGCTGGAGGATGTCCATGGTTGGTCTGGCCCCACTGCTGCAAGGAACAGGTGGCACGAAGTATGCGCGCAGTCATCTGCCAGATGCGATGTGCTGTGCGGGGGGGGGGGGGGGGGGGGGGGGCATCCTTCACCAAGGGCCAGCTCCAACTCCAGGGTGTTAGAGCGACCATGGTTTCCGTGAACTCCTTCATTAGCAGCTGCGAGCGATCTCAACGTTGGGACTGGGCTCTGCAAATGCTGTGCCTCGGCTTGTGCTGCCTCTCTGGCCATGCTGCTTTGCAAAAGCTGTCCATACCTGCCCGAGTTCCACAGGGCAGCTGCTCGTTGGAGGGCCTGCAAGCATGATCTGATTGGCTACAACTCCGCGATCAGTGCCCAGGATGCCCCACATGCCTGAACCTGTCGTGAATGCCGTTGCAGTTCCTGTTTTGTTAGGAGAAGAGCGGATGCTGGCACTGGGCATGCTGGCTCTTTGCAACCTGTCTTTAACTTTGAAATCCGGTTTCCGGTTTCCCTGCATCCTTGCATGGGACTTCGGACTTTGGCAGCCTCCTCCCGCTCCTCCTATCTCCTCCTCCGGATGCCGGAGCATTGACATTTTAAAGTCACTGTCCGGGAGTCCGGGCATTCAGTAGATGGCGGCAACAAGGCCAACATGTCGGTTCAGAGCTGGGTGCCGGACGTTGTGTCCTTCGGCGCCGCTGTTAGCGCAACTGACCTGGCGGGCCGTCAGAAGCTCAGGGGAAGAGCATAACTTAGGGTTGATCTGTGGTGAAGAAATGCGAACAAGACGGAGTGTCCGGTAACCGCCTTGCAGGCTGGGCCAGCGCATTGCTGCTTACTTCGAAAGTTTCGCATACCACGGCATCCCATGTGGCGCCAAACGTACTCATCTGTCCCCCGGCGACAGCAACTAACCTCGGTCACCTGTTGCCCGGCACCACTTGCTGCGTACGCTATGCTCAAGATGCGTTTTGGGGCACACATCCAGTAGTTCTTGTCCAAGGCACGGCAGCGATGCAGGCTTGTCAAGCTTCCATGTGTTGGCAAACTGTTTTGTCTGTAATGGCATATATGCGGAGCCTTGGCAGCTTTTGGAGTAAGCTTAATTAGGATTGATCTGTTTGATCATGCCAAGCTATGCTGGGATTCTATGGCTTCCATAGGCATGCAGAAATAAGGAATCGCGCAGTGCATCAGAACTGCGTCACCTTGCATGCCTCTTGGGCAGCAGCATTCTAGCCAGTGTTGCCAGGCTGTGATGTTGTTGCCGGGTCTGAGCCCGTTGCGCTGAGAGCCAAGGCTGCGCTGAGTGCAGCGGAAAAAGCACGACCGCAAGACAGTACTCTTTATCTGGGACAAGAGCTGGCCTGTGCCGCTGAAGGCCGTCATAGCATGTACAGTTTACATCGTTTCAGCTGCGCTTCTTTGTCTTGCAGGTCTCATAGTCCGTCAGCGCCTGCGGATGTCTTCGGGGAGAAGAATAGTGGCAGAAAGGAAGAAATTGAGCCTCTGCACATTGCACGTTTTTGATGAAAGATGATGATCGCATGATGCTTCTTTTGCGCATGTGCGAGAGAACCGGCAGGTAAGGCCCAGAAGCCTTCACCAACAACCTGCTGCAGGCAATGCACACTGTTGTAACAGTGTCGTAGCCGCAGGGCTCAAATTTTGTTCGGTTTAAAGCACTGAAGCGCACCGGTGCACACTCCCTCCGGTTGCTTGGCCAAAAAGGGGTGCGCTGAGTAGGCACGGGTACGTGAGACTTCAGATGAAACTCATGCCAAGGAGCACAAGGAGCCATGGCCTCGAACCATGGTTACTTGTCGTCAATTGGCCTCCAGCCTGTGACGAAGGTGACCTCGATTCTAACATCGCCTGAAGAGAAAGAATTTGGTGGGTCA